GCTGCATCCAAGCCATCTGAGCATGATGCCGTCATATGCCAGAAGACAGCTGAGGAATATGAGAAGGGCTGGGTTTCAGGTCCGCTGGACCCCAGCTCGTTGCCCTCAGATGCAGTGATCAACAGGCGCTTCGCCATTCTTCAGAAGGATCGGCCCAGGGTGATTGACGACTGCAGCGCTTCCCTTCTGAATGATACAGTGCAGAAGACCGAATCTCCCCAGCCTCAGAGTGTGGACTTGATCGCAGCCATGGTTCTGGCAGCACTTCAGCGTTTGCCAGGCAAGGCCATGGTCGGGAAGTGCCTGGACTTGAAAGCTGCCTACAGACAGGTTCCTGTCTCAGCCGCTGGCCTGATGTTTGCCTTTGTTGCATACTTCTGCCCTGCAGAGGCCAAATGTGTGGTGAGGCAGATGTATGCGCTTCCGTTTGGTGCCAGCAGGGCTGTGTATGGGTACCTTAGGATAGCGTATAGCTTGTGGTGGTTAGCCGTTAAGAACCTTAAGCTCATGATGACGCACTTTTTCGACGACTTCGTCAACATCTGTAGATCCGAGGAGCAGGTCCACGTGGAAAGAGTCCTGCATGGATTCTTTGCACTGCTTGGCTGGAAAGTTTCGGAGGACAAGGACCATGGGTTCCAGGAAGAATTTACGGCTCTGGGGATATGGGTTTCCTTCAGCAGATTCCTTCACTCCGAGGTCTTGTTCTTCAACACTCCCAGCCGGATACAGGAAGTTTCGGCTTATCTGAACTCGCTCCTGGAGGTTAGAACGTCCACCAAGAAGGAACTGGAACGGATCAGGGGACGCATGCTTTTTGCTGGTGGCCAGCTGTTTGGAAGGTTGGGCCGAACCTGTGTTAAAGCTCTGCAGCAGGCAGAAGCCGACCCTCAGTGTGTGATCACCGACGCCATGGCTTCAGCCATAACCTTGTTCATTGACCTCCTCAGAAATGGCCCGCCTAGGATGATCTCCAACCTTTCCGCACAACCCTGCTACATCTTCACAGATGCGGCCTTTGATAGGGCTGGTGGTTCTAGCCGTTGTGGGTTGGGGGGAGTCCTCATAGGACCTGACGGGATGCCTCGTAGGTTCTTCTCGGTAGAACTTCACGAGTCCTTCCAGCGAGCCTTAGGCGTTGATGAATCCAGTACGATTATCTTTGAAGCCGAACTTTGTGCCGTAGTTTTGGCCTATGTCCTCTGGAGAGATGACATTTGTTCGCGACCCATCGTTTGCTACATAGATAAATAACGCCACAAGGGACGTCCTCATCAGTGGTTCCGCCCGCAACCAGGTAGGTGCCAGGTTGGCTCGGCTTCTCCTTACGGTGGAGACCTTGGCCAAAACCTTCAGTTGGTTCGCACGAGTGCCCAGTCCGTCGAACTTAGCCGACGAGCCTTCCAGGACCCTCATGTCCACCTTTCAATTTGAAGGCGTGGTTTTGGAAGCAGATTCTTGCCAACAAACCTTGGAGATGATTCTTGCTTGATTGCGGAGATCCCTTCTTGTCTTGGGGCGTTAGTTTGGGTTTCGGTTAAGTTGGGGATTGGTGCATGCTTCCCAGTGTTATGTCTTTGCCGCCAGCTGCAAAGGGGCCCGTGTGCCCAGCTTCACAGGTTGCCCAAGGTATAAGGTGAGGCTTTGTGTGCACCGACTCCCACAGTCTCCACGTGAGAAAAAGAAGAAGCGAGTGCAGTGCTTTTATGCATAGTGATGACGTGCTTGGGGATCCTTTTGGGAGAGTCTTATGCACTTCGAGTTTTGCTGTTTTCCCTTTTCCGGGTTTCTTTGGCTCAAGACTTTAAGCTAACGGTCAACGGGTTGATAGTGCATTAAAGTCTGAGCCTAGAGAAAAACCCCTTTGTGTGTCTTTGCTAGCTCGCCCGAGCTTTGGGAAAAGGGAAAACTTTCCTTCATTGGCCTTTTGCACTCATTTTCCAGTCTCTGACACCATTGCTTGCGCATGTTCACCGGTTCAAGTGCCTTGTGAACGATGAGCATCTGCAAGTTCTTGGAGCTGCCAAATGTTTTGCATCAAGCTTTGAACACTAGACTCAAGCTTCTGCAATGTGTCAAAATTTCTCCCGCCCTGCCCACCCTGTGTCGGGTCGCCTGGCTTCCCTCTTGTGCTCGTCCTACCGAGTGTCTTGAGTAAGCCAGTTGGTCGCGGTTGTGACGGCCATGTTCCCACCTGCCCGCCCTTCCTCTGGCAAGCTTCACACGCGTGCTCGCCTCTGCGCGCCTTTCTCAGAATGTCCTGCGTTCGCTCATGTTCACCAACATTGGAGCGCCTGCTGGTTCTTGATGTTGCTCATGGCTGCCAGCATTGGAGCGCCTACCGGCTTGTGCCTTGCGTTCGCTCATGTTTGCCATACACCGAGCTCTGACTGTTAACGATGCAAACTCTTGCAATGCTTGAGGGGATCAGCTTGTGCCTCCCAAGGGGATTGGTGCATGCTTCCCAGTGTTATGTCTTTGCCGCCAGCTGCAAAGGGGCCCGTGTGCCCAGCTTCACAGGTTGCCCAAGGTATAAGGTGAGGCTTTGTGTGCACCGACTCCCACAGTCTCCACGTGAGAAAAAGAAGAAGCGAGTGCAGTGCTTTTATGCATAGTGATGACATGCTTGGGGATCCTTTTGGGAGAGTCTTATGCACTTCGAGTTTTGCTGTTTTCCCTTTTCCGGGTTTCTTTGGCTCAAGACTTTAAACTCTATTCCTTGTAGGCATTTCCTTTCCCTTCTCTGAGGCATCGGCAAGTCTGATTCCAAGGATGCGCTTGCCTTGTGTTCTTTTCTTGTTATCGTACGTTCGTGGCAGAGGTAGCAGCCTGGGCCTAGGAGCTTTAGGTTCGTCCATTGCTCTTCAAAGGGATGAGGTAGGTAGCTGCGATTATCGCAGTGCAGTCCCCCCGCGCCCGCTCCAACGCTTAAGTACGTGTTGGGTCTTGTTGCTTGTGTGTTGGTAGTTTTCGGTTTGGTCTTGTTTGGCTTGTTAGTCCTTGGCTAGGCGGGTCCAAAGGACGGAGCTGGCAACGGCACGCTTCAATGGGCTTTTGGCTAATGCGTCGTCGTAGTAGTAGTAGTAGTAGTAGTAGTAGTAGTAGTAGTAGTAGTAGTAGTAGTAGTAGTAGTAGTAGTAGTAGTAGTAGTAGTAGTAGTAGTAGTAGTAGTAGTATGTGAGCAGGTCAATGCACTTCTGCAACATGTGCTCTGTGCTAGTGCAGCTTGTAGTTTTCCTTTGCATGTGTAGTTTTGCCAATTTTGGCTCAAGTATCGAGCTAGACTTGTGCCGTTGAGCACGGTGGTTTCGTACAGTCGCTCTTAGGTATCTGTGCGGTCCGACCGGACGCACTTGGGCGTAGGTTGCAGAGAGAGTGAGCCCGCGAAGTCACAAAACAGCGTGACCGCCTGCGTTTGCTTTGGCTTAAGGCAAGACCAGGTTGGTCGACTACACAATTGGGGCTGTTCTGGGAGCTCAAGTATCGAGCTAGACTTGTGCCTTTGAGCACGGTGGTTTCGTACAGTAGCTCTGAGGTTGCTGTGCGGTCCGACCGGACGCACTTGGGCGTAGGTTGCAGAGAGCGTGAACCCGCGAAGTCACAAAACAGCGTGACCGCCTGCGTTTGCTTTGGCTTAAGGCAAGACCAGGTTGGTCGACTACACAAGTAGTAGTAATACTCCTATAATTGTACTCCGAGTACTACTAGTACTACTAGCATGACGTACTACTACGACTAGTACTACTAGTGCTATACTAGTGTACTACTTGTAGTATTAGTACTACTAGTATTACAGTATTACTCGTATTGCTTGGTGCTGGTAGCCCTCGGCCACACGGCGCCCACGGCCCGCGGCCCCGCGGCCGCCCGCGGCCCGCGGCCGCGGCCGCGGCCCGCGGCCCCCGGCCCGCGCCAGCCCGCGGCCCGCGGCCCGCGGCCCGCGGCCGGAAGGACGTGTGACATGCATGCATTATTCCGTCCGATGACAGTGGGCTCTCATCTGAGCTCAGCCCGCGTCGCGTCTGCAATGGCAGTCCTCAGTTGGGAACGTTGAGCGTTGAGGGGCAGCACCACATATTCTGCAACAATGTCGCAATTTTCCGTTCGGGTTTAGTCTGTCCATATCATGACAGATGTTGGGTTGCTTATATTTGCTTCTCATGTGTATGGGCCAGTTGAAACCAGCTGAAAAGAGGCGGCTGGAATTGGAGTCCCGAGCGCACGCCGCTCGGTTGGAAGTTTTGCCCGGCTTCGTCACGCATGGATTCGAGGAACGATCGTGTGCGTGCACTTCAACTTGGAACACCTTCTGACAAAAGGTGTTTTTTCTCTCACGTCATATCTTCGCGGCCCAAAAGCCACATGAGTGCACTCACCATGTCCACGGTATTCCACAAAACCCCCGCTCAAAGGACTGCTCGCGCCGCCCGAACTGCTCCAGCAATCGCAGCAATCCGTTTGGCTCTCCACCCGTGCAGTTGCCAACGCGCTTGAGGCAGCGCTTGAATTGTTTGTTTTGGCGGGTCTGTGTTTCAGACATGTTTCAGCACGATTGCCGGACGCCACGAAATATTCACCAGTTTTTTAAGCAGCGCACCGCCCAGTTTACGGATTGTTGCTTGGTTTGGGCATGGAATGTCATCCCTGTGTTGGCAAGGTTCCTGGCACGAGAGGCCTGGCAAGCGGTGCCCACGGCGGCACAGCTTCCGCACGCTTGCGCGCTTTGGCGCTTTCTCGCTTTCTCGCTTTCTCGCTTGCTCGCTTTCGCCCTTTCGCTTTCGCGCGTTCGGGTCTACGTGAAACATTAACAGCGTCAGACTGTTACTGCAGCTCATGGACCACGGTCCTATGAGGACATGGGGAGTGGCGGCGTGCACAATTCGGTTTACATATGCATGAGCGCCCCTCGCAAACATCGTAGGCGCCGCTCCGCTGCCAGGTTGACGTCGACGTCGTCCAGCGCCCTCCACTCGGGCCGTGCGCTCACGGGCTTCCCTACGTCAGCTGCTGTTGCATTGCCACCGCTCACCTCCGCGTGCTCCTGTTGCGACGGCTGCCGCTGCCGCTCTCGCTGGCGCCCCGCACTTGCCGTTGCAGAGGCCACCATGCCCACCTCGACCCCTTGGGGGACCAACGTCTGGGGTTTTGGCGTCGAGGGCCCTTCCACTTGAGCATGCAGTCGCCTTAAGTATGCCGGGAAGATGGTGTACGAGTAGCAGGGTCGCCGACATGAACATCGATGTTCCTGTCAGCGACGCACGCTGCGTCGAAGTTGTCACGAACGTCTTACGTCTCCCACCTCCACTCCGGGCCGCCGCGAGCGCAGGGTGGGTGGCGCTGGTGCGATGCCGGAGCTGCGACTGCCTGATGAATCCGAAGACACGCAGCCTGGCCAGAGAGACACCAACATGTTTTGCTGATATCGAGTCATGTGTCGTGACTTGCACTGAGGATTTAGAACGCGAGACAGTTGCTGGCGAGCCCAAGCCTTGCCAGAAACCTATATTACAAGATTTGATGAGTCTTCGTCGCGGTTGTCGTACCAAGGTGGAACCTTGCAGATTTCCCAAGGTGACATCCACGTACTTCGACTCACATTGCTGCATTGCCGTTCATGAACTATCCTGCACATGACGTCGGCTGATGTGAAGAGTACAACCGATCTCGCCCGTCAAGATCGACTGCGCCAGATGCTTGTCTCGTTTCGCTGAAAAGACAACACCCCACGTGTCACTAATGCGATTTAATTCGCTTGCAAGCCTGCACATTTTGCATCGGAATGTAAACGAGCTTTCTTTGTATTCACCACCAACTCATGCAAGCACCCACCATTGCTGGAATTCTCCTGTGTGTACGTCTCGGTGTCGGCAACCTCCGACAAAATGAGTCTCCAACCGTTGGTTTGGGAAGTGGACGAAAATTGAAACAAACATATATATATATATATATATATATTTTATTTTGTTGTTTTTTTTTTTTTTCCGCGCCCTTTTGCGTCCGCCGAAAGCGTCCCGAGTCCCTACGACGTCAACTGCTTAGACTCCTACGGAGTGCTAGCGAAGCGGCAGCCGGCTGGGGGCGCTCGCACTCGCCAGGGAGCACGTCGCTCAACGGGAGCGTGTCTGGCGCGCCAGGCCAGCAGACCCGTGCGGGGGCAGGCGAGGTGGTGGTCTCCACATGCATCGACCTCGCCCCCACAACCATATCGGCCTGCCGCTCCACAGCGCAGGTCCGTGAGGGGCAGGAGCAAGCGAAGGCGGGTGGACGCCGCATCCGAAGGTATCGCGGCTAGCCACATACCGGCATGCGGACCGGATTGAGAGTGGAGGAGGGTTCGAGCGGCAAGAGCTAAGGCCGGAAGCAACGTGCGTTCTCGGAAGGAAGTGTGAAGTGCGATGAAGTGCGAGAACGGCATGTCGCCGCCAACCAGGGCTTCCGAGGCCGAGTTCACCCTCAGCCGCTGGGACGTCAGCGCCTCGGGCGCAAGATTCCCAGTCGGGTCTGCTCTCCCAGCCCTCCGCAGTAAGCTGGTGCGCCGCCTCCACAGCCGCGTGCAGGCAAGGTGCCGACGGTGCGCCCTCGAGCTCGCGCACGAGCCTGTCCGCTGCGTTGGGGTAACGTTGGCGCAACACCGGGAGCGCATCTGCCCACGCCGCCCAGTATGCTGCCGCGCCACCCGCTCAGCTGCCAAGAGGCCAAGACCTCCCAGGCTCGGCGGCAAAAAAGCAACGCTGCGAGCAGCCGCCCGGGCGTCCCCTTCGCTGGGCCCCTGGTCGCCCAGCAGACCTTGAACGACGGCACAGAGCACGTCGTCGTGAGCGCGAGCGTACGGCAGTATCTCTGCAGCGGGGATGTTGCGGAGCAGATGCTGGGTGCGGCGCCACGCAAAAAGCGAGCAACAGCCAGGCGCTCTGGAGGTCGGGGAGGCGCTTTAGTTTCCGGAGCAAGTCGTCCTGGGCAGCAAGGCGGTCAGCGGCTTGGGCGGCGACGAAGTCGGGGTGACCGATGGGCACTCCCAGGGCGACGAAGCCACGCTGCTCTGGGGGCAGGTTGCCACACCAAACGTCCCGGCCCAGGTCGTCGATGCCGGGCGGGGCGCCCCCGCCTGCCGCGTTGTAGACTCGCGTCTTGCCCAGGTTGGCCTCGACCCCGCGCCTCGCTCGACCTCGTATCCGTCGGCTTATTTTCCTCGAAAACGGGCACATGACCTGAAGTGAGCGACCCTTGTGAAACAACGTGACTCGAACGGAGCTGTCTCAAAGCTACGGCATGCTTGCTTTTGCCATGCCCCTTTCTCGTTGACGACTTCTGCAACATATCAGCAACTCATTATTGGCACGATCCACAAGATGATTCAACTCCGTGCTGTCCTGGAAATCTGCCCATTGTGCCCACGTATCTTCCCAGTCACACTGCAACAACCTGTCGTTGGTAATGGCAAGTTTGACAACTTTGAGACCGATTTTGAACCAAGCATAATGTGCGTCAAGCTCGATCTCATGCTTCACAAAGCCCCACTCGCCAAGCTGCCAGCGTTACCTCATCAAGTTTTTTTTTTTGAACACGTTTTTCAAGCGGAAATCCTGTGTTGCCCATACCTTGTTACTATGCTCGAGTAATTCAGCACGTCTGAGCCATGCAACAACATTATCACCACGGCTGCCACGAAGCTCAAGTGAGCAGACCTGAGACTAGTTGAGTTGCGCCGGTCATGCGGCCTAAAGAGCAGCTGCAAGAAGGTGGCATCAGCAAACTGCTCAACTCCGTACACACCTGCCGCTTCACAACGCCGCAGCCACACATCCCTCGAATATCGGGCAGACGCGCGTTGCGTGAAGAAAACTCCAGTGGTCATTCGCCGCACAAGCACGGCAAGTTTTGAGATCGATGACGAGACGTTCGACACTAAACCGTCAGGCAGTCGTGACAACACGGGGGCGGTCTGTCCGGCTGGATGCGTGCAGATGGCATCACGTTTTGGCCGTGCATGCAGTGGGGTACCGGCGCCCAGTGCCTGCTTGTATCCTTGAGTTCAACAAGCCCTGCTGACGCTGGTCCCGAAAGGCGGCGGCAGCAAATGCGGTCCGGCGCGCATCGGCGCTGTAAAGCGTGCTTCCCGCAATTGTTTTCTTGCAGAAAAGCAAAACATGACGGAATAAAATACACATGAAAAACACAGTGCATGCCGTGCGACTTTGCCGCGACGGTGAGCTCCGCAGCCGCTGATGTTCTTAACAGCGGCCCATCGTGGCCCCAGCATGGGCTTGAACATGTGTGTGCAGCGCGTCGACAGCTGGAAGGTGGGTTCGAGAGATTTTGAGAGATGTTGAGAGCACTGAAAGCACGGGAGCTCAAGAAAGGGAGGCTGGCATCTTGCCAAAAGTCAGGACGAGGATGTGTGCGTGCTGCCTGTCGGCGATGCGGAGCCATCTCCCTACAACACATTGGGCTTAGGCAGGCCAGGTTGCAGCACATGGTGTGTTCGGCACCATCAGCAAGGTGGGAACCAATGCAGGCCAAGACGTGCTGCAAGATGTCATTACCAGTTTCCGCATTCTGTTGCGCGATGTGGATGTTGTTTCCGCGATAGCATCTCATCAGGTTGAATCAATTGGGGTGTTGAAAGATGAACGGATAAACTCATGGGCGCCAGGGGCTCAAGATTTCATAGGCTTGTCGTGGCATGGATGCGAGCAATGCGAGCATTGCTGCAGTTCCTCGTTGTGCCGCCGAGGAGAATGTCAGAGCCTCCACCAGCAGGCGGCAATCAAATAGTTGGTGTTGTACAGTTTGTTGCGCACACGTGCAAAGAAAATACGCCGCAAAAGGACGAACAGTATTAAGTGTGAAGTTTCGCCAGGTTGTTTTGGGAACTGCGATGACCTCAGACAGGACAGCCAAAAAGCTGCACGCAGGGAAATTGCATATGTGACCGGCTCAATACCACCCATTGTGCCAAGGTTGTCAATCTGGTTTCAGAACCGAGGCACCAGAGGCCTCACCTATCGCATGTTTCGCGAGAAAAGAATGGCAGCTACACGCAATGATAGATAGATTGGAGAGGGGGGGGAAATCCGTGCCCGCCATCAGAAACAGGGCCAGTTGCGCTGACTTGTTCTTGACCTCCTTCGAAGCCTCTATCACCCCAGCCTGAGCTTGTTTAGTCGAGTGACCAATTCCTGTGCCGCTGGATCGAGGCCTTCTTGGCAGATTCGCCCGAGAAGGGCGTCATAGTGGAGCAGGACGGCAAACAATTTCGAAAGCTTCCTAGCTCTGAAAGCTGTGTCGCTGTCAGGGACACGCCCAAGCACATGCATTCCGCGAAGATCCCATGTTCGAAGACGCTGTCAGGCTTGTTCGGGTTGAACGCGTTTCGTGTCGACATGGTGTATCGTTGCAGGTGCATAAGATTTCCTGGGCAAGCTCCATGTTGTAGCCCAAGAACATCCATGAACCAGAAGCAAATGGCACAGGTACAGCAAAGCAAATTAAGTTGGCGCATCTTTGCGATTGACCAGAAGACAACCGTCAACAAAGGCTGGTCCATGGACGTCGTTCTGTGTAAATCATGTGCGTTGGCTTCTTCTTGTCCGCCTGTCGACCCCACCCCCCAACCCTATATATAGATCCTTGAAAAGCGGAGATGGCAGGCATGTTTAGCGCTGCTGCACACGGACTTGCGCAGCGGCAAAGGCAGTCTTGGACAGCATCAGGGCCCCAAATGACCTGGAAAGCCTTGGACGTGCAAAATCAATGCAGGGCTATGCAGGGCTGTGGCTCCCACTTCATGCATTGTAGGTCGAGCCTGACAGGCTCGACATGCTCGACATGCTCGTTAAGCTTGATAGGCTTTGCAGACGGAGCCCGGCAGGTTTATCATGCACTTCCAAATAGCCTGCCAGATGAATACCGAAACGTGTAGAGGGAACAAAACAGGGTGTAGCACCCCAGTGCTATTGTTGGGGGTTTGGTGCCCATCTTTGGCATTTTTGGAGTTCAACGTCGGCAGTTGCGAAACGGGTCCCCAGTTGTTCCAGCCGACACACCAAGAAGTTGATGAAGAGGTGTGCGCTGTTAGTCCAATGTGGGCCGCATCACGCCGCAGGTAAGATGTTTGAGGCAGCATGCTGAGAGCATGAGCTACGTGCAAAGACGCGTTGGACGGAGATTGCATCTTCGTCATTTTCGTGATGGGACAGCACTCCCCTGCCGCTACATGTTCCCAAAGCACACACAGTTTCGAACCATCAGTTGTCGGCGGGGGATAACATTGCTGAGTTGTTTTGAGGAGTTGGGTTGCTGCCAGTTCGTCAAGTCATGAGTCATGCATCATGCATCACACTTGCTGACGCCTCGGCCAGAAATATTTGCACCAAACTTTGGTTTTGATGGGCTTGTGCAGACACCAGCGGCAACAAGACAACATTAACATTGTTTCACTCATAGTGTACAGGCCTCACCAAATTGCACCGTCACATACCGTCACCCAGAATGTGCACCATGTCGGGAGATCCAGAGCGTGCTTGTGACGAAAACCGTCCCACAGCACACAGGCAAAGTGAGAGAACCAAGCGGAGATGGCAAGAGATTGCTTGCATGAGTGCATTTTTGTGGCTTGCATGAGTGCTTTTGTCAGCATAATTGCAGATCAAGTCTGGATGCATGATGTCTGTGTGCAAGCTGTTCGTGAGTGCACTTGTGCTACTTGTGCATGTCGGCTCGCAACACGCGGGCTGCTATGGCGATAACGACAAAAGTTGCAATATATTTGCGAAACATGGCAGCAGCAAGCATGCGTCTTGAAGGGACGCAAAACATCAGACACCCAGTGTGGTTCGACAAACCACAAGCTCCAAATACCCACCTGAACTGTTTGTGCGTGTGCCCCTTGATCGTAGCTCAGTGGCACGCGCGTGTCGGGACAGTTTGCTTGAACAGTTTTCCGCGTCCACATCCACTGAATGCGCTGGTGCGACTGAAGGCGCGTCTAGCCGCCAAGGATGTGCTTCGGTGTTGGATGGTGTCTCCCGTGTGCAGAGATTCTTGCTGTAGTACTCGTGCCACTTCAAGACGCTTTGCTTCATCCTGGCTTGGATCTTCAGGGTCATGGAGTTGGAGCCCCCGCGCCGGTACAAACCTTGGTTGGCAAATGTGTGTAGTGCCTTAGAAGCTCAGATGGAGCGTTTTCCTTGAAGAGCGATCCCCCTAGGCCGCGAACATCTGGCGGTAGCAGCCAGATTTCCTTCGCCACCACTGCCGATGCACCGGCCCTTGGCAGGATTCGCTTTGCATCCTCGATTCTCCATGTTTTGTAGGTGTAGAAGTGCAGCGACAGACAGGGTGATTCATTGGCTGGCGCACGTGTTCACGCAAATTGTTGGATTGGTAGGTGGGTAGGGTCCGGCTGAGGCCCCGCGAGGCGGTGCAAGCGTGGCCTCGTTGAGCAACAAGTCGGACAACAAGTCGTCCGCTGGTTCCACAATAAGAGAGACTGTGAGAAAACCTTCCAAAGCGGAGGTGAAAGAGGCCCAGGGGCTCAACTCAGGGGGAAGCTTGCTGAAATAGTCATTGGATGCTCACTGGTTTGCAAGAATGGGCGGGGGATGTTCTTCGCTGTGGAAGTTTGCAGGTCAGACCCACAAAATGGTACGTGAAGTGCTCGGGCCGCCTTGTGGATAACACCGCTTTTATTAGTCCATGCCTCAGTTGTGCGGTGCATGAACGTGCTGTAGTCCCAGAAAGTTTAAGACGCTGTTTCTTGCAGCATGGGCCGCCAAGAGTTTTGTCTCTTCCCGGACCACGGGCCTCCGGTCTGCTGGTGAAAGCCAATGCCAAGAATGTTGGCACGAATTCAACCTCAAAGAGAGAGACGAGTCCTCGAACTGCTTACCAATGATGCTTTAAGGCTTCTCAACCCACTGTGCGCAGCTCCGGTACCAACAGTGAGACAATCAGGGCATGATCAATGCAAACGCCTCGGAGTCTGGCCTGGACCGACACTTGTGGTGTGTACGCGGGGCGGGTTGCGCCACTTCCCCACACCCCCCCCCACCCCTGCCCGAACATGGAGCACAGATTCGCCAACATGATTGTCGGAGCACCATGGATATGTTGGCGACTCTTCCCTTTTCTTGGGCCGCAGTTTGGGAACCATACTTCGTGTGGGTCCGTCCTGGTTTATTGGGGCTTGTGGCTCGGAACTTGGCGCCGAGCCCTGGTTGGGTTGGCTCTAGAACTGCCACGAGATGCGAGAGGTTTATGCAGAGGTTTTAAACTGCAAAGGACATGCAAAGTCGCCTTCTTCTGTGCTGCTCAGTGACCCCCGACAGTCAGTCATCCAAATCTGCTCTGTTAGTGTTGCGAAAGCTAGCAGGTCTCACTACGCTGCTCACGATCTATGCCCTTACCGGGGATGACCTGCGAGTGCTTCTGACGGAGCGCAGCTGGCAGAATGTGCAGGGTTTTGGGGTTCCAACTCAGAGCTGCCAGCATTTACCCGTCGCGCTTATGCAAGGAGAAGCCTGCAGACATCTATTTCAATGGTATGGCCGCAAGCTTGGGGACTGCAGTTCGTTTTTGCTTTCAAAATCCACCAGTTCACAAATCGTGACGAATGTCCTGTTCGGTTGAAAGCACTTGCAAGTTTATGTAGAAATGGCGAACAAGAAGAGCAGGGGAAGGTAAGAGGCATGCTTCTTACCGCATGAACTTCTCGTGGTTTCCGTGTTCCACTATGACGTCCTGCATGCGCGGCGAGACTTAGGTTCTGGCTTGCCTGGCCATCTTCACATTCGAAATTTTCATCTCCGTTCTTGGCAAGGCTGTGCATCATTGGCCGCCGCTTTATGGCTTGGCGTACATTTGCTCATTAGTTTTGTGGCAAGGTAGCGAAGGAAGTAGGATAATGGGGTCTACAGTCTACGCTCGTTTTTTCCTCCTTGCCCGGAGGCCGACTATTGGCTTGGATTCTTTTTCGTTCTAGACATCGCTTCTACAGCCACCTTGGTGCTTGATTTGACGTGGGCCGGAGCCTGAGATTGAGAGCTGGGGTTCTGAACATGACCAGTGTCGGTTCACGGAAAGAATGCGCCGCGTCAGCTGACCTCCGAGCCGAGATGAGCACATGGCTGACCGAAACGCTGGCCAGGTGAACGAATTCGTGTTCGGTGGGCGAACAGACACGTCGGAGGAAGGCAGCCTGGGTTGCAAGTATCTGTGAACATCCATGCTACTACGACTTAGCATAATCGTTGTGATGAAGATGGCCATTAGCGAGTCAGGTGATGCCAACTCAGATACGTTGCGAAGCGGCAGGCTTGGCATGGTGCTTGATGTTGGAGTGACATGACATGCATACACAAGGGCAATAAGGCACACACACACACACACGCTTACATACTCACTCACTGACGCACTCCTCACTTGCAGCCTTCGAAGACAGTTCTCAAGCCGAGCAACACACGACCAGGCCGCCGAGCAACACAATACAGCTGGGTCCATACCCCGCCGCACTGGTCGTTTGCCAGTTCGTTTGTATCAATGAAGCTGTATCCCAAGCCTTGCGAAAGCCAACATCTTCCCGAGCATTCGCCCTGTAGTGGCACAGGAGTCAAAAACCGACCCAACCCTTTCTTGTTTCGGGTTTCAAGCGAAATACCAAAACACACACTAGGGAGAATCAACAAAACCAACAACATACCAAGACAAGGGTATACATATATACATATTTTATCATACACTCCTATCTATATATATATATATATATATATGTACATGTGTTTCCTTTATTTCAGCTATGCATTTTATGATACCTATTTGCCATAGTTTGCTTGACATGTTCATGTTTGCACATAAGTGCACAAAAGCATGCACTTGTGTCGCAGCTCGCACACTGCAGCCCTTTTCCCGAAGCCTGTGACTGTGATACCCATCATATGCTTTTGTATTTCGGTGTGCCCGATTCTGGGCCTTTGTTTGTGGATGCTAGCGCCTACAGGGGAGTTTTCGATGACATCCCGTGCTGTTGCTCTTGCCTTCTGCTTCTAGGACGGCGCGGGTTGGTGCCAAAGCAGCACGTATGGTCCGTGTATTGAGACTGGACCGCGGCCCAGATGTGCAGAGCACCGTGCCAGTTCATTTGGTCGTGTGATGTCATGTGACGTCCTGTGACAGGATGACTTGTAAGTTGATATCGCATTCTAGGGCTTACATCGTGTCAGAGAGTCGGCCATTTGGCGGTCAAGCTTATGCAATGCCAAAGCATGTGCGATCAGTGCTGGAGCAGACATGTTTGTGCATGTGCTTGAGAGCAAGCAGTATGTTGTGCTACCTGCAACGCTCGCTGAAGGTCAGAATCCTAAAGCTCTACAAAGCTTACTACGAGGCAACTTGGGTGTGTCGCACAGGGAGCTTAGAAGAACTGGGGTGTTGTGCAGCACCTCAACACTCAATCTGTCATGCGTAGGAATGCAGACACAGCTTCTGAGATGCAATTACCTTTAAGTCCAGGCAGACCGAGAGCGAAAGCGCCGACGGCAAGCAGTGTGCAGCCCAGCACTGCTTCACGCGGGGCGTGCAGGGGAGACCTCCAGTGATCGGCATGCTAGTCACAGCAGCGTCACCGTCTGCACAGCAGCAAGATGCTAGTCTGTTTTTGATCTCCGTTTGATCGCAGTGCCTGATGTGTTGCACACTCCCTGAGCTGAGGCTTTGCAGGGAAAACAGAAGGATAACGACGATGATGAGTGGGACGAGGAGGATGCTGCGGAAGCAGGCAAGGCATTGCATTGGCCCACGGACCAACCAAATTCCAACCTTCCTACATAAAGCGCCCGCCCAGATGCAGCTGCGTCTGTCAGGATCTCAGTCAAGGGTTGACAAGGAATTGACTTGGGCTATCAGCAGGAGAACGGTGGTCCATCATGGAGCACGGCAATTCGAATGCAAAGCCAAGATGTAGACCTAGTGAGCATTCAAACCGGCAATGTCGCATACACTCCGTGTACTCTCCATGTCCCCAGGCGGAGCCGCAGAATCAAGAGTCCACACTGGGAAAGAAGTTGCCATCGGCCCGGGAAGTGACAATTCGCTTGTGCTTTTGCTGCTCTTCTTCCGGTTCGGTCTGAAAGTACCGTCCGCTGTTTGCCTGATTCGAAGTTCGTGGTCCTGTGGCTACCAGGTCTGAGATGACAACACGCCGAGTGATCATCCTCATTTTGGCGCGGAGCCTGGCAAGCTCTTTTTCTTCCCAAGGTTTATGTATATCTCCTGGCTCACGGGTCATGTCTCAGCGTGGTGCCTTCGGATGCTGGTTTAGCTTGTTGTGGCTGGTTCCAGTGCTCGGTTTGAGCGATGTGCAAAAACTACTAGGTGCCACACTGCTTGCTGCATCTTCGTTTTTTTGCATACTCTCCACACCATGTTGTTTAGTGCTGCTTCAGTGTTGCTTCTCTTTTTTTCCGCGCTGTCATGAACCCGCTGGGTACTGGATGGCTTAGTCGACGCTGATTTTCGTTGCCTTCGAGTCCTGTTTTCTACCGCTCCTTGAGGCCGTTGACTTTCTGAATGTTGCCGTTGCTAGCTTTCCTTCTTGCGCATCCCTGCTTTTGAGAATTGTTGCTGGATTTGATTGCCAGTGGTATATGTTGCAGTTTCTATTCGGCCCCTAGTTGTAAATGTTTCTGGACTCTCCATCCCAACATCCTTGTTGGCCCAGCTGGACCTTACCCTCATACAAAATCGATTTCAGCCCCATGCCTGTCTGTGTTTGCTACGCCTAGGTGTGCGTTTGCATTGTGCCCGCCCAGGTCATGCTTCTGCTTCTGCCGTTGTTGCAGAAGGACGAAATTGATCAGCTGCCTGTGTCCACGGCGCCCGGACCCCAATCGGGCAGTACTGAGGAACCCAATTTGGAGTTGGTGGAAACTGAAACAGGATCTGCCCCCGACATCTCATGCATGCCGCGCTTCCTCTGCGGCCCTCTGCGGCCCCCTGATTCTCCTCCGAGGTATGGTGCAAGCAGAGTGATGAACGCTTTTCAGGCCCGGCTACTTGGCACAAGGCCTATCAAGGCCTTCACGAGATTCTTGTGATGGGGCAGCCATTTTGACGGCTTTTCGGAGCCAGGACTACTTCGCCGTGAACGCATCGACGCGGAACGAGTCCGCGCGAGCCAACTACCAGCAGCAGCTGCTCCACTTTGTGCCGATCTTGGGCCGAGCCTGGCGTTTCGTAATTTGCCCGTGAATTCAGGTGATGAGTGAAAAAAACGGACTGATTTTTTTGAGAGTTGCTGCACCAAAAGTCCAAGAGCTTTGAAACAGCTGCTCCGTCATCCGTGTTGCAGCAACTTGTGCATGTTTCGCCCAGGTGTACTACCACAACTGGTACGCTGGGACTGGCCTGAACAAGTACTGCCCGTGACCATCTTGTTTGTCTCTGTGTGTGTGTGTGTGTGTCTCTCTCTCTCTTCCTCCCTCCCTCTCTCCCTCCCCCCTCTCTCTCCCTCCCTCTCTCTCTCTCTCTCCCTCCCTCTCCCTCTCCCTCCCTTTGAGCCATGATGCAGACACGGGCGGGGTTGTACAGAGTGTTGGCCACTGCATCAGTAGGCCTGAGCGGGATGGGACCCTGCCTTTCTGCTTGCGCAGCTGGAGCCAGTTTGATCACATTATGTTTGAGTGTATCTGTACCTTGTCATCTACAAGCGCTCGCCTAATTCTTTTGGAGACGTTTGAAGCTATTTCCCTTCCATGTAGTTCATCACAGAAGCAGCACAGTGGAGCCTCTCTGGAATGACCTGGAAGCAGGTACAGCAGTACGACGCTGTCCTGCTCGAACAGATTTTGGGGCCACACCCTCAGTTTGCAGGGCTGTTTGTGGGTTCTGCCTGGCACTCCATGCCTTCCTGAAGGCCACCTGTACTTTGTGGGCATTCGTGGGCGAGACCTTGCCAACGTGGACGCCAAGGATTCTTTGAGGGTTGGGTTGGGTGACACAAGGGTCCCGATGCTGTGGCTATATCTCCTGTGGAAAAAGGAATTCAGGACGCGTGAAGTGCAACAACTTCTCCTGGGGCCATGTCCTTTCTGCGAGGCTGCGGCAGCACAGCTGGACCTCGAGACGGTGGCCACCTTCGACCAAAATTCACGGGTGCCAGCCTTGGCTTAAGGTGCGAGTGGAGCTGGCGGCTCGCCATCAATGTTGGCCGCTGTGGTACTTGTGAAGAGCTGCGATAGAGTTCGATAGAGAGACGAATCATGTCATTGACAGAGTGCTCCCCGGCCAGAATGGATTTTCGGCCTTGTACAACTATGGAGTTATGCCGTCGCGGGTGCAGGCCGGGCGAAGCTTGCACATATCTCGTTCCATTCAACACGCTCGGTTTTGTATTCGGCGGTGGCGGAAGTCTCTTGTTCACTTGCTGTGCCATGAAAACGTGCCATGTTCTGGTTGGGACGATGCAATCAATAGCCGGCAAGGGCAGCTCTCGATATCAAAGATGAAGCATCCTTTGGGCACGTCGCATGGCAACGTTCTTCCTGACCACGCTCATAAGTGCAGCAAGCGCGCTACGTGCAGAGACAAAAACGATCGTGGATAACCAAGGCAATGTTTTCTGGGCACTGACTCATGTGCGCCAGTGGCAACATGCCAAATGAATCCGCGGTCTTTCTCTTTAGTCTTAAGGAAACTGACAAAAGCCGCCTTCCCACGCATACTAACGCACTGTCAATGTCATGTCATGTCATGTCCCTACCTAGTTCATGACTCGAATCTTAAGACTGAAGTTTCCTGTTCACCAACGGCCTGGGAGAAGGCTGCCGCTCTCTCTCTCTCTCTTTCTCTATCTCTCTCTTTCTCTATCTCTCTCTCTCTTTCTCTCTCTCTTTCTCTCTGTCTTTCTCTCTCTCTCTCTCTCTCTCTCTCTCTCTCTCTCTCTCTCTCTCTCTCTCTCTCTCTCTCTCTCTCTCTCTCTCTCTCTCTCTCTCTCTCTTTCCCTGTACATGCAGAAACTAAGCTTGCGCGGCAATATGCCGGCGTTTTCCGTGCCACTTCTCCCTTTTGTGATGAGACTGTTTTGCTGAAAGTGTGAGCCCATCTCTTGCTCCTGTTCCTGTCATTGCTGTACAGGAAGAGACGCCACACTTATTCCTGTTCTTGATTCAAGGTTCGTTAAATACTTGGGGGCTTTTCTAGATGGCACTCACACTTGCGGCACTGTATCTCCCAGGCAATTGCGTCCTCAAGTATTTCTCCGCCCGCTTGCTGGTCATTCTTCTCTTCACCTTCTTGCAAACTTGCAGGTTGTGTAGGTCGATCATTCAGTCCGTTCTAGCGTATGCATGGAAAGCGCGGTTTTCCTCCTGCGCAAACTTGATTAACGTGGTTGTGTGCGGTACAAAGCTCTACGTAGAATCTTGGCTCGCAAGAAATTGAACCATGTCCTGGCACACCCAAACCTTGGAACGTTTGTCACATTCCCACCAGGCTTGTGCATGTCACGAAGCTTTTACCATATACAGCAGGTTGACCAAGAGCCCGTTAAGCAGAATCGTGCCTCACAGAGGGCCAAGCAAAGGTGCGACTACATTTGTTCAGGCTTTCGATGGTATGGATGGACAATACGATCTTGCACCGTATGGTCGCCCCAGTTGCAGGAGGCTCTAGTTACTCTAGTCAATTAAACACGAAGTCCTGCATGACTGCCAAGAGGGCGCATCAATTGCAACTTATACCAACATGTCTGTCTACTTGCTGGTTGCCCGTGAAATTCCCCGGTGCTGGGAAAGAAGGCGAAGCAAACTAGTACAGTAAGTTGCGCTACACCCTCACAGCAAACCATAGCCAGAGTCGTTGTGCCTAGCAGTGTATCAAAGCACTGCACCCAACTTATCATGCGTGGCCAGACCTTCCTCTCCGGGGAGTGGTCGAATGCCTGTGGAACACCAGAGCAGCCCCTCCGAGGCCAGGGCACAAGTCCTCGTCTCACTTCTACCAGGGCTTCAGCTGGCCTGAGAGTGGTGCTGTTCTGTTGGGAGCTTGTTTTCAGCTCTAGACTTCGTTGGGGGGGTAACCCTACTATGGTCTCCTAACAAGGATCTGATTGGATAAGGTTTGCCAGGGTTTGATTGTGAAGCAAAGCAGCTCGTTTAGGCAAGGTGCAAGCCCCGGAAAGCTGAAATGAAAGGCCCAAAATGCGAATCTGGATATTTGTCTTTTTTCAGCGTCTGCTGTGGCGACTGGGCAGGCATCTCGCTTCTGGCCGAAGATGTGAATGGTGACGTGCGGTTTCCGGTGAAGTGCCCTCAGGCGAACTGCCATGAACATTTGGGCACCATGCTGGAATTGCATGCGGTGCTACGTACAGTTGTTTGTCTCTGAGGGCTTCAGCTGGCTTCCCGTGTGTTCCCACTCCCAGCTTCCTTTCATGAGTATGGAGCGTGCTATGTATCAGGACCTTCGTGCAACGGATTACGAGGCAGTGATGCCTGCTTTGTGTAGGGCTGGGGTGCATAAGGGGCCTTGATCCCTGATTTCACTCAAGCTGGAAGAGAACTGAAAGCCAAAACCCCTTTTTGGCACGTCAACTCCAAGCGGTTTTGTGACCACTGGCAGGTTGTCTTCCCACGATGGCAGACGCAAGCACAGTGGTCTGCCAACCGCCCAGATTGTTGAGGGTGTACAATTGCTGCCGGAAGAGTTGTTTGTGGCAGCCAGCATGATGTACTTGTGTGAATGCCACGTTGATGATTCGCCGGCTTAAGCCTACTGGAGATGCCGGTGTCCTGGTTTCTTATGAGCTTTTAGTGCTATGCCCGGCTGTTTGGCTGTCCTCGGCCTCCCTCCCAGCACAATCGCACATGTTAGATGATATCCTGCAATAAGAGTGTGAGAGTGGGCTGGTGGTGCTTGGGGGTATGTTTGTGCGTGTCCGTTGAGAGGCAAGGAGGGCCAGGAAGGGGGGGGAGAGAATCAGGAAGTGGCTTGGAACCTTGTGACTGGCTCGCACATCGTTTGTTGATGGGCGTGTTTGCAACCCAGGGTGCAGAGCGAAACCGTTGCTGCACGTTTCTGCAAATGGCGATGTTGGTGACTTGCGTGAAGGGCTTTCTTCATCCATCAATCATCAGTGCTACGCAGGCTGCGGCATCTCTGACCTGCGACTTTTTTGTCGTGAGTTTGGAAGTTCAATTTACCTAGGACTGGCGCTTTGAGTTCTTCTTCGACATTCGGTCGGGCACCCGTTAGGGCAACAGGAGGGGTGAGGCCACATGACTTGATTAGACCGAACTGTTCAGCATGCCTGGCTGACAAGGGACTACAACAAAGAGACCGCCTATTTCAGTCCCAGCCTCGAGCTGCAAAGCTTGCTCTTTGTCTCCTTGAGATGACAAAGAGCTTGCTTCAACAGGCTCTGTGTTTTGCCAAGTCTTTGCGAAGTACTCACGTCCGTGCGTGTCGACAGAGATTCTGCGGCTCCAAAGACCGAGACTTCAAGTCGCCTCTTCTAGCCATGTGCGACGTTTGCGACTGTGAGGTTCAAAGTCTGCTATCTACCCGCTACACAGACTTTGATGTGGAAAGCCTTCCATCCGACCGAAGTACTGATTCGTACAGCTTGGACGACTTTCGCAGAGGTCCTGAGCATTGGAAGCCGGATGCAGTGTGGACTGCCGCTCTAGCAGCTGCGCGGTTCATCGCAAAGTACAAGGAGCACCGAAAGGCACCCACAGCGCACCCAGAACAAACCTGGATCGTTTTCGATTGGGATGACACGCTGATGCCTACCAGTTTCCTTGATGATTTGGAGAGGATGATGCCCAAGAGAGGCCTTGGGCAAAGGCAGGGCTCAAAACAGGCCGGGCTGCCGCGAGACTGTCCCTGCTTCGCGGCCATGGAACGACACGCCGACCGCGTCCGCTCCATCCTGCGGACAGCCCGCTCCCTTGGCAACGTGGCCATCGTCACGATGGCCGAGCGGCCTTGGGTGCCCGAGTCTGCGTCCCAATACCTTCCGGGCCTCGATCTGGAAGTGCTGCTCTCCGAGCTGGACATCCCAATCCTGTATGGCCCCGAGTTCATGGGCTCCATGAACTCCTGCGACACCTCTGTGCCTGAGGGCGAGGGTGACGTTTATGTTGCATCGAAGTGTGCTGCCATGCTCGACTTCCTCAAGCAGGGTGCAGACAGCCCATGCAACTTGATTTCCATCGGAGATTCGACAATCGAGAAGCATGCGGCCAAGCAGGCTTCGCGTACCCTGGGTGCCAAGAACCCGCAGTCACTGTGCAAGACTGTGAAGCTCCTGACTGACCCCTCCTTGAAGGAGCTGTCCAGTGAACTGGAGATTGTACAGATGTGGCTGGAACGACTGGCTCGACACTTTCAGCCGGTGGACGTCGATGCGGAGACAGTGGAGGAGCTGGAGTCGACTGTGCAGAGGCTACTTGTGGTCTAGCTGAGTCTAGCTGCACTGGACCACCCAGCCTGCATGGAAAATGTATGGAAATCCTAAGAAGTTGTACAGTGCGCATTTGTATAGACTTCGGCTCCCTGAGCTCCTTTTCGAGTGTACAGGGGCGGGACTCTCAGTGTGAGCCGGCGCTCTTCATCTATCTAAATTCATCGAATACTCTCACAAGAATTTTCCGAGACAAGCGAAAGCTTTGCTCTCATGTTGTTTCTCGTTGGGCAAACCCCACCGACACTCTGTGCTGTGTTTTGGAGGTACCTGGGCGTGGCAATCGACACATTGTTGGGAAGCCCGGCGGTGCTGACACAAGCCAATGGCATATGCTTTGCTAACATGGCTCACATGTGTTAGGGCCGTTTGCGGGCTCGAATGCTTGCGATGATGGCAAGACTAGCTTCCGTTGCCTTTTTGCTCATTGTTGCTACAATGCATCATTTGCGGAGAGGCCCCTTGCACTGCGAAACAGCAGGACTCTACAGACCTCTTTGAGGTTTAGCAGATGTAGTTCGTTGCGACCTCAGGCTCCTGCCGACAGCGCCGGGTAGAAAAAGAGTGCGTCTCTGAAGATTTCTGAAGAGGTGAGGCAGGTGAGGGATGACACTCACATGTGTTTTGGTGGAGGCCTGGCCACGACCGGCATTGTGCTGGTACTGCTCCTGACCGGGTCCAGGGCTCAGATGTCGAGACGTTTCCTTTCGTCACGCAACCACCATAGCCTCGAGGTCTCTCATGTTCTCCCGCGATGCGAACCGGCTCATCGTCAATCCAGCACCCTGGATGGAACAAAATGAGCAGACTGGTGCAACAGAGCTGGCTTGCTGTGTTGCTGTGGCGTGTGGCAGAAGAAGGACTTTTTGAAACGCGGTCGAAGCGTGTCGAGCCCCGAGGTAGAACAAATGATCCGCAGAGTCAAAGCCATTCGCAGGGCTCCTGGGGTCCGTGTGTTACTCGTGCGCTTGTGACATCCACCCGTGAGTTTTTCCCGCAGATATGGGATGGAGCCAGCTGCGGCTACTCAGGCGACAACCCCTTGATCGCGATGAAGATGGCAAATCAAGAGCAGAGCCCTGAAAATATCCGTCGCGTTTTGCTGGCTGTTAATGTTGGCCTTGCAGTCTCTACTTTGAAGCCGATTTCTCGAACAAAACCTGAGCCGTGGGGTTTCTTGAATGAAGGGGTTTATAGATCTGAATTGGCAGTCGTTATGAGGGCTGGATGCAAAAAGGGATCTGAATTACGGGGCGGATTATGTATCCAAACCGGACGTCATGTAAGTTTCGAGAGCTGCGTGGTTGCACACCCCTATGCCCCTCCGTATCCCTCCGTGTATTGCTTGGTTCGGAGTTGGCGCTTGCTGCCCGAATCTGCCCAAGGTTCAAACTCGAGGAGATTAAGAAGTCACGAATGCGCAGACAAGGCTACTTCGTCAGTGCCGAACTCTCGGTGCTCCCGCATTTTGCCAACCAAGAGCCTGTTTCGATGTGGTGCATTTGTGGTGTTATGATATGCCATGCCATAGTATGCTTGTCGGCTACACCCGGGTATGCGCTGACCGCACGTATGTTGTGAGATGTTGTGAGGGTCAGGAAGCTTGCCTGTGGAATGACGGAAGCGCTTGCAGTCATTGCAGCAGTGAGGCGGCCATTCACTGCTGCACGTGCCGCTGCCTCTCTGCTAGCCGCCCAGATCCACCGAGTGAGCTCCGTACCGTCGCAAGTTCCCGACGTGTCCAGCTGCAGCATACATGTCTGGCTCCATGCAGCTGCATTTCTAACTATTCCCGCTCCAGCTTTGTCCAGCCTGTCTTCCCCAAGTCGCAAGTCGTGAAGTCCAGAAAGAGCACGCAGGCACACGGCTAAACTCATGCCAAGAAGTAACAGTAACAACACAGGCTCATCAACCATTTCTGCAGCGGCAAGTGTTGATTCCGAACGGAGGGTCTTCAGTGTTCAGTCGAGCAACATCCCCTCAGTGACCCCTGAGCCCCCCCAATTTTTTGGCCGTTCATCGTCCTGCCGAGTCAAGCCATTTTTAGCGATGGAGCCGGAATCAGACGATGACCTCCCTCCGCTGATCGGAGAGGACCCGGCCGCTCAAGGTTTAGGGCAGTTGATGGCCTATAGGTTTTGGCACTAGAACATGCCTTCCTGTTGCAGGATGCAGACTTTTGACCATGTTACATGCATTTGTACTCGCAGCCTCCAGGCACGAGAAGTGTAGGCGCAGAATGCAGCACACATCCCTTCAGGATGGCAGCGAGGTGAGGGAAGCAAAGGAAGCAAAGGCCGAGGAGGCGAGGCGTGGTTGCGACCTTGCCACCGGACCGACACCTTTGGCAGCCAGCAAAGTAGGAGTGAGTGTGACTGTTCGTTTCTATGCCGTTCTTGGTGAAGTGTTGGGGTTTGCCTAATCTACCCCCCAGAGGCCCTCGAGTCTAAGAATGGGGGCTGGGTCAGGCCAGCGCGGCCCCTCCCAGGCCGGCACCTCGTCAGGGCCTTAGGGGCTCTTGACACCTCATTTTCCGGCGACAGGATGGCGTAAGCTGACCTTACCAAGAGTTTTTAACGCTTTTCAGGTTCATAGGGGTTTCACGAACAGAGGGCTTTTCTGGTTTCCGTGAAAGACATCCCAACAAACTCAATTCACCCATGCTATGGATTTGAGCTTGGATCCCAGGGTTTTGAAGACCACTGCGGCCAAATGTTGTCGACCCCAGGTGCTGCACACCAGCCTTCCGGCCCTTCCGGGCCTTCGGGGCCTTCCGCGCCCTCCGGGCCTTCCGTGAAGTATGGCGATGATGACCTGGACGATGAAACTGTGCAAGCAGCACAGCAACTGAGCATCTTGACTTGCAAAATGCATTAGGGTGTGGGGGTCCTTGTGCTTGTGGGTACTGATGCGGGATACCATTTCACAGTGTCCTCATGTAGAATGGCAGTGTGAGGAGATGCCGCCATTCAGCGCGAGCGCGAAGCCGGAGACAAGGAGGCACGAGAAGGGTCGAAAATGGTCCAAGACCCAGTGGTGCAAGTGGTGCCAGTGACGAGCCTGCTGTTTCAGCACTTCTGCAGGTTTCGGCTGGTGACGCGCTTCAAGCTTTGATGAAGGAGGCTACTGGGCAAGACTGGCGAAGCCGGATTTGCGTTTAGGATCCACCGGGCGGCACTTGTGTGAGGCAGAGGAACAGAAAGCCCCCTTCAGGGAGCCAGATGTGACTTTGCTGCAATCGCCAAAGTCGCTGCAAGCTTTGCGCGTCGTTTTCCAGCGTGTTTGCTCAAAGCACATGCAGGAGACGACGAAGAGAATGGCCCCCAAGTGGCAATGAGAAATCACCGAAGTTAATGACACGTGGGCATCAAAACACCGTGCGTTGCGGATGCTGCCGTCTGAGGTGCAGGCCATTGCCAAAGATGACTTCGAAGAATGCGAGGACTCTTGGTCTATGCCCTAAATTCCTATGTAGTGTCCGAAGGCAAGGATGGAAATCCTAAACCGAAGCATGCGCTGGTTATCACAGAGCCAGCCAGGATGCGCTGATGCAGGGTGCAGATGTGAACGCCGATTGTGGAGCGGGCATGTGTGCCCTCCACATGACTGCACTCAGAGGTGGGCTGACAGCAAAGAGGCCAACGGTGGACGATCAGCATGCCGGCATGCCATGAATCTGTCGGCAGGGGAGATGTTCCTGTCGGAGCTGCTCATTGCCCATGGCGCGCAGATTAACCAGCGAGACCTGAGCGGCAACACTCCGCTGCTTTATGCCTGCCACTTTTATAGGCAGCATGGGCGCGGAGTCGAGCTGCTCGCCTTGAATAATCTTGCAGTGCGAGCGCCCACAGCAACCTCTCACGTTCCTTGTCCCACTTGTCCCACTTGTCCCACTTGCCCCACTTGCCCCACGTGCCTACGTGCCCCACTTTAGGGGTCTTTCATGTCATTACTTTAGATTTGACGTGAACGCGCACACACACACACACACACCCCTCTCGCACCCTCCAAACCCTAACAAATGCACACCCCGGGGTAAGTGAGGCAAGTGAGGCAAGTGAGGCAAGTGAGGCAAGTGAGGCAAGTGAGGCAAGCGTGGCAAGCGTGGCAAGTGGGGCAAGTGGCGCCGGCGCGGCAAGGGGCAGCCATCGGCTAGCAGTGCACATGGAGGATATGCGGCACATGGGGCAAGAGGGGCAAGCGGCACACATCGTTTTGCGCTTCCAGAGTGGGGCAAGCGGGGCTGAACGGGTTTGCACATGTGTCGCGATGACCTGGCGAGGCTTTGCGCGCAGCTGCTTTTCCACAAGGCTGACCCTCACTATCGCGTGAAAGACGGGAAGCTGGCCGGAAAGAGCGCGCTGGACTTGATGGCTGCTCGGTCTGCCGTTTGTGCAGCTCTTGAATGCAGCGGTCCTCAGCGGCCGTGCACCATGTCGATCCGCTGAGGAGAAGGCGTGCCTGGAGCCGAACACGGACGAGAACGTGCCTCGGCAGATGCGCGCGATGATCCAGCTGGCACTCGAGGGGTCTGAGACTTCTATGGAGGCCATCACCAAAATGTGCCTTGGACGGCAGGGCTGCTCTTCCTCAGACCTTCCCAGCCTTCCCAGCACAGCCAATTTCCGGAACCCAGGTGGATCTCAGTGAAATCGGAGAAGAAGAACAAGAAGCTCTTCCAAGTCTCTTCGAAAAGAGACAATTTTGAATACGCCGTGAAGAGCGTTGCCTGGGAGTTGCCCGAGAACGCGAAGAACGCTCAAGGGTATGCACCTGTCAAGCTAGATGTTCAGGCTGACAGCCTGATGGAGGAGCGCTTCACGATTCTACAGGACTATCTGTTCAATGACGAGGGTGACAAGGTGAAAGTGTACATCACCTTCCCAGACGCTGCGGCTGGCAGTTTGGGCAGGAAGGAAGCAACTCGGATGTTTTTCAGGTGCAGGTATGTCCATGAAATCGTGATTTTTCTCCTTTGCCTTCGAGACACCTGGGATAACCTTGGGCGCACAGCCAGGCATTGGAAGTCAGCTTCGAATTCCAAGCTTTCGACCTGAAGTTGCTCGATTCAATTTATTTTGGGTTCCCATGAAGACCAGCCCTTGGATTTCTTCGTTCTGGTCATACAAAGTGCCCTGTGCTGGTGACCAGTGCTGACAGGTTGCGTACAGGCCAGGAGAGCTTTCGCCTGCGTATAGAACCGCTCTACGGTTCGGTCGAGGTGGATCAGCGGCTTGCCTTTGAAGCTTTGGTGCTTGAAGCTTGAAGCAACTGAAGCGGGCTTGAAGGGGACTGGTGTGTGAGAATTGGAGAATATGCAAAGCTTAAGGCCAGTTTGGCCTCAGCCTGGCCTGAGGTGCAAATACCGTGCTTCTGAATCCTCCAAGAAGGCCAGTTCTTTGAAGCATAACAAGTTGACGTCAGCCCTCATGTTGGTGCGCGTGACTGCTTTCGACTCATTGCCCTGGAGCAGGTGACAGTTACTCTTGCTAAGCGGCACAAGAACCGCATCTGGCCAACTCTTCAAAAGGCTCGATGAGCCAGCTTGTGTTTCAGGGTGCAAGAGCTTGTACTTGCACATGCGGCTTGAAGTTGGCTCAGTCGTGAAGCTAGTTTCGCAGCATGGGTGCCAACCACGTCTTTGAACTCTTGGTACTTAAGTATCTCCAGTTGAAAAAGAGACCGCCGATTCTGTTTGCGGCTCCATGCTCGGAGAGACGATCTCGGCTTGGATGTATGGTCCAGGCCTGCGTGGGTCACCAGAGGAGAAAAAGCTTTTGCCTTGCGGCATACGGCATGCCCATGCATGCCCTGCAGATGGTTTTCAGCAGCACCAAACGGCAGACCCATCTGAGCTCTGCTGTTACGTGGACTTCCACGGGCTCAGGCAAGCAAAGAGGGACCAATGGAGACTGTGATCTTGGAGAAGACCATCATTAAGCGGACTGCTCAGCCAGTGCTCGGGATCGGCCGATACTCCCATGACTCCCATGGTGCCTATGGCATGGCCTATGGCCGCCCATGTGCAGCATGTCCTGCTTATTGTCGCTTGATGTCACGTGGTGAGGTTGGGATCTCTTTTGGCTCTCGGCTTTGGTGAGGCATTCTCCTCTGGAGAAAAGAGACTTGTGCTTGGCCATCCGTGAGTCCCTGCCAGGCTGGTGCGAACATCATCTCTCACAACATGAAGGGCATGGGCCTCACAAGGGGTGGGACTAGCTGGAGTTCCGGAGGGGGCTTTGGCGTGTTGGTGTTTGGCTGCCTGCAGTCCTCACAGCAGCCTCTGTTGCGAGGCTCCGACAGTGCTGGAGTGAATGCCGTAGTGCCTGGCCTCCGCGTGGATGCCGCCACTGGGACTGCTTACGCGGTTTTGCTGCTCCGCATGCCGGAGGCGGCCTTGACAACCTCTGAGGTCATTGGCATGTGCCGAGTGCTTGACTTCAGCACGGCCACGGAGGCGAGGACATGTCACAACGTGTCGATTTACAGGGAAATCTCATATTTGGATTGTGAGCCTCTGGTATATCTTCATGTCCTGCATGTTTGCCCAAGGTTATTGGGGGAGGGGGCACGTGCTTTCTTTGAGTACGGCGAACAGATATCGAAAGAAGAAAAACAAACGTTGCCTTGTCAGCCGCGTCCCTTCTGCAGGCCTTCTTTGCGGGCATCGCATGTATACTGCAGGATTATAAGGTGATACACGGACTATTGCAATCATGATACCCTCGAAGCCACCAGTGTCAGCATCACACGTTGGAATTAGTGTTGTTGTCTTTGCACATCTTAGTTTGTTCATGTTTGCTAGCTACGGGTGGTTCTGCAGGAAGAGTTAGAAAGATAGTCGCAAAACTGCTGCAGTAGACCTAAGCTGACATGATGCGTGCCATGTCGTAGCACACTTTCATGTTGCCTTGCCTTTGGGGGGGCATGTTGTTCTGTCTGTAAGAAGGCTGCCTTGGAAGATTTTAAAATCAGACTGTTCAATGGACGAAGTAGAGTTGGTGCCCTGAATTCATGTCTTTCACCCCGTGACCACTTTCTCTTTCATTCATGTCCAATAGCCATGTGTTGGCATTCTTCGTATGTTTCCACCACGCCGTGCATGTCTTAGGACTTGAGCAATATGCCGCGAAGAATCCCACCTTTTGCACAACATGGACCTGTCGTCGATTGGACCAAGAATTGCTGAACTCAGTGCATGAAACTCCGACAAGAGAAGGGAAAAGAATGAGCGAGTTTTCGATCTTCATTTCGTCCCCGCCAACTGGCTAATACATTTGTCCTCATAATTGTTCGTTCATCCACCCTAGTGTTTTGCTTCACCATGGTTCCTGTAGGTTCTTCAGGGACGGATCATGACGTTCGTCAACCAGATTGCAGAGATCATCCACGGCGTTGTGGACGAGTTCCATGGAGTGCCCTGGCTTTGCTGATCCAGCTTAAAGAACCCGCGAGCCCCCTGCAGAAAGCCGAGTCTTATCCCTAAGCCAACGCCGTCGCAAACTGCAAAGCTGCAGACTTGGGCCAGGCACCGAACAAGAACAGTGGTGAGCAATTCCTTGTCATCTGGCGCATGGACAACAATGCCCAGGCGCGAGCCACCGGCAGCTAACTAGCAGGGCTTCATGAAGGGCAAACGTGGGGTGCACGGGGGGCATACTCTGAGGTTGGATACTCTGGGATTGGGCACACCAGGGATGCTCTAAAGAGACTGTGGTATTTGTCATGGGCCTGGAGATTCTCTGGATTCTCTGGGTCGAAGTATGTAGGAAGTGTGGAACGAAGTAACAGGATTCAATCCCTTCTGGGATCAGAAAACACCGGTCGAACTTAGAAAGTATGATTCAGAAGCAAGCAAAACAAGCCCAGCAAACAACGAAGACCAGATGCAAAAAACACAAACAGTGGAAATCGGAAAGCCAGCCGAAACCAAATCATACAGCAGTGGGGGGTACAACAGATTTGGGCCTGTTTGGGCTTGGGTTTTTAGAGCGATTAGCGTGTAGTCTCGCTGTTTTGTATGCTACCTGCAAGTTGTGTAGGAGAGTGACGAATGTGAACTTCAACGCGATTATCATCTTTGTTGGATCAGTGTGGGTCTTTGTTGTTTCTCCTCCCTGAGGCCTTTGAGCGCAGAAGAATAGCCGAGATGTCCATCGTGGCCTTCTGCAAGATCCTAGGCGCCTCGCCATTCAAGGGTGTAAGACAGCGTAGGACGACTGAAGGCCGAGTCTTGCCTGGGTTGTCCCAGCCCTTCGAAACGATGACGTCGGTCTAGGTGCACTTCATCGATCAGCACTGTTGGCAGGTGCGAGCTCAGGGATGCGTGTAACACACGTCAGGAGAGTTTCCTAGGGTTGCCCAACAGATGGGCGCCTGCCTGCAACACTACGGTTAAAGTATGTTTGGGCTGTGCATGTTGTGTGAAGCTCCGTTGTTGTGCAGATTATCGCACGCATCCTGGGCTGCAATACCGGCTCTCCAGAAACGGCGGGGCCCCCAAACTTTATCCCAAACTTAGAGAGTTAGATTCAGATGAATCAGGCATTTAGAAGCTTACAAGACCTTTCTCTTCTTCTGGCGATGCGCTGGTCCCAGGCCAGCTTTCGTCCCAGACGCGGGTCAACCTCAGCTTTGGCCTCCATGCTGGCTGGGCGATTGAGGCGCAGAGTCCACTACAAGCAAACTCTGTTGTGTGTGCTCTCGGATTGGGTGCTGGCACTGCTCTAGCCATACAGAGCACAGGGTGCCGTGGGCAGCGAGTTCAAGATCGATGCTTCCTATGTTTCCCCGAACGAGCGGACCTCAGTGCCCGTGTGCCGCCCTAGTCCTGACGTTCACGACCATTCCAAACTCCTGACCTATTCCGCCAGGTTAGCATCGCATCGAGTGTGGAACGCTGCACACAGGCAACGGCATGGCTGTTTTTGGCGAAGCTAGTTCTGTAAGCAGAACAGACGAAGTCACTGCAACTGAGCATGCAAGTTTGCAGTTGCAGTGACGTCCGTGAAGGTCTACGGTGTTTCTGTCATTGTGGCGCAAAGTTGCATGGAGCTTTGCTCGCCGGAGGTGCGATGCAAGTTTATGCACAAGTTTCAGTCGGATTGGAACATGGCATCGCCAAGTTAAGAGGGACTTCATTCTTCTGCTTAGAAGATTTCTGCCAGTACACAAGATGGCCATCTTCACTTGTTGCTCCTGGTCCAGTTGTTGGCAAAGAGCCGACTGATCGACCGCGTCCTGATCACCGGCTCGCCTACACCAATGCAGCTCTATTGTGTGCGGAAGCCAAGGTTCATGTCAGAAGTGTAGCTCACAGTGTGAAGATGCTTTTGCGAGCTTGCTAACGTTAGATTGAAGAAGAAGTCGAGGTCGACCTGGATTACTACAGCAAGAAGCTCATTGCAACAGAGCGCTAGGGGGGAGGGCTGTCTACAGGGAAGCCTTCGGAGAGGTCCATGGAGCAAAGCGGGGCAAGAGAACCTCAGGCCTGGATGTGGACAACTCGGCCAAGCCGGAGATTCCTCTCAATACGTCTCAGCCCCAGCTTAGAGAGCCTTTCGTAGTGATTCTCTCTTTGCCCTTGGCTTGTCTGCGGAGACACAACAAACGACACGAACGCACTTCTTTGCCACTTCGCTCGCACTTCGGATTCTTCAGTTTTCCTTCTTTTCCCAGGAAGAACCGCTACCGTGCCCGGCAGTTTATCGAGTCGCAGAAAGAGCAGAAGCTCAGCAAGGAGAGCAATGGAGAGCAATGTAGAGCAGTTCGGGACGTGCTGGGGGCCTTTCAGCGCTCTTTTGGCTCGGCTGCCAGGATTTCCAGATTGTAATGGCTTTCGAGGAAGATCCTTCCATACACGCTATGCGCCAGCGGCGGGTCTCTCAAACAGTTTGGTGAGAGGCTTGATGAGAGCAAGAATCGCCACCAGCGAAAGTGAAAACAAGGTACACCATAGAGTTCTTCCAGCTCTTCAACATGGGGTGGGCCATTGCATGTAGCCGGGGATAGTGACTCGCATCCCTCACGGAGTTACGCACAAACATGGTAGCTTCACGAGCCTTTGTCATCGGGTAACCTTGCAGGTACCAGAACTATGCGCAAGGTGAGTGGCTCGTGGCTAGACGGATGCTGTCGTGACCTCAGCAGTGTCCGACAGTAACAGGGCTGAGCAGTGCAGTTGCAGGATCAGCAGCAGTGGCAATTGGCACATTAAACAGTTGACTGAAGAGCTACAGTGCTATGGCACGGCTGCACGAGCCTTGAGTCACCTTTTCAGGATGGAGACGAAGGATTTACTTGGCGTAGAAGATGGCCCCTCGGCGGCTCTTCTTCGCTATATGGAGGCCGTGGAACCCGCGATGGCTGCTTTTGCACCAGATTTGTTCAGCCTAACGCGTGCCTTAGCGTCAAAGCCCTATCCGCAGGAGCCTCACCAGTTTGAGGCGCCAAAGGACTGGCACTCGATGAGGGATCTGCAGCAGCCCTGGGAGCGTGAGTAGAGCCTCTTGAAATCACCGGGGGCGCTTTCTCACGCATTAGATGCCAGTTGAGGTCAAGCTTGCTGTGATGGCAGTGGTTGTCTCACCGTAGTAGAGGTGGAGTGCAGGGTATGCTAGGGTGTGTGGAGCCAGAGTATGCATCTTCGCTAGCGTAGGGGAGTAAAAGTAGCACAGATCTCCTCCTCGCAGCGGCCCAAGGCATCGGCACTTCCGGTTAGCAAGTTGCCCAAACCACTACCGTCTGGAATGATTATGTGGAATGATTATGGGATGAGGCAGCTCACCCTTCCACTCAAGTTTCTGCGCAACTTTGGGTTTCACCAAGCGAGAGGATCGATGTCAATTTGTACTAAGCCTCCAGCTGCGAAGCGTGTGGCGAGGCTGCTTCAAACTGAAAGCTCAATCCTTAGCCTTACGCCCTCTCGCAGACACAAAGAAGATCGAGTGAAAAGCAGTCGTGGGAAAAGCCCACGCTTCAATTTGGAACTGCAGTTGGCTTTCAAGAATCCGTGTGCCCTGGCGGAGGCTTTGATTTGAGAGCCAACTGGGGCTTCTAGTAGTGCATGCAGAGGCCCCTGTCAAGCAAGTAACATCCATGTGGCACTGCCGCGCGCTAGTGCATGGCAAGTGAATTTCTGGGGTGCGTTCGGGGGTGATTCCAGCACAAACGCGAACATTGCACGGCGACCTTGGATTCGGGTCTGATCGGCTCTGCGTGATCTTCATCGAATACTAATTTTTTCAGCTGCGAGTAGCCGTTGCGCTTTGCCAAAACGAAGGTGGCGTCTAATTGCAGATGCCTTAGAGGGAGGCAAAGGCTGGTAAAAACACCCTGAGAAGCCAAAGGGCGCGCTGGCCTTAGTTGGCTTGTTTCGGCTTGATGGGCTCAAGCTTTGGAGTTTGACCATCCTTGGGGCCTTACGGCCTCTTGCTGTGTGGCCCCCTGGCTCTCTATAGAGGCTTCAATCATCGGCACTACTCGCGCACCGGAAGCGGAGCTGCCGCTTGATCTAGGAGCATCGTGTCAGGGCTTGCTGCGGCAGAAATCAGTTTCGCACCCCGAACGGAAGCAAGCGGGGCAAAATGAGTGGTCCCCCCACCCAGGTCCGCTGTCATCAGAGCTGTTAACAAAGACCAAGCGTTCGCGGTTGTCGGCGCGCCTCCTACGTCTTGCATCCTTCTCCCCCCAGGCCTCTAAAAACTGCATTGTGCACCGTTCTGGCAACTTCAGGCTCGGACCATGTTTCGACCAAGCCCTGTCACCTGCATTTTTTCGGGCCCCCGAACATGCATTACATCATGTTGGGAGAATGCCATGCGGCTATATTATCAAGCCTTATTCTTCGTCACCAGTGAAGTCAAGGGATTGTTGCACCGAATGATGGATTGGTTTCATGTCTCGTATATGGCAACTGGAGTTTCAATTTCAAGTGTCTTTCCTGAGGGCCGACCATATCTATCAATGTTCAAAGGCCCTCGCTTCTGTTCGCATTGCTGACATGGGCCTCTGCAACGGTTGAACTTGGCAGCATGTTGACACCAGAAGGAACATGGTGCCTCTCAAAGCAGTAGCATGCCGCGTGCTTTGATTGCAGAAAATGTAGAGCGGCTCCTCGACATTTACATCGCCCCTCGCGCAATGCGCGACGGGGCTCCTTGCATTTGGGCTTCCCTCGCAATCTTAGCACCATGTTGCTGTATGCTGTAGGCCTTGGCCTTGGCCTGACCATTGTTTGTCTGGCAAGTGTCATCTCCAGGCTGTGGTTTTAGGGGAGCGGAAGCTCACGGATCACAGGAGCATTGCTTCTTGATCACCACTTGCAGAAGAGCTGCCTGCTGGGCCGCTAGATGGCAGTATCGGGGTCAACGAAGCTCCTGATTATCTTCAACGGAGCACCTTGCTATCTTCCGTTGAAATGTCCTCTATCGCCCTGAAGTTCTTGTGAAGCACAGCGCTTTTACGGACCTCGAGGTCCTACCGACTTACATATCAATGTCCCGTAACGTCCCCCGCCCAAAACACGTGAACACTCAGAAACTCAGCGCTTGTCCGAGATTCAGAGTGTGCCATCTAGTCGGCCTTCTGGTTCCAGCTGGTTACGTAGCGGCTTAGCGCACAGCCTCGGAAAAGACCAGGGCGTTCATCGCAGTTCTGCCCAGTACCGCTTTGCATCAGCACCTTGCAAAGCCGAGCACAGCTCTGAGAGAGTCGAAAGTTTATGCCAGCAGGCGCAGCACGATTCCCGCAGCTATCAATTGGCCGAGGGGTAGGACCAACTGAGTCAAGGTTTTGGGGCCAAGGTTTCGGGCTTCAGGGCATCATGACGCTCGTTCCCCACTCGTCACCCGCTTGCGGCTGCCTCATGTTATGATTGATCCGCAGCCCAGCACTGCCTGCCACAACAAAGTCGAAATCCTACCACGTTCCCGTTCTCAAGTTCTCTTGTTGGCATCAATGACCATGTTGGTAGCACTGTTGTTGTGAGTGTTTGGGCTGTGAACTGTCGCGGCCACGGCAACCATGTCCACGCTAAAGCCTGCCCTGCCACGAGCAGAGTCTGAGCTGGGTCAGGCTCCCAAAGGAGACGGTGTGCCGCGTTGCCAGTAGCGAAGTGCTTCAATGCTCGCCTTTCAAATCTTGCTTTGATGCTGGTGGTGCCTCGGGTATGGCGTCGGAGGCCGGAATCGCGAATCGAAGGGTACCAACTCTTACTACTACGCGCACAACGAGGGGTGGGAGGCAGTGGCAAAGCACCCATGCAATCTTATCCTTCACCTTGCTCCTTTCGGCTCTTGAGCCTTCAAAGACCCCAACCAAAAAAGCTCAAAGACCCAACTCCTTTCCGTAGCCTGGCGCAGGTGCCCGACCATGCCAAAGTCAGAGCTGGGCCCGGGGGCCTGGGGTTTTTGAAAACCTGGAGATCTTCAGCCTAAAGTCCTAAAGCATCTGTCGCCTGCGTATCACAGTCCTCGTGTGCCATTATTCTATATTATTCTCATAGTCGTCGGTTTCGGTACTCCCATCTTTGCCGTGTGTTGGGCTCCGCCGGGCGGCAACCCAGCGTGCAACCCAGCGTGACAGGAAACACTTAGTTTTTCGGCCAGGTTCCGTGTTTTCGGCACGCCCATGTCCGTTTGGAGTTCAGTTGTTGCAAGGGAATACTTAGCGACAGGTCTTTGTTTCTCCTGTTTGAGATTTGAGCTCACCAACTCCAGGGCAAAATCCCGCAGGTACTCGCTTCTCTTCAATTAATCATCGTGACGTTGGTCTTCCTAGAACTTAGGGTTGAAGCCCAGGGCTTTCAAGCAGAGGGGCGCACTTTTTTTCTGCAATTCTGTAGCGTTTTCTCGTGTCTTCTTAAACAGCTGACGGCCTTTTGGCATTCACCTCTCCGTCCTCCCTCTCCATCCCCTTCTCTCCCTCCTCTTTTGCCTTCTTTCGAGGCCAGGCCTTGTCACCGGCGGAGCTCCGGTGAAGCTTGGCGCAGCACTTGGATCTCTCTTAAGTCTTGAGGGTGCACGAAAAGAGGCAAGCGGAGAGGAGCGCCCTCGCTGCAGGAGCTGATGGCCAGCCCAAGGACTACGGACAAGCCAAGTCTCTTGTAGGTCTTCGGAGGGTGGGGGCTTGATTTTTCCGAGAGGAAGAGTGCAGCGAAGGGAACCTTTGCAGGATGCTGGCTACCCCGGCTCTGAACATGATGGCTGGCATCTCAGCATTGGCACATGCACGGCAGCGGATGGCAGTATATGCATCTGGCGTGGATGATTTGAGAGTATATGAAAGTATGAGTCGAGCTGGATCATGTCTTACTGGCCCCAGTGGGTATGGCAGCTGCTCGGGTGAGCTGCTGGCCAACCTGGCCAAGCAAACCTGCTGAGCAAGATGCTTAAGCTTGCAGATGGCCAGGAAGAAGCTTTTCAACTCAGCATGTTGTCAACCCGAAGCCCAGAGCCCCCTCAACCCAACAATGCCGTGTTTCGTAACGACGAACCTCAGAGAATTTCATGTCTGTGCCAGTGATGCGTGCCCTGGCAGATCCTGCAGCGACCTGCTAAATGGAGAGAATCGCTAACAGCAACAAAAAACCTCTCTCTGAGAATTCGCCACAGAAGAGAACCGTTGTGTTGAGGCGAGGGTGCCCAGGCCGAGGTGGTGGCGGAGCTGCGCCGAAGGGTCGAGGAGCTGGAAGGCACAGCATGGCAGACCTCTGGCTCTTCGGGGTCCGTTTCTGGAATGTATTTGCCTCTAAATTGCCTCTCTTTCTCTTTGGGACTTCCGGACTTTGGTCTTTTCAATCGCTTGGGGCCTCGGGCATCAGGGGCTGTCAGGTCTTGTTAATCACGAAAGCTAGCCCCTGAGGAGCTAGCGGAGTATCTTGCTTAAGCGAAGCTTACAACCTGATGGGTATACAGGGCCCCCGAAGGCTCCGCCACGAAACGCAGCAAACTCGGTCGGTTTCCGGTGGGCAAACACAGGCTTTGGGGAAACGGGCTGGCGTTCATTTCTTTCGTATATTGGGTGCAGATGAACGCCGTTTTCTGTGGATCCCGGGCCCTAGAAAAGCCCCCCAAGTCCCCCAAGAAAAGACTCAGAAGCCTTGATGTTGATTTGAGTCTGGCGTCCCTCAAAGCTGGATTGGACAGACTTCAGATTTCGCCTGGTGAGTGCAACATCTGTTGTGGTGTCATGCGCTTCAAAAAAGAGCCCTCCGGAAGATGCTAACAGAAAAGCCCCCCAAGAAAAGACTCAGAAGCCTTGATGTGTGACACGGCCTGCTGCCCTGCTTGTCCTGCTGCGTAGTTGATGCCATGTTGACGGAAGCTCTTCCGTGGGGGTACCTTAACTAGCTTTCGTCCCAGGCCCTCACCCCCAAGTGCGTTAAGGTGGTTGATGGTATGTCATACTTGCGAGTGGCAGGTTAGGAAAACAATGCATGTCGGGCTTTAGTGGCGGCTCGTGAACTCAGGGCCGTCTGCATGGCATGTCAATGTGCATGGAGCGGCTGGCAGGGGTGTCGTGATTCTTTGGAATTGCTTGGATGCAGGCCAGCTGATGCAAGTGCGTGCCAGCGCGCGGCCGATCACGCAGTTCTCCTTCAGCGACGAGGGCGTGAAGTGCAAGGTTTGGCACGTAGTGTCTCCAATCTCTGAGTTTTGTTCAGGACACGTCGGTTTCCCGCATCGAGCTGTCGCGCAGACCGCGGGTCATAGAGAGGCGTCTCAAAATCTTTCCAAGGATGAAATCCCAGGCAGGCCAGACGCTACAATTGCAGGACAACAGGCAGCTTTCTTTCGGTTCCTTTCGCGCGAGACTTTCGCCTCATCCAGGTCCGGTCGATGTGTGCGGATGTCGGGTAAGAATCGGAATTCACGGCATCAAGCTCTTGATTGAGGAATTGCAGCCGCAGTGAGGATGCTCACAGCAGTTTTATACATCTAGGACGGAAGACCGCTGCCCTGTGATACGGATGCGATTTGTGGACTGTTTGGACGGGCATTAGCTGCTACAGCTGCTTTTGGGTACGCATCCGCGAGGTTACAAGTTGGAGTATTGACCGAAAGCAGCGTCACACAGCATCATCGGGCTGATGGGGGTCCAGGGAGTGCGAGCAAAGCTCAGATGTGCATGACAGACTACCCGAAGTCTTGCCTGCGCGTAAGATAGCGTGAGAGTCGAACTATTTTTTGGGCTGGGGTCCTGTCCGGGTTTTGCTTTGAGCCCTCGCTTCCCTGTCATGATAGCGGTTCGGTGATCTGTAAGGATCCGGGTTAGGTCCGCATCAAAGACCAGCAGCTCGCATGTGCAGAGTCCAGTCGGTTTCCGCTTTCCTAGCAGAAAAACCGGTTGTACAGTAATCCTTGGCTCCCCGCGTACGTGCAAAGTGCAAAGCGTGAGTGGAATCACTGTGCAATTGCCTTGAGATGATTGAAGCCCTCGCTGGTATGACAGGTCTATGTGGATGTTGAGAAAGATATCCTGGAAAGACAGACCGTTGAAGAGGGCGTTTGCACAACTCATGAGGCCGGGGTGGATAGCACAGTTTTCGAGAAGTGCGGCACTTGAAGGTGAAGGTTCATGAATCATGAATGTTGCTGAGTAAGGTTTGTCAATATAACACATGCATGAACCTTCAAGTAGGACCCTGTCGGAGTTTTGCATTGTTCGAATGTGTGAGTCCCCAGTACGGTCAGCGACTACTCTTACAAACCAAAGCGGCCATGTTCATACATCACACCACCGCCGCCACCGCCACCGCCGCCACCACCACCACCACCGCCGCCGCCGCCGCCGCCACCATCTCCGAGTGACAAGAACCGCGATGAAGATGACGACGATTACAATCAACGTGTAGTGTTGCGTGTTCTGCAGGCGCCCTGTGTTGCATCTTGGTGAAGCGTGCTGTGAGGCGGCTGTGGTTGTGTCTTTCTTCGAGAGGACTTTGGATCGGTGTTTGGGCCAAAGTGTCCTTGCCACTTCTGTCAAGTGGGGCCAATCTGGACCGCAGAAGCCTATAGGACCTGTCCGGTGAAGCTTGCTGCTGTCCGATCAGGAGCTGCTCGATTCGTGTGGCTGTGCCTGGTGCTGACGGGTTGGCAGTGGAGCGGCGTGCGCTGACACTGGTGGTGGCCCAGGAGATGAAGAGTTTGTGTGCCTGTTGCCTGGAAATGCCGGTGGTTTCCACAGCCCAGGTGGGAGATTCCGATCTCGTGCTGGAAAAGTGCAGCTACAAGGCCTCGGCCTCCGAGCTGCTGGATGCCAGCTTTGCTTGAGCCAAGCCATGTTTCAGGTAGATCGCAGCAAGGGGCGAATCACGATCAGTGCTGGACTCATCGCTTCCGAATTTTGTGTTGGACGGACTGGACAGATTGGACGGACACGAATCCTTCAACCAACCTGCCACATCCCACCACCGAAGGCTTCTACAAAAAGGATGAGAAGAAAAGATGGCAGAGTGCCGGCACCCTACCACCCTCTACCACCCTAGCGGGCAAGCTTGCCAGCGTGTGATGGCAACGTGTCGTTTGCAGTCTGCAGTGCGGTCTGACGGGTCTTCGAAACCTAGGATCAGCAACTATTGAGTTTTTGACGAGCCGAGGTCAAGCCCCAGAAGACGTGAGCCTGAGGGAGCTATTGTAGGGCAGCTAGGGTTGCTAGCAAGAGATGTTTCCTTGACCTGCAGTCCTCATTGGGTGTGCCTCGCATATTTCGTCTCTGTTTTTCCTGACTCCTGTGCAGTAGGGTCTGCTGGACCCCGGGACCTTTGTAGCGTTGCTCGATGCATGTGTCGTTTCAGAGCTGAATGCAGGAAGATTACTGGTAGAAGTCCGGTTCCAGCAGTTTAGGACGAACTCCTCATGACCGGTGCCGTGGATACATCTTCGACATCAAAAGCGTGCCAGTGGCATCTTCTTGTCGGAGGTGGCATCTTGTCGAAGGTAGCGTGCTTTGCCTATGTTTAGCGTTCCCAAGATACCTGCAGTTCCTGGTGAACCAGTCCCATGTTTCGCAGAATTCCCTCGTCAGGAGTTGGGGTTCAGGGAACGCAAGCCACCGCACAGAGCTCTGCACAGCTGATGCCCAAACCACTGCGTAGGCAGAGAGCATATCCAGCTTGCATGTCTGGCCGATCATCCACTAGTCGCAGCCGACCACAATGCCATGCAGCTGCCTTCTGCCAAGCGACAGCGCGAAGGTGCTCAGAGACTTCCTGTCCAATTCAGATTGATTGTGCCGCATGCTTGGACCGCCATGGGGAGGCACTGGAGATGTCAAGGCTCTTATGCGGCAGCTGGCCGCAGGCCGGGAGTTGCTTGTAACTTAACAGAGTCGTTGTGCATGTTGGGATATGTTGGGTGCAGTTGATCCTCGACACGTCATGTTTTGATTTCGGCATGGGGAGTTGTCAAAGGAGTCGTGCCCGGTGTGAGATAGGGCTTGCAGAATTCCTGTAGGCGGAGGCCAAGCTTCATTTGTTTAGTCTTCGGACAGCTCTGTCACAGATGCCTTGTTGTCTCCACCACTGCACTTGCAGGCCGACGCGAACGCAACTGGAAAGGGGTGCCGGGCGCCCGGCAAACTGATGCAAAGCCTCTTCCATCTGTAGTGATGTGGGGGTGCCCGACGATTCGTGCTACGGACAGAATGTAGAGGACCCGTATGATCTGACAATGTTTCTCTGCTACAGGACTCGAAGTTTGAGTCTGGCACGAAGGCTCAGAAGGGAGGAAAGCTGTCGAATGCATGCCGCCATGTCGCATCGTGTGCCAGTAGAAATTAAGACGAACTCACCGAGTTTCCGGCGGGATCCTGCTCCGCCCGTATCTTATCCAAGTCCTGACAGCCCTATGGTGCAGGCAGCACGTCGAATTGGATGTCTTCGTTTACAGTGCTGCCACAAGTGCCACTGCCTCAAAGCATGCGAGATCTTGCCCATCTCTTCTAATTGGTCGACTATGTTGAGGCTAGGTTAACTAGGTTGTTTTTGGGGGTCAGACCCGGAAGATGCAAGGTTTATGCTGAAACCAGCAAGTGGTTGCTGGCCGAGGAGATTTACGCTGAGGTCCGCAGGGCTGAGAGTGTATGGACTAGACTGATGCCGCAGATCGTGAGCAAGATGGCACACCGCCAGCAGCAACCACGATGCCCGACCATGAACGTGCGCAGGTACGGGAAGGAGGTCTCAAGCCAGACGTCGTGCTGCGTCGCTCGCTCAATCTCCGTAGGCAGTAATACATGGCAGCTCATGGACAGGATCTGCATAGATGGCAGCTCTCGCAGTACGGATGAAGTTGGCACGCCATGCAGATCCGAAGACAAAGTGCGGTAGCATGGGACAGTTTGGTCCACCTGCTGCAGCTGACCGCAGTTCTCCGGCCTCCAGCTTTTGCGGTAGGACATGTTCAGCTGTTAAACACACGTCGCGCAGACTTCCACAATTCCGTAGTTTGGGCTCCCGTGCTTTCGCGCTAAATGGCCGAGATGGTGCAAAGCTCTGGAATCTCTTGATCGCATGCCCGGGCCTTTGCGCCTCAGAGGCTGGGCGTAGCTTTGCATCGCTTTGCACTTGGTTTAGCTTCAGGGTAAGTTGGATGTTCAAAGATGTTCGTCTTTATTGCCGCAAGCTAAAGGCTACAGAGTCCACTTGTGTTAGGAACAGCCCAAGATCAGATAAGATCAGCCAAGGACACTTGCTACTTCTGCAGCTTTGGTGCCTGCGCCGCTCGGGCCTCTGCTCCACAAGACGGGCAGACGAGGTCGCAAGCAGCGCGGCATGGGACTGGCCGAGTGGATCATTCCTTCGGCTGGGCAATGACAGTGATCTGATCTATTCCAGGCCGAGCAACAACCAGCAGATGCTAGATAGAAATCAGAAATATTGTTGAACTGCGCCCTGGTTTCAGGCTCACAACGAGCGCGGGCCTGATCATCTCGGATCTGCAGATCACTGTTCCACTTGCTCAGTGTCGAGAAGGAAATGCTTCCGACTTGGCGCGCTACACTTTGCTGTTCCACGTGCACGAATCCACCTATCTGGAGTTGCTGCTACATGTGACTGCTGACGCAAACTCTACCTTGTTCCTGGGTCCGACATTGGATGATGGCTACGAGATCATGTTGTCCAGCGAGCAGGGTGGATCCCACATACGGAGGCTAATTGCAAACCGCGCCCATGGAAGCACTCTGGCGTATCCCGGCGTGAACGGACCGCTGTGATATTTAGTCCGTTGGCACGCAAACACAGGCACATATGCACGCACGCAGCCCACCCGCACACTCGCCCGCCCGCCCACCCGCACGCACGCGCACGCGCATGCGTGCGCGCGCGCGCGCGCGCCCCCCCCCACATCGCACCCGTGGCACTGTTGCATGGATTGTCGGCAGGCATGGTGCCTCAATTGAGGTACTCGCTTGGCTTCTACCAGTAATTAGGTTTACGGTTAGTAGGATCGAAGCCCTTACGGTGCAAGTTTGCCCCAAGTCCCGGGTGGACTTAGTTTCCCTCGTTGTGCATTGTTCTTTTGAATTTCGGTTCGTTGGTGTTGGTAAAGGTTTAAAATGGTTTAAAGGATCCACGCAAGGGACGCGGTGACTTCGTTCCACGAGAGGTTGTCAAGACTACCGGCGACAGGATGGAGATTCAGCTGGTATGTTTTCGTCAAAAAAAGGAGACGTGTACCCACCGCGCGGCCGCGTGCCAACTATGGCGCACGCCCACCGTGTGAACCAACCGTGCGCGCTGCGCAGCGCGTGCACCCCCCATCCCCCACACACCCCACACACACATACACACACTATGCCCGCCCGTACTGCCCGCAGCCCACGCGCCCCACCCGCGGCCATACTCACATGACGTACCCATGCATACTTCGTGCACACCTGTCCAGCCGCGCACGCTTGCACGCTCGCATCCAAACTTGCACGCACGCATGCACGCACACTGGCATTTTCAATAATTGCAAACGCTTGCGCGCGCCGCCTCGGCAACCGAGCCAGCCCACGTTCAAGGCCTCAGAAATTCGAAAGACCTTTTGCGGGTGTGGCAGGCTCATCAGGTTTTAGGGGATGTGTTAGGGTGCAGGGGGGGTGCCAGGGTCCCAGCACAAGGTTTCTTCCCTGCCTCTGCAGGAGCCGCCGACAGGCGGGACCCCCGGGGCGTCACTAAAGTCAATGTGGGAGGAAGGGTTGGGAGGAGAAGGACCGGATCCTGGTCTGCTTGTTCTGGACGCCTTTCGGCCGGAATCCGAGGCGAATTCGATTTCAGCAATTAGGCGTTTGTATCTCGCAAGCGCCTGGCTACATGGTATGTCATGGTGTCGTCGCAGCCTTCCTTCAGGCAAAGGGGGCTTTGGGCTCCACCCGGAGCCCAGGTCCTGGTGCGTCTTTCCTGGCAGTTGCTGCTAGGGGCTGGCACCCTGAGGCCCTCACCAGGGTGCAGAAGGGTGCAAGTGGTTCATGGCAAGGTCAATGAATAAGAAATATCCTCGAGAACATGTCGGAGAGATTCTTAAGCACAAGCCGGGCTGTTTCCCGATGCTAGCTGCTGACCGTTGTCCTGAATAAGTAGGAAGGCCTGCTTCCTTCAACTTCTCGATGTCCTGATAGAGCCCGGCCTGCCCAGAAGCCTCAAGACCGTGCCCGGGCCCGGCTGTGCCGGAGTCAAGGGAGGTCCCTCAAAAGAGCTCGAGTTCAAAGGATCTACAACGGCAGCGAGCCCCTTCTGGCGGCACAGCACCTGGTCTTCTTCGACGCAGCGCCGCCGCGGGCCAGCGAGCTGCGCCCAGCCCAAACTCACTTGAGGGTGGGAGCAAAACACTTTTCGACCCACCAGAAAGCCAGCAACTTCCAAAACAAAGCACCAAACGGTGTGCAATGCCTTTACTCCTTCCACTGCAAATCTCAATGAGCATCAAGAGACAATCCGGGCATGCAACCCGAAACCATCCTAAACCCCAACCCTGCACTCAATAAAACCCTGAACCAGCGTGGAAAACACCAACGCATTCTCTGCCGCTCCGCCCAACACTGCAACTTTACATGTTCGCAGTGGTATCTGTATTGGTGTTTATATTTGGCAAGGCAACATTCGGCGGTTTAGTGCTAAATCGACGCATGGCATCACGTGGCTATAGCACTCCTGAGCCGATAGTCGGGTAGACACCGCAGAGGCGCCTTTGGGCCACGACGACAAGTGACGGAGGCCAAAAGTGGAGCCGGGCAGGTTGCGGAGCGATTTGTCAGTTCGCAGCATGGTCAGGGTTTCGGGCTTGAGCTCGGATTCTGGATGTTGTAAGATGGGTTGTCACAGTAGCGACTCACGATGTCCTAATTACATCACAAGAGAGGCAGAGAACCTCGTGGACAGCACCAATGGTCCGAAAATGACACAGGAACCCCATGCCAAGGAGAGATGGAGCAAGGAGGCGGAAGAAGGGCCTGGCTGGCAAGAGGTTTGTCAACAATTTGTCTCCGTACCTTGAGTATCCCGCCAAAGAAGATTTAAATGGCTGTTGAGAGGCATTTGGAGCGCTTGCCCCGTGGGTCGTTCGGCGCCGGCTCTTCAAAGGCTTCTTCAGAAGTGCAGGGGCTGGGGGGGTGCGGGGGTGTGGGGGGTGGGGGGGGGTGGGGGGGTGGTGGGGGGGGGGTGGGGGGGGGGTGGGGTGGTGTGGGGGTGGGGGGTGGGGGTGGTGGGGGGGGGGGGGGGGGGGGGGGGGGGGGGGGGGGGGGTGGGATTGTGCAAGATAAGATCTGGTTATGTTCTGCAGCTTGCCAGACATGGATTTGGTCTGCATTTCTGCGCTCAGCCGGGGCCACTACTCACTAACACTGTAAAGCATGCGCGACTAGCATCTTTCATTGCTTCGATGGTCGATGGCTGTCGTGCCTGTTTGGAGCGGTTTGTAGTCTTGCGCGTGCGAGCTTAGTGTTGGAAGGAGTTCAGCTAGTGTGGTGCGATATCTCGCCGCAACAACCATCCGTTGCTGTCTGCGCAGGGAGAATCATCAGCGGCCAATGCTCAAGCTGGTGCGGAGACATGTTGGCAGCGAGTGTTTTCCTGTAGTTTCCCTGTTTGCTTTGATGTGTGGAGCGAGTGCGGCTCATGTCTGAGGGATGGCGCGGTGCCTTCAGAATGCGAAGGGGAGCTACAAGACGTGCCCGTGTCTAGGCTTTGAGCGTAATTTGAGCGAAGTCTCAGGCTCCGCTGACCTTGTCCCAGTCCCTATATCCCCCTTGGGAATCATTTTTTGTATTTTTGTTGATATAAAACCCAAGAGAATATTAAACATATGCTTTTTTATTATGGTATTATGGTTCTAAGGGGAGTGTAGGTCCTCCACACAAGGTTCCCCACAGCAGCTGGCAGAGTTGGCCCTTGCCACTTGCCCTTGTGGACAACCATCTGGAAGCCATGGAAAACTTCAGCTTTATGCAAGGCCCGGGCACAGACTGGCACTGTGGATGGAGCAGTTTTGCAGTGTTTGATGTGAGATCGGTCCAGGTGGCGTGTACCAACTCTGCTACGCACCCAATGCCAGCAACGACTGCGTTTGCAGCGCTGGTGTGTGTCACTTTGCCATGGATTGGGCGCATTCAGTACTCAATACTCGTTTCTCCTGATGCCGAAACTGGAAAAGGCAAAACACTGAGGACGAAAAGGGGCGGGCTTTGTGTTAGTCTAGGCGCACCCCTTGCCATACTGTAGCTTCTCCAGAATACAAAGACAACGACCCCCTCACCCTCACTGAGCGCTGCAAGGAATGCAGGAAGGTAGATGACAGAAACCATGAGGTCTTTTATGTTGCCCGGAAATCTCCGAACCTCTCAGATATAGCGCACGCTACGATGGACGGGTGGCATGGGATCCATGACGCAGGCGTCCATCACGTAGCTGGGGAACGTGAAGCGAATCTCTCCGCTTCATGTGCTCTACTAAGCGGTTACTCCGGGAAACGAGGACTAGCAAGGACTAGGGTCGACAGAAGGCAACGTCGTTAGGATCTTTCTCGCGAACGAGCAACAAGAAACTCAAACAAGTCCTGCCATGTCGTTTTGTCCTGACCACGGTGTCCAGCATAGGAAAAGCCAGAAAAAAGCCCCGACATGCTTGCCTGTGACAGTGGCATGCAATGGCGTGCATAAGGCGACAGATGCCACGAGGTGAGACGTGCGTTGTTTTGGATCCAAGGTGCTTGCAGTCTGTCTGGCCAGCCATGCACTCCCTCTGCGCTCACCGCTTTCGGATCCTGTAATCCTTTTTCGAGCGGCAGCAGGAGCTCCAGCAGTAGCTGGGCTGGTATGCTTTGGCAACCACCGATTTAGAGCGTTTGATTTGTTTTGATCCCCGAACTCAGGCAACATCTTGTTTGTAGACGTCCTGGTGCGAGGAATTGCTGGCCCTTGCAACTCCACAGGCGTGTCCAGTGCTAACTGAATCTTGCGTGGCTGCGCTGTCCCGAGTTATAAGAACATCTCCATATCCAAGATTCCGCAGGTCTGCCTCAGCGATGTTAACTGTTGGGGTAGAGCACGGGTCCCTGAGGCTGCCTGCCGTTGCAGCGCTGGGACTGTTTCTTCCGGCCCGGCGCAGGTGGCTTGTCGGGCCAGGAAGGTGCGATGCGGTGAGCTTGGAGAACTTTCGGGGGGGGTGGAATGTGAGGCACGGGCCGCTGCCTGCTCGACTTCACGGAGTCCACAGGCCGCGAGGGCTGGGCACTGACTGCCGGAGTGCTGAGCCTCGTGACCTGGCATTCGGGGGATGCGCCCTAAACCCTTACTAAACCCTAAAGCCTGAGCCCACACCCTGTCGACGACCAAGGCGACCTGGACAGCTTCCTTCGAAGTGGATGCCTTGCTCACCAGCGGTGCGCTTCTCGAGGATTTCCCTCGGCAGTGCGCCGCTGGCATCAGAGTCGGATCCCATGATTCACGTACAGAGGTAGGTACACTCGACTTGGACTTGTCTTCAATAATGCTCACCGGCTTTTGTATGAGAGACTTTGCAGATTCTGGGCCACAGTGTCGTGACACGTTGGTGGCCTGCAAATTCAGGTGTGGCACGGCAGAAGCTGCATCAACTGCCTTTCAGTCAAGAAGCTTGACAGAGAAAGTTATGATCCAAAATAGTTGTCCACGGGCATGTGGTACACAACTGCAGCTATGCGGGGCGCTAAGCACAAGAAGTGATGAACTTTGCTGTTCTGCGGAAATCCTTTCAGGCGAGCCTCTGGAGCTTCCGTCCGCCTTTCCCGCAGCCGAGCTGCCCGCCGTGCGCAGTGATGTGGCTCAGATGGACGAACTGCACCTGGAGATTTGGGGAATTTTGGGCATCTGTGTGACTTGACTTGTGGCCGAGAACAGGTGGACGCACCTTTCACAGTGGCATTGTGCTACTGTGGCTCTGCCCCTTGGTGGATGGTGTTGCGGTTCAAGAAACACAACGTATACCTGTGGAGCGCGCTTCTCACGAGGGTTCAGGTCTAGGACGTGCCACATCTGACCTTGAGAGCCCATATCAATCTTGAGTAAAGATTGATGATGGTTGCTGTGGGTAAAGGGTCCTTCACTTTGTTTCCGTTATCACCACAATCCCCTCCTTCTGTTGCGAAACAAGGTGGGGTCTTGCTCTCGCAGAGAGGATTTCCTGCAAGCTTTCGGGCGCTTGTACTTGTTCCTCGACCGCAGGTAGTCGATCATTGTTAGACTTTACGACGACTTCAGCAACAATATCTTGGCGGAAGTTTTGCCTCGTTTGCTAGCCCGTACCCTTTTTTTGCCACATTGCTGCGCCACATGGATGAGTGATGGGGCTTCCATTGCGCAGGTGGGTCGTGCACTTCTGCGACCGTGATGATTCGACTTGTGCCTTTTCAGGATTGAGCTTTGCCCCTTTGTTCACACCTTGCCGTATTCCTGATGATTTAGCAGCAATGGACATCAAGGTGATACCTCCTACCTGCGCGTGGTGCCGCAGCAGCAGTTCGTGACAAAGACGCCAGGTGGCAAGTAAGCCTGCGCAATCTCACGACTGCTCTTTCTCTCCTCGCACGCACCTCCCTCAAACGGACAAACGGCACCACGGTAGAACACAGCAGAACTTCCTGGAAACCTGGGACAAAGCTTCAAGGATCCTGTGCCCTCCTGGGGGAGCCTGCCTCAGTGGCACGTCCAACCGAATCAAGTTCGTGGAGGCGGGGGAGAAGTCATGGACAAAAGGGATCATCTGGGGGCATCAGATGGGGGTGTACGAAATCAGGGGTACCTCAGTGGGGTCCTTAGTTTAAGGGGAACCTGCTATTTGGTGATCTGTGTGGGTTTCCGGATTCGGAACGGCTCGACTCCTCCCTTGTGTCGAGGTCGGAGACACTGAGCCCCGACCCACGTGGCGCAGAGACAACCTTTGCCAGCAGCAGTTGTGCCTGGTCCCATACCAAAAAAAATATATATATAATTATATTTATATTATTTTTTTTAAAATATTAATAGAAATAAGAATTTAAATATGTATGAATATATATATATATATATACATACATATATATATATAATATACATAATCTAGAGAGCAGCGCCAGAAGAGGCAGAACCTTTGCATGGGCCACAGGGATATCCGCAATGAGGCTGGAGCCGCCTTCCGTCGCATGGCCTTCTTCAGGGGACAGCCTCTCGCTGGATGGTGGCTTCCGGGTTGACTACAAAGACGCTCTTCCGCAGGGTTTAGGGTTTAGGGTTTAGGGTTTAGGGTTAAGGGTTAAGGGTTTAGGGTTAAGTTAAGGGTTTAGGGTTTAGGGTTTAGAGGGCATGCATTGCCAGGGTCGAATTCCGCATTTCAGCATCCGAAGGGATGACCGGCAGTGGAGCTGGACAGGTTTGACGCATTTGTCTTGTTTGACACGCCTTCGTCTTTCTGTAGACTTCAAGTTGAAGCCTGCAGGACAGAACCTTGTCTCGTTGCCGCGCGATCTGTCAGGTATGGTCAGACTTTCGGGTGAAGCTCATTGCGCCGCCTCAGACGACCTTTGCTGTGTGCTACTGTGGCCAAGCTGCACCACCAGAAGCTTGAAAAGTCATGTTCTTAGCATTTGGGGCCCGAGTTCTTTCCCTTCGGCTATGCCCAGAAATTGCTAACCGAAAAGGCAACCGGGACTGCGAGTCTGCAGAGAGCTGGTTACAGGTTGCCACCGTGCACCGTGGCCGCATTAAGAATGCCAGGGCCGGAAGGGCTTAGCCCGCAGGATTTCTGTGTGACGAACCCAGAGCGTAGTCCCATGGCTGATGTGGCGATCGGTATGCAGCCCGCTTGTGGCCCTCTGGCCATGAAAAATCAGGCAAACTGTCCTGGCCTACGCCCTCGCCGCAAGAACGACCCCGGGCTGCAACATGCTACAACAATGGTGTCTTGCCGAGCTTTGAAATTTTACGTTCCAAGATCGACCATCTCAGGCTTGGGGTGTCGCCCTTTTCTGCGCCGACAGAAACCATTCGGTACATCAACAAGCCAGGCAGGATCGCGCCACACCGTGTGATAGAACCGGCCGACCCCTTGTTGCGGTGCAGTCGCCGCACACTCTCTTGAGAGGCAGCTTCACACTCTTCAGTGGCATCAAGTCTGGCTCCACCCCTCTAAGCTTCGATGGGAATCGCTTCCAGGGCCCCTGCCTGAGCTTGAGGTCCTTTGATGCCTCAGAAATGGGCCCCAAAAGTATCAAAGGAACTAAGACACCACACTCGCCAAATATTCAGTCGCCAAAGGCCGTAGCGAGAGCTCAAATGACCTGCCTGCCATCACGCACAGCGACAAATCCGACTGCAGACCTGCAGCAGCCGAGGTGATGCCCTATTGAAGCAACTTGACAGCATTGGCCCGCATTAGTTAGTCTTCTGCGAGTTGTGCATTGTACAGTCTGGTGCAGGTAGTCCAGAACGTGACATGGCGGTTTGGTTGTTGTGTGAGATCGCGAGGCTTCTTTCCTTGGACAACGAGGCCGACCCTTGATGGATGCAAGCTGACGTGAGATGCATGATGGCACATGTATATGCTCATGACATTGGCAGAAAGGCGTTGATGATGGTGACTGGCCATCCTCGATAAGATGTTAAGCCCAAAGCTGCTGAATCTTGCTCTGGAGCACAGGTTGGCTCAACAGGAATGACCTTGGCGGACCGCTACGGTGTGAGGACTGTGGCGGCGGTTGAGTTCTAGGTTGGTGCTTTCACCCTTTTTTGTGGCGTGTTTTTGGCCTTTCGGTCCTTTCGGTCCTTTCGGTCCTTTCGGTTCTCGCTTCAGGGCTGAAAGCGCCCCAGTTCACTGGTGGATGCCATGAGTTCGGAGGTGAGGATCTGCTCAAAGGCCTCTTGGGGGCATTGCAAATCATGCTAAGGCTTTGCTTGACTTCTTTCACTTGATTGATGGATTGACTGATCCGATGATGGGGTGCCTGGCCATGTGAGTGATGCTGAGGGCCAAAGCAGTCCCATCGGGATGCCAGGCCCTGGACTGGCCTCTTAGCGCCCACTTGGATTGTGGGCAGCATCACAGGAACGTGAGGAGACGCGTGGAGATAACATCGCGTTCTGACCACCATGCAGACACCCTGCGAAGTGAAGTGCATTTTTTCCTTGGATTCGGGCAAAGTGAAATGCCCCCGGTCGGGCGGCGTCCCTTCCGAGCCCTCGGAGAGTTCCTGGTCACCTCCCGGTGTGCTCTGTCCAGAAGCCACCTGCGACCTGAACCTGCGCACTGTCACAGCCTGAAAGGCTTTCGCGTTCCCGCGTTCGCGTTGCATGGGGGGGCATCTTCTTGGGATCTGAATGTCAATGGTCACGGTGTGGCTTGGGAGGCTTTGCACAAAGGTCTGCGTACCACCGTGTTGGCGCGACTCCAAGCGAAGTGCGGGAGCAGGCTGGATATTGCAAACGCTGGGTTCGCGGGCCTTCCGGCAGTGAGGTACGACTGTCGTGCTGCTTGGGCGCAGTACATTGCCCCCGCCATTGTCTCCCGGATCTTTGCAGTCGCACCACAGGTAGTCCTCTCGCCTAGAACCGAAGCCTTGACCGCCTTGTGCAAGCCTGAGAGTCGAAATCCAAAATGGCACGGAGCGCTTATGCGGGAGATTTGGTGCGACTGGTGGCTCTCACTCCAAAAAGACCTCCCAAAAAGGAACCAAGTCTTAAGCTCTTACAGAGGAAGGCGGAGATGTTTTGTTTTGGTCCAGTCCTTTGCCGGAAACGTGCTGCGTGCACTTTGTTGTGCGGGAGGACCAAAGGCCAAGCTGAGCTTCAAAATGCGTTGGATGGTGAGTGTGGCTTTCAAGAATTTTCCTCTACGTTGGTGGACGCCCGTCTCAAAAAGACACAGGACTCGTTGTAGAGTGGCCACGTCATGCAGAGGTGCAATTAGCGTGGAGTGGAAAGGGGTCCAAGGAGCTAGATTGGAAACTGTTTAGAAGGTCAGTGTTGGCCTAGCGAGTCTAGCAGGATGAAGTAGCATGACCGGCAACTTCAGGGGACTTCTTGTTGGTATGCTGCATGATCTGCTCAGGAAGGCTTGCAAAGCTTGGAAGACTCCAACACGCGTCGTGCAAGTACCACTGACCTGAGCAGTGCCCTGGCAGAGCACTCTCGGCCTTCATGGTTTTGGGGTGCAACTTTTGAGTTGAGCCATTGTGTCTTTAGGATGTAGGCTTTGCGAATCACCTGCTCATGGAGGGTGTTGGGTTGAACATTTTGAGGCCACCTCGCGTTCGCCGGGGTGAACCAGGACTTGACGCTGCTTCCATTGAAGGCCCCCAGCATATCCCGCCACAGCACTGCAGCAACTTTGAAGATCCTCGACGTCCCCAAAGGCCCCAAAGGCCCCAAAGGCCTCATCATCCACATCCGGGCAAGGCCGGCACCCTTGCTGCTTGCTACTGTGGCTCCATCACAGCGCAGGGCAACTGTGGCGGCGCTTGGAGACTTGCCGGCACTGAAGGTGTGTGTTTAGGCTAAGAGGTGTTAGCTGCAGCTATACTTCTTCCATATTCTGCCTAGTATGCCCCCAGGGTCGAGAATCCGAGGCTCTTTGCCGGCCTGATTCAGATTGCTGGCCCCAGAGGTGGACAGGCCAGCACATGTTCACACTGGAGCTAAAGTTGCTGTGCCCTTGTTTGGGTCTTGGGGTATCTGCTGTCTGCCCGGCGTAGTGCATCAGAGTTGCACGTGCAGACTCCCTGCCGCTCCCGGTCTCTTGCTTTTTTGTCCTGCTTCACAGGTGGCCACTCAAGACCATGCCTTTGTGTTGGCCCGTTAGCCTTTCAACCTCGAGCTGTATTATGGTTCGTCTGCACAGGCTCTTCAACGATTGAGCAGAAGAGCTTCTGCCCATTGGGGGACTCTCTTTGTGTAAGCGGTTACGCAATCTGCGACTCGAGCGGCTTCTGACACAGTCCGTATAGGCACTGGTCAGTGGAATTGGCCACCCTTGCGCCGCCCTTTTTTTTTTTTTTTCTCTCTCTCTCTCTCTCTCTCTCTGTCTCACTATCCCTGTTTCTCTGTGTGTCTGTCCCTCTCTCTCTCTCTCCCTTCCTCCCTCTGTCCCTCCCTGTCCTTGACGTTTGCCTTCAGGCATGGGTGATGCCAACCAGGGTTGTCGTCGGCCTGCACGGTATCGAAGGTTGGGACCCTGCAAAAGTTGTCCTTCTATAGGTCCTCAAGACCCAAGAGACGTTTTGGGTATCCAGATGTTCTAAGACTCCATGTACGCTCCTTTGAGAACTCTCTGCACCACTCTGAGGTTGGGGCTTCAGGGTCACAGACAACATCCGCTTGGTCACTTCCAGCGCGCTCTGCGTCGCTTCGATTCAAGAGAGAAACCCATCAAAAGGCAGATAGAGGCCGAGAATGGCCGACACCTGCACATTGTTGCACTGCCCGTCTGCGCTGAAGGATGGGAGCGACGTGCCTGGGAGTGCATGGAATCCAGAGGGCACTACTGCTGTGAAGGTGGGGAGTGCCAGAGGGGGTTATTTCGGGGTTATATGTGGTGTGCTCTGCCTGGGAATGTGCATGGCGAGCTTGGCCGCCAGGTCGGATGCCCGTATGGTGTCAACTCCTCAAAGGTTTGTGCGTCGGCATCAGTGGACGAGATGTTGGCAGTGCAGTTCGGCATCGATACGGCAAGTCCCAGCAAAGAAAGTGCACACGTAGACATCTTTTCAGTGTTGCGGGACGGCAGCCTCATACCATGACCAACTTCTGATCTTGCGACATGTCCTCATCTTCTGCAAGGCAGCTTTCTGACAACTTGCGGACGGGGGTCAGCATCGTGCACTGGCATCTGGGCGAGACTAGAGAGTGGAGCGCCTTGCAAATCAACCCAGTCTTGTGAAGCTTTACGACGAAGCGGTAAATCCTGAACTCTGATCACCGGGTGGTTGGGATAGGTTGGTATTGCTTCATGAGGGCTGGCTGCAGCTCACTTTGTGATGTTAGCTTCCAACCCTTGCCTTCTCTTGATTCTCTTGCCTCTCGTTGAGGTTGATCGAGGGGGCGCACAGCAGCGTGCTGACCTTCTCGAGCCCTGTGACGGACCTCCTGAGTGACGGCGATGTGCCTTGGCTTTGGATGTCGACATTTTGCCCGGAATCGCCGCGTAGTTTGGGTGAGGCAATCTACATAGAGCCCAGCAGCATCCGCGTGGATGGCCAAGATCTCGCAGCGGCCTGCCATTGCACATTCAAGTGGGGTGGCTCTAGAGAAGCAGGATCATGCATTTTCGGTCTGTCAAGGTATATTAAAAGGACCCCAATCAATCCTGCAGACAGTTTGAATGCCTTCGGGGATTTTGCTGGCTACAGCCTTTCCAGGCACTTAGTTGTGATGCTGCGGCTGGCTTTACTGTATTCCCAAGAATCCAAGAACGCCACCCGCTGACAAAACCGAGGGACCAAGAATGCCACCTGCTCACAAAATCGAGGGATTTGAGGGCCCAAGAATCCACAAAGGCCATGACCGACACGGAGAAGTTCTATGCTATGACCTTGACGGGCATGGGCCAGTTCCAGGAGCTTGGTGGAAAGCTTCGGAGTTCCTGCGATATCCGATATCTGCGATGTGCCTTCTTTTGGGGCCAGGATCTTGACCATACAGGATTCGCAACGGTGAAGCCTGTAAGCATTGTTTGACGGGGCATGGTTGGCACACTGGGAGCATATGTAGGCATTGCCTTGTTCCCGTACGAATGTGACAGCCCGATTGATGAAAGGCAATTGCATGTCTTGCGTGTTCATGTTGGCCAAGGTGACTTGCATGATTCCGGGCTTGATTTCCTGCCGCAACTTACAGCAGTACTTGCCGAAACAACAAAGCGAACATACTGGAGACAATACTCCAGACCCCATGCGAGACGGGTTTGGTCACTTTGAACGGCCTAACCAGACGGCCATTGTGCCAGGATGACGGCACCAACTTCCTACGTCACTGGCATCATGTCCAGCTTCTGACCTCCAGTGAAAATGGGCTGTCAACAACGTCGAAGGCCGCCGGGTTCTCAATGCCGAGCTTTGCAGGTAGAGGTTGGGATTTGATGATGGTCTAGAGATGTCTTCGAAGGGTTCGTTTTCAGGCAAACCACAGATTGGGAATTTTGGGTTTGGGTAGCTGGAAAGCAGCATGACCTGACTCGACCCCCTGCAAGCGAGAAGGTACGCATTCCTGTCGGATGGCCCGAGGCCGGGCATCTTCTCACTGCCTCCAAAGCTGTAAGCTTACATGCTTCACTTGCAGCGTGGCGGCAGCAGTCTGTTTCACGAAAGCAGACGTGCCGTCTGCACAGGACATGGACAGACCGAACATTGCACTGGCCAGCACCCAATTACAGCAACTTGGTTCCAGCAAGTTACCTCACCTCGCCGACTTCTGCCATTTCACTGCTCCCTGCACCTACTTGCGAAAGGGCAGAAACGCAGCTACATTGACACGGATGGTCAGCTGTTCTTGCGACTGCTGACTCTGAAGTGTTTGCGAGTCATACCTTCTGTCGAATGCTTGCGCGCGATGCAGGTGGTATCGAAGCAATGTGATGAACTCACAGGAGGAGTTCAGAGCAAACGGCGTTGCGGCGGACTTAAAGGCCTCCGACGCACTAAGTGATTTGTGATCTTTCTGCTTCGGTGAGAACTTGTATGGCAAGTCAGCGACTGGAGCTTGTGCACTCTATGAGCAGAAGCAGCAGTCCGGCAGGTGTGCTGGGCGCCGAACGAGACACTGGGCTGAGAAGACTCCCCAAGATTTTGCCGGTTGCCTGCCGATGTCCGCCTTGCTTCAGGGAGGGGCTCATAGACTCGTAGAGGGGCATGCCACTTCATTTTGAGCAGATGACTGTGCGGCGCGTTTTGCTCGATAAAAGAACGACAAGAGCAAAAACGCAAGTAAGGCACATCCGTTTGGGCAGGGGGGTCTTTGCACACCCTGTTGACACATGGACCTGCAGCCTTAAACGGATGGTCAACGAAACCTTAGAGGGCCTAAGCCTTGAGAATAGGATTTGCCAGGAAGTGTTTCAGATGCTGCCATCGCTGGCTCATACCAGGGTTCCAAGCTGGTGGATCGCGAACATATCGCCTGCAGCGTAGCAGCGAATGGCACGCACGCTGGCTTTTTTGTGCTTTGGAGCACTTGCAGGCGGAGTCATTTCGAGCCCATGTCGATTATCAAGGTGCCTGTTACGCTGATATCGTTGGCGGGTGAGCAGCCCTTTACCCTGACCTGGCCTACATCTGTTCAAGCCGATGACTATGTGGCTCTTGCCCTGGGTCGTTCGCCAGAAGTGGGGGGAGTACGCTTCAATCTGGAAAGGCCTATATCCGTGGATGGCAGGGCGACGGCGAAGAACATGCGGCTCGCAAGCTACATGAAAGGACGTCTCAACGTTAAGGTGTGCCATATGGGTTGCGCAGACCGCGGATTCGAGTGCCTTCCGCAAGTATTCGTGAAATTGGAGAACTTGCCTGGCATGCTGCATTCTGTGGCCTCGCAGGTGCTTTCGCTGAAGGAGTTGCTCATGATCGAGGAGGCTCCCTTTCAAAGCTCGGGTTCACAAGATGTTGGCCTTTTCGTGAATCAGGCTGAGGGCCGAAAGATGTGGCAAGCGAATTGCCGCACCTGGCGTTCTGCATGGACTCGTGGCTTCCTGAGGAATGTGGGGATGCATGTTCTCTGTGGCACCGTGGAGTGCTGGCAGCCTCGTGGGTGGGCACAGGCCTTGGCAGAAGCATCTCCTTTACTTCGAGGCTTCCATTTCCGTGGACGCCCCGGGGGGGAATGGGCTCGGCCCAAGATGCGTGATGCATACAATTATCTCCACAAGGTTTATTCCATGGGGGAGATTGCGCGTGAGCATGCCTACTCCTACATACTGTCCTTCGACGACGATGTGCTCTTGCCAGCATCTACGATTGCATACCTGGCTAATGCTGGCGAGTCGAGTCGAGCACAGGGCTGCGGTGTTGTGTCGCCACTACTTCAGAACGGCGTGCCGATGACGGAGCTCTGGGCTGAGGAGTTTCTCACGCCTCACGAGAGGCGTCGTTTGTTTGAGTGTTTTGAAGGCAGTCAGATACGAGGTCCATGTGACGCAAGGCATGAGGTGGTCGAGGCTCTCTTACCAAAAGGCTGGGATGGGCCAACCTACTACAGGACCTTGGCTGCCTATGCCAAGGGCAAGGAGACAGGACCTCTGAATTATCGATTGGTTGGACACCCTGTGCGCTTCAATAACACTTGTGGTGCGTTAGCCCTTGGGCTCGCCTTGGAGCATGTTCCACACGAGTGGCTGCGATGGCGCAGCGATCATGCTTTGATTGTGGACAGAGAACGCAGATACCCTTACTTGTCCAACAATGCTTTCCTCATGGCCGCGCCATTGTACATGGACGTCTTGACGAGATTGGAGATGAGATGGGGCAATGCAACGGGGCATTTCGGACAGCCAAGACATACATGCGAGGAGCAGCTGGTGAACAAGGTTACAAAGTTACATGGCCTGTATCTATGCTTTGTCAGTGGATCCTTTGGCATCCACCCAGCCTACAACACTCAAGCCGGCAAGGAGTTTTGGGAAGACTGGGCTGTGCAACGCGTTCTGGAAACCCTCAAGTCTCACCGGTTGTAGCCAGCCTAGCCAACAGGACAGTCTGGCCAACAACGATCGCACGATCTCTTTAGTCGCGTGACGAAACGTCGCCAATCGCGCATGCCACCACGAAGACGCTGCAGCCAAAGTCGTGTTGCGCGCGAAGCTGCATTTTGCGTGACAACTGCTTCATGCTGGTCGGAGTATGTCCCCATGTGCACTGCTCGAGCCTCGATCTGGAGAGGACCTGCCAACCTCCTGCGGAGGCTTCTTATACTTTGCCTCCTGGCCCCAGTGTGCGGAAAAAGTGTGCGTCTAGCGAGTGCAGCCATTCCGGGAGCCTTTTTGATCCGCAAGTGACAATCTCAGGCAGGTCCCCCCCATCTCCCCCCCAAAGTCCACCGTGAGCATTGATGAGGCCTTGCCCATCGCCACCCCCACAGCAGCGCCAGCAACAAGGCAACAGCGACAACAACAGCACCAGAATCCCACAGGCTACAGCCGTAGGCCATCTAGCCCCAATGCCACAACCCAAAGCCTTCCAAGGAATGGGCTCTCCTTCTTCTACGGCGATGCAGGGCGGGTTACTTTTGCAGAGCCGCCAGAGCTTTTAGGCTTGGAGGGGTCGCAAACACGAGTTTTTGGCTCCGCGTTTACGTTTCTAAGGCTTCGAGGTTCAATTCGGGTGCTTGATCGCTGAAGCAGCAACGGGTCAGGTCTCAGGCAGCTTGCCACAATCACGTACCTGTGCAGCACCTCATCTCAGTTGACTACTGTACAAAAGGTGCGAGGATTGCTTTGACGACGCGCCGCGCAGGAGCAGCAGGACAAGCGACTGGGCGCAGGGGACATGGCAGTAGCAGGTGCAAGTCGCGAAAGCTTCTTGACGGTGCAACTTTTACCGTAGTTCTGCAGCCCGTTGCTGGCATAAAATAAGCTTGTTTCACTATGGCAGCATGTGGCAGCTCGGCGAAGCTTAGGTGTTGATCTCCTTCTCACCAACCAGAGCAGTGGCAGAGTATCGTCCCTCGCGCTCCGTGGGCCGCATGCGACTGGTCCTCCGCTTCCTGAATACAGGCGCTGAAGCATGGTAGAGGTGGACGCTGGTGGGTTCCCAGAGGTTTTGAGGCCTCCCAGACAGAAGTGAATCTGTTATCCGACGTCCGCCGTTCTTTCAAGCGTCATGGCTGGCAGGCAAGCTGCGGTTGGCCGCAACTGATGCCCAAAGTATGTCCCAGGCCAGCTCTCAGAATTGGCGATTGAGGGAGCCTATAGTTCGAACTAGTAGTCACTGGGCTAGGTCGAACTGGCTACAGCACGATGGGTAAATGGAGCGCGGAGTGTCATGCGCCAAGCGATGACATAGGTCAGACGGCTCACAACTCAAGGCTGAGAGCCCGTTGGCGAATCTGCATGTGTCATGTGGGGGCGAAAGCCAATGAAACACCAATGAAACAAGAGCTCTGAAGGCAAATAGGTCTGAGATAGGGACATGTTAGGACGCCCACCAGCCCAACAGCGGAACCCAGAGGCAGCCTGCGGCCGACTCTTCCGGGAGCTTTGGTCGGATGCACCGGGCAGCTTTCCCGTTCCGAGAGGTCGCTTTGAAAAATCTGTCTGCCTGTCTGCCTGGCTGCCTGTCTGCCTGTCTGCCTGTCTGCCCGTCTGCCTGTCTGCCTGTCTGCCTGTCTGTTTACCTGCCTGGCTGCCTGTCTGCCTGTCTGCCTGTCTGCCTGTCTGCCTGTCTGCCTGTCTGCCTGTCTGTTTACCTGCCGGCCTGCCTGCCTGCCTGCCTGCCTGCCTGCCTGTCTGTCTGTCTGTCTGTCTGTCTGTCTGTCTGTCTGTCCGCGTGTGTGTCTGTGCGTGTGTCTCTGCTTGTCTCTGTGCCTGCGCGTGTCTCTGTGTGCGCGTCTGTGTGCGCGCGTGTCTGTGCACACGTGCCCACGTGTTTGCTGCGTCTGTCCGCTGCTTCTGTCTGCTGCGTCTGTCTGCTGCGTCTGTCTGCCACGTCTGCATGCGCGTGTGAGCGCGTGCTTGCATGTGCTTGCTTGTGCACCTGCATGCATACATTGCAATAACTTGCTTCAAAGCATGTTTGGAGGGAGTGTTGCTCAAGGCTGCTGGCTTGACGACGTCGGGGCCGATGGAGAGACCAACCAGCATCTTCAACTGCAGGAATGCCGGAATGCCCAGTTGCAGTTGGACAGAAGACAAGTCGAAGGTTTGCGTGGGACAGGATCGCCGCGGTCAGTATTTTCCGAACATGCCCGCCCTAAACCTGAGCAATTTGACGGGCACTGCGGGGATCATCTGGGATTGCGCAGTCCAGGGATCCTACGTAGGCTTTGGGGTGGGGGGCTATCTGGGGGTGGGCACTTCAGAGATTCTCGATGGGATTCTCTTAAGGTGGGCAATTGAGAGATACCCGGCTCTCCATCAGGGGCCAACGTCTCCCTGAGCTCCCCTGTTTCGGATTCAGTTCAGGCATTCAGGGTGAAACCTTGAATCGTTGCCGCAGCAGAGGCAAGAGCTGTCGATCCTCTTCGAGCGTTTCTACGGCCTGCGAAACCGGTGCGGCAGCAGCTCCTGTACCTACCAGCTGGTGCCATGTACCGAAAAGTTGGCTTCCCGAGAATCCCACGCGTTGCGCCCCAATGATTGACACCCTCAAGCATTGACGTCTTGCGATTCTGACTGCGCCCAAACATTCAGGATTCGGTCGCTTGACCAGGGTAAGATAATAGAAAGATAGGCGTAACGAAGACTTTGGGTTCACGATCCCTTCATTTAATTAGCTCGAGCCCAAGCATGAATCCCTCAACCCGCGGGAAGGGCCAGCCCTTTTGTGTGCACGCACTGTAAAACGACAAGGGGTTCCATTACAGTATCTGGTACGGGCACTTGGGGACCATCTTTTCGGAGGTCTTGGATGCCGTGGCAGCTGACCTGAGCCCCTTGGAAGAGTTCCTGGACCTGGATGTAACTTGCTTCTACGCCGATGGAGGCTCTTCTTCCCTTCGCCCTCGGCCTCGCCCCTCCCATCTCCAACCTGCCTTACTTTGCACCTGAAGATTCTTCGAAGATTCTGTAACAGAGCAACATCATTCCACGGCCTGGAAGCATTCAGCGGGCGCGCAGCTCGCAGTTTCGGCACAGCCATCTCCCCAAGGTCACATTTGCTTTTGCAGGATGTTGCTGGCAAAGTTGTGGGAAATTTATCAGAAGCATCCGTTGCCCAAGTTGGGGGCTGGGCATTGGAGCTCCCTGCTCTAGAATCATCCCCCACCCATCCTCCTCTCTTTTGGGGGTTTGGTTTCTGAGACCTGTGGCTTGGTCAGGCTGCCAGCAGCGCTATCAGGTCTACGAGCGAGCAAGTCACCGGACATCATTGGTAGAGGGTGTTTGGGATTCTCTTGCAGGCAGTGTCTCTTGCTGTGCCAATCTCAGGTGTCGAATTGCGCGAAGGAGGCACTCAAGCAGTGGGAGCCGACTCCGGACTGAACCTTGACCTTCAAAACACGGAGGCAGGTGCGCAACACCTCTTGCCTGGTGCGGTAAATCTCACACTGCGCCTCTCCGCTGCGAACCTGCCTGGCATCGAACAGAGCGCCTACCTCCGCCTCTACCTCCTTCCCATCACACAGTGGAGTCTTCCCATCGGCTCCTGCGCCTCCCTCTGCGCTGCCTCGCCTGGCTATGACTGCGGGACCCCCGACTGTGTTGTCGAACAGCTGCTGCCAATGGTCTTCCGCAGCTACCTGGAGCGCTATGTGGTTTTGCGCGTGCAGCTCCCGGCAACCATGGACACGGCCGTCGGCAACATCGTTCACACCCTGTCGGTGCTGAGTCTCCCGACACTTGCAACAAGTGTAATTAGTAGACATTTGTAGTGTTGCATGGCCAACCTATCTCTTATCACGATCTTGTGCTCTTCGCAATCTGGAGCCACCCAATAGGCCACGTTGCATTTGACTGTTGCGGCTCTAGCTGGGTCAGCCGCATCACAGCTTCGGATTCACAAGCCAAAGCGTTTTCTTTTGCTCCACACTCCGTGCCCGTCTCTCTCCATCGCGACACGAGCTGACTTGAAAGGAATCCATCGGCTGACATTTTTCCGATCGAGCTGCCGGCCCAGCTGAGCAACAGCCAGGATGCAGAGCCGCAGCAGCGTGGGCTGCAAGTATTTTGACTGTCGAAGGTCAGGGAAGGTATAGGCGAAAAGTACAGCTATGCAAACTAGGCAAATGGCAAATGGCAGATGGAACTTGAGGTACCTTGCAAACATCGGCTACATCTCATACCTGTCAGAAGGCTGCTTGGACTCCCATGGGAAGCGTAGGGCTTGACATTCTCCTGCGTTCATCATGATACCACCGAAGCCCTCTTAAAAATATACACTACCTATATGCACATACATATGTATATATATATATACATACATACATATATATACATATATATGTACATATATACACGTATGGGCCACCGCCCATCCCGCACGAAAATGCCTGGTAGCATTCACACTGCAGGTTACGACTTGTTTAGGCCATTACCAAAGTCATTTTTTCAGATGCGGGGACATGAAGCGTTGTGCAAATGAAGTAGGGTTTTTACTACTGTTCTTGGTGAGTGTATATAAGGTTCCTTTTCAAAATATATACCCTACTTCATATCGAAACCCTTGGCATCTACGCAAGCAGGAGCTGGGCCATGGCTTCTTACAGAGGTAAGGCTTCTCATGAGTTTCAAGTGACTAGAAGGTTTTGAAGAGCTGTCTTGAGTATCTTCGCTTCCCCAGTGACAACCATAAATGGCTTTACTGAATTGTTTGACACATGTGAGATATTGTCACTAAATTGCTTGTACGAACCGAGCGTTTGGTTCTGACATATGAGTTTAGGGCTACAAATGATGATGCAAGGTTGTTTTCTAATCAAACGGCCTCTTGACAGCATAATGGTTTTTCAAGCGGGACGGGGTGCCTACAGAGGGGAAGGGCTCCCTAGCGGAAAACGGGTTTAGTGGTTCAATGGTTGAGGGATTGCAAAAAGATTTAAAAAGCGCACGGGGAGCACGAATGGCGGTGACCCATGTTGTGTATGTATATACATATAATAAAAAAAATCAAAAAATATACATATAAATAAATAAATAAATGAAAAATATATGTATATATGTATATATATATATAGAGGTTGCGTTTGGGCATCACACTTGCGCGCAGGCATCGCCGAATGTTAAGTTAGTGCTGTCTCCGCTTCAGCCACGAGTTTTTCAAGCGTCTTTGACCGATGCTCTGCAAAGTTCGCTCAGGAAACCCGCTCTCCTTTGCACGAATACTGCAGACGGGACGTGAGGCGCGGAATTAGGTGTGGCTTCCTCAGCCGCTGCACTGTGGCACTGGCACATGGGAGCACTCACCGTGGGATAGATAAGTATGTCAACAGAGGCCATGTGCAAATGGCGGGCAGGTAGTGGCTGTGTGTGTGCTGGCAGGGTTCGGGACCTCACCCTTTCGTTGGTCAGCGGAACACGCTCTATGCGGCTCGGCTGCTCATTGTGTTGTCTGTGCTCCACCATTACACCTGACGCAGTTTTTTACCATGTTGTTTGTGTTCCAGATGTTCGAGGTCCAGATCGGCTTCGGTGTGACAACGGGACGGCTTACCATGCTGGAGCTGCGTTGCTGCAAGTATCACGTGGTGGTATAGGCCGGACACCTTGCTGCTGACAAGTCGAGCCATATTCAAACGGGGACGTAGGTTACATCACAGCAAGAGGCCAGTTGCTCAGTGCATGGTGTTGTCTTCCTCTTCCATCTATGGGTTGAACTCGCAACCATTCTAGTCGGTGTCCTGCTGCTTCCAAGGTTGTATCCTCCTGCTGGAGTGGCTTGCCAAGTCACTGAGGAAGGACATGTACTGCATGAGCTGGACAACAGCAGCCGGGTTGCAACTTCCGGGAAGGGAGTTGAATGACCTTGAGCTTATCTCCTTTTACTTTTACTGGAAATATGAAGTTACGCACTGATCGCCAGCAGCTGAGTGAGGTACTGCGCTGGTGACTGAATTGCCGCTGGCTGGTGGTCAGACGGCCCCCTTCGATGACAACGTGCAGCGCCTTTGCCGGGCAAAGTTAACGGCTCCAGACACGGAAAGGTTATTGCAATAAGAATCATAATGAGTATCATTATTCTTGTTATTCTTGTAATTATTGTAATTATTATTTATTATTATTCTTCTTATTCTTGATATTACTGTTATTGTTGTTATTGTTGTGATTATTGTTCTCATTGTTCTTATTGTTCTTATTGTTCTTTTTGTTCTTATTGTTCTTATTGATATTCTTGTTATTCTTGTTATTCTTGTTATTCTTGTCATTCTTGTTAGTGTTGTAATTATTGTTATTATTGCTATTCTTGTTATGTTTTTGTTTTAGCTCGGGAAGTCACTGGGTTCGGACTGGAGACCTTTGAGGGTGTTGGATTACTTGATCTGGCATAAGGACGCTTTTCCTACTGGACCGCGACCTTGACGGATTCCCGGACCACATCAGAGGACGCGCCCTCTTCACAGGTAGCCTACATCCCAGAACTTTCCAAGTCAGTGAGGCCCTTCATGTGGACAATATGTGAAGGAGAGTTGGCTGGGTCGGGTGAGGGCTCATGGCTGACCTCCGTTGGCACGACCTACTGCCAGTATACGTATCTCGGACAGCAAGGGCAGGAGGTGAGTCATCCTGCTGTGAGAAGCCCTCAATGTGAACAGTGTGAACATGAGGCATGTGACGTGCCGTTACAAGACCAGACAGGGAAGGACTGTTGCACATGAAAAGCCGACATTCATGAAGGAACGTAGATTGCAGGTGTTGGCGGTGCTGAGGTTTGGGTCTGGGCAGAAGTTGCATGCCGGGCAGCAAGTCTTCCTCGCTCTGCAGACCCTGAACCCGCTGGAGCCCATGACGCTGCAGCTGGGCTAAGCTGCTAAGACGAGGAGGGTTTTGGACTGCTCGGGGCTTTTGGGTCTGAACGCTTCACGGGCGGTCCGCTACGGGGTTCATACACAACACACAATGTACAGTTTCTCAACAACTGAAAACATGAAAACAGAGATTCGTAGGGAGAGAGGGCGAGGGAGGGAAAAAGAGAGGGAGAGCGCGCCCACCACTCCACATTCTCTGTCTCTCTCTCTCTCTCTCTGTCTCTGTGTTTTCTTTCTTCGGGCTCGAGGGACCGGAGCTCTCTGCACGGCTCGCGCGTCCAGCTAGCTAAGTGGTTTTGTAAAACACAGCACCCGCTGTCAGCAACGTGACCCCCCACCCCCCCAACCACTACGGCTGTGTCGGTGACCCTCGTATTGAGGCAAATTGAGGCCTGTTTGCCATTCTTCCGTCCCCCACCACCAGTGACCCATCCCCCATCTGCGACTTGCGACTGAAGCCCCCACCACCCCCCACTTGTCCCTGCCTGAAACCCAGCTGAAACTGAACAGAGCATTGCGCACACTGCCTGTCGTGCCTGTACTGCCCGTATTTACTACATTCCGTGCACCTGCTGTCTGTCGAATCGTGGCACTACCTGCAGTGTTCTCTAGAGTGGTAATCCCCCAGACAAACTAATGCGATGCTTGTTGTTGGGAGGGGTGTTTCAGAAGGTGGTTGTTCGTCAAGGAGTCGCCGTAGAACAGTTCGGCCCAGTCTCACGACTCGTCATGCCAAAGATGCTATCAGACCTGCGGAGTAGCGGGTGGCTGCACGGAAGGGTGTTTGCAAGAGATTGCTAATGGTGGAGCCAAACAAACGATCTCTCCTGGGTACGGTGGACCGCCTCAATCCTGACCGCGCATACTGTGCTGCGGGGTTGGCCTGTGAAGCCACATGAAGACAGAAGAAACGAATTGTTAGGAGATAAGCCGAAGAAATGATTCCCCAAAGCGCGGAAGAAATCGGGACGAGAGAAACGCCTCGCACCTTCACCGAGTTTACAGGGATTAGCCTCGCACCCATACCCAAGCCGTCCATGTCACATTGGCACTCAGGAACTTTCAGTTTTGCATTCGCGTGCGATGTGCAGCCGAGTAGCCTTCACGTTTGGAAGCTTTTGGTCATTGCACGCCTCACTGGTTTGTTCGATGCCTTCGTCACTTGGGACAGAGACGTTGTGGCTTGGAACATGGGTGTGGTTGCGCCCAGGCTCTCCAGCTTCAACTTTTGGGAAGTGCGGCTGTCAAGCGCGGGCGCGTCGTCGCCACTCGGAAGTGCAGCACCGCAGTTTGAGTGGTTTTCTGGGGTTTTTGGGGTTTCGAATTCGGGGTTTATAGCGTTCTAGGGCTTTATAGGGTTTCTAGGGTTTCTAGAATTTACAGGTTTCCTCTTGCTCCAGGTCCAACACGACGTACTCTCTCGTCTGGAACTTCAGTGCTTCGACAGATCCCTTGGATTCAGACCTGTGGGCAACTGGGCAGAGTGTGAGCTAAAGGGTTTAAGGAGGGACCCCTGGACGGGATTTGTCTTCTTTCCCTATATAGCCCCTAAAAGTACCTTGTATAGTCCCGATATACGCAAGTAGACGATAAATAACCCCTAAAGAACCCTAAGGTCCCTCATCAGGGTCCCTCCTCTAGTCCAATGGAAGGTCCAACTTGGAAAGGGCCTTGCTCATTGTCCGGCTGGCATATAAACTTTGTATAAGCACCTTTCTTTCTCACCATGTCGTTCCGACCATCTGAGGTCTCCAACGTCGCAGTTCTGGAGAAGCTGTCCGCAACCATGTGCCCCAGCCTGAAGTCCCGCTGCGTATCGCTACTTTATCCCGGTTCAAGTTCAAAGCGAGGGCTGCTAGGCGATAGTCCTAGTCCTGACATTCTCCGGATGTGCCGGGGCAAAGGAAGAAGACCTGTTGTGTGGCAGGCAGCCATCGGTTTTTCTGCCCGGCAGCCCAAACCTCCTGAGCGTCTTCATATCCTTGGTCCAAGACTTGGGCCCCAGCGGTACCATCGCTTCTCAAGCCGCACATATGCTGGAGACATGTTGCGGTTGCCTCGTCTTTTGAGATCGAGTAGGCCCAGTCATGCACGAGCATTTGACAAAGTGGAGAAGTGTCAATCATGGATTGAACCAATTGAACCAGGGCAGTCCTGTCGCATAGCTGTCGAGGACAAACGACAGTATTTACATGCTCGCTCGGTTGCTGTGTATGGCTTGCCAAGTCATCAGTTTTTGTGGTCGCCGCATTCGCGAGCCCCACCCCTCAACCCTAAACCCACAACCAGCAAGAGGGGGGCAGAGGGGAAACTTAAGTCCTAAACCTTCAACATGGCAATGCAAAGTTTCACGAGAGTCCACAGCGACTCTGCCTCGCCGGGTTTTGAGCAATTAAGCCGTCAACCCAACTACAGGGAGTGCACAGCTACTGGTACATATTTAGGATGGTCAGGTTGGGAATTCTGCTCGTCACCTTATTTAGCAGGCACGGGCACTTCTAGACTTGCTTCTGCCTGCGTTCAGGTGATCGATGCGCCGGTCGGCTTCGACTTTGCAAGTTGCGCCCCGAGCCATCTGCACGACTTGATCTACAGTGCAGAAGCTTTCCCAGGCAAGACTGTCCAGTCACGAACATGTTAAACCGTGCCACACATGGTGCATGTGGTGTTTAGGGTCATGATGCATGTGGTGTTTAGGGTTTGAGGGTCAGGGGTAACTGAGGTTTGCAAGGTTTTAGGAGATCGGGGTTTAGGGCTTCGGTCCCAGCGTTTTCGGGTTTCAGGTTTATCACCTACTTGAGCCGTGATTCCTCCACACCCTCAATGTTGCTTTCGATTTCTTGCAAGCTGTTTCAAGCATGCTGGCGCAGCGCTCAGTCCATGCCATCAAGCAAAAATGTTTAGTGCTTTGGGGTTCTGGGCTTTAGTTTTTTTGGTGGGAGCGGGGATTGTGAGGGGAGGTGGCCGACATAGGACACGGAACCAGCCATGATGGTGCTTTTAGAAGGTTGTGATTTCTTGGCACTTCTTGTGATTTCAGGGTGTGCTTCAACATCTGCCAGGGCGAACCCTGCCTTTGCCCGCCTTCGGTTCCTGCAGTGCAGCGCAGACGCCACGGCAGCGGAGCGCGGGCTTCTCGCCTGCACCCAACTTTAGAACCCAACGTAACTTGCCTGCTGTTACATGGTGTGAAAGCACGACCCAACATGGTGGAAGAAGTGCAACTTGCTTCGAGAGGCAGCAGCCGGAATCGAGCGCTGGTTTCTGTCTCTGGCTGGCTGCTTTCGGATCGGAACTACGCCTTCGGCCTCACCGTTGTCAATCCGCCCATTGAAGTCGACAAGGGCTTCTTCATATGGAGACTTGCATTGCACTTTCAAGATGCATCAAGATGCCATTTTCTCCTTGGTTTGGGCTTGCCAGCCTGTCGCTTTTCCTGGCCCTGCACGTGCCCATTTACGTTCCAGGACACTGGATGATTCGGGAGTGGCCTTGGATGGTTCGGAGAAGCCGGCGGCATTTCACGAGGCGATGGAAGAGTGCATGTTTCAGAGAACATGGCGAATGTTGCAAGTTGGGCTGACCGTTTTGCTCGTCGTGACAAACGAATTGAGAGTTCCTGACAGGGTGGAGACTCAAGTTGGCATCTCTATCAGGACTTGGTCCAGCTTGTGTGAAAATCTCCCAAGGTGCGGTGTCGGTATACACAGGGCTCGTGAACACACTGTAGACTGTAGGACCATGGTGTGGTGCTCACGCTGTCTGTGGGAAGTGGTTCCTGGGCATCCAAAAGGACAAGTCGATGGCGTGCCGAATTGGTTTGGGAGGAGAAGCAAGCTGCTCCATAGACGAATAATCCCTGGCCCACTTAGGTTACATGCATCCGTTCTCGGTGTTCGGCGTCCTGGAAACATTGACGGTGCAGGCATTGCCGGGCAATCTAAACAGCATTATAGCAGAGGTGCTTTCAAGTGATTCTCACGCTGCTTTCCTTTCGTTTGCGTCAAGGTGGCCTTGAAGTTCAGAACTTGCAAGAACTTTAGAAGTTCATGAGCGCTGAATGAGTTGAGGTAGCTAGCTTGGTGCAGCTACTAGGAATGTTGATTCTAGGCATCGTCCGGCACGAGAGGTTTTGTGTTGAATGTCGACGAGACAATCGCAGAGTTACGCATGAGGTGTGGCTCGTAGAAGCAATGGGAGCGCGCTTTGTGTCCGTTGAACCCTTGATGAACATGTCAAGTCGTTCTTACGTTCTGAAACTGGCAGCCGCCACGAACGGTCTCACTCTAGATACTCGAGATATCTGGACGTGGTAGATGCAGCACCAGAGCTTGTCCAACCTATCCTCGAGCCTCTCAACCTGCTTACCAAGCAAATTAATGTGCTCGCCGACCTCAAAGTTCCACAGGGCGTGCCTGGCTCGGCCTCCTCACTGCGGCTCTCGGGTCCACCAAACGTGCCTTGCCATGGAGTCGGAATTGGAGTAGCTTTTTGACCCAAGGGTTGGTATGAGAATGTTGGGTTTGTGACTGACCCCAGTGAGCCTGCTCGACCCAACATGCGAGTGAGCGTGAACTAGCCAGAGAGAGAGGGAGGTCTCCAAGACGAGTTTGGTTTTTTTTTGAGTTCTTCGTGATTTTAACGAACTCTGGGGTACATTGACGGTTGCTAACCTTGAAAATGCCGATCTGCTAGACTCTTACAGCTTTCTTGGCCTTACACTCGCACGCTCTTCCAGATCCTCTGAATTGACAGCGGGCTGGGCCCTAGCCACGAGCTGAACGTGCGTGGGCGAGGAAGTCTTGTGAAGCATGTCAACACACCCATGAGCACTACGGATTGAAACCATAAACTCCTGCAGCACCTCTTTTGTAGCAACTCCGACGTTCGGACATTCGGGGCTTGCCAGGCTGTTGCCAGGCTGTGTCATCTGGTGTGGGTGATCCGCCGTCCGCTAAGACCCCTGGGTTCGGCATGCGTGCTTGGGAATGTTAGTGATGCATGCCAGAATTGGAGTTTAAAGCCTAGGCCGAGAACCTTGATTGCTGTGAAACGCATGAAATGCGTGAGTGGCATGAGCATGCCTGGGGGGCAGGGGGGGACTTGCAGCAAGCCTCGCAGCCGAAGGAGCTCGAAGAATGCCCATTAGAGCTCCGAGGGGCTGCTGAAACTTTTTGGGTCCTGTGGCATGCCGGGGCGCGCGGCCGGATGAGCTTGTTTCCTCCGGAAGCTGAGGCAACAGCCTTCACGACTCTCGATGAACTCCGAAGGTGGTATGGGTTGGCAGATGAGCCCTGGCAGGCCTTTCATATGCAGGTGGGGCAGCCGGACATGCGCATTCTGAGCGCGCTGCCGGCAGAAGCTCTTACTGAAAACATCATGTTGACACGCGTGGGAGTGGCCGCTGCGGCCTTGTCACCAGCTCATGCCGTCCAAATTGGGTTGGTGTGGCGCTTAGCGTGCAGGATCGTCCACACAAGAGGGGGGGGCAACTATGCTGACTGGCAGGATGTGGACCCCTGGGTCAAACGGGCAGTGGCCACGCCAGCTGCAGCTGCCGCCCAGCCGCCTGCCCTGAAAGAGCGGGGTATCAAAATGTCTTCGATCATCGACCAGTCAGATGACAGCGAGTTCGTGCCAGAAAGTCTGGCGAAAGCTGATGGTTGGTACCAGAGGTACCTCAAAATCATGGGAGGCCCGCCCCAGGAGGAGGAAGATTGCACTGTGGAACAGCTCTCGGCGCTGAACAAGCGGGTGCACACGCTGGACCTGCCGCCGTATGTGGACCTGGGGGTGTGGCAGCCCTACGGTCGCCGTGCGCTGCGGGCGAGCAAGTTTAGGGCGTGGTTCCCAGATGGTGCCGGGGGATACATCGCGAAGGAGCTGCCGGGGCCGTCGTCGTGGAGCCAATGGTTAGCTGCTTGGCGGGTCTTCCAGACGGCCGCGATCATGCTGGACATTACCGCTGGCAGCTCTACAACTATACGAAAGACATGTAGAACGCCTGGTGAAGCTCTACCCGACGGCCTGGCATTTGGTGGTGTTGGCCGATGAGAAGGCGAGGGGCGAGAAATGGGCCCGAGTGCGTTTGAGGATCAGTGCTGACATCGCTGCGGGCAAAGGGGCGCCAGAGCTTTGGGATGCCGATCGGCCATGGATCGCCGCCTTGCATCAGCTTGTGAATGACACGGCTTTCTGGGAAGATCAGGTCCGGTCGCCTGCTAACGCCTGGGTGGCTTCCGGTGGCAGGGGCACGCCCAAAGCGCCTGAGGAAGCCTTTGCCGCCTCCCAAGGGACGGAGATCCTGGATCCTGGGGCGAACCTCAAAACGGACCACCAAGGAGAAGCGGGCGGCCAAGAAGCGCAAGATTCAAGCCGACAAGGAGGAGCTCAAAGCTTGGCGTGCGTCCGCTGGCAGCAAGGGCAAGCAAGAGAACAAGGGCGAGAAAGCTGGCGTGCTCAAAGCCAAGGACCAGGCCGGCGATGATCTTTGCTTCAGCTGGGACGCGGCGAAGGGTCCCTGTGCTGGGTGTGCTCCGGGTGATGGGTGCAAAGGCAAAGTCAAGAGAATCCACAAGTGCAGGATTTGCCTGAGCCCCGGCCATCGTAGTCAGGACTGCCCGCAGCATGCATAGGACTGTGCCCAAAAATGAAGGGTTCGGGTTTTGGCGTTCCCTCTTTGTCATGCTCTCTCGCCCTCTCTCTCTGCTGCTGAAGCAGGGGCATGTGGCAGGGAACCGCTGCAGAGTGACACAAGGCATTGGGCATGACACCTCACCGGGAGCCCCTTTTGGCACGACGGTCGAGAAGGGAGCCCAAAAGCAGAGCGAGCTGACGGGCCATGCAGGGAGCCTACATGGGCATGACAGCCGGCGCTGCGCTGTGCTTTCTGCACTTGTTCAGTGGGGGACGTGATAAACTAGGCGAGGCTCTCCTGAGTGAGGCCAAGGCGGCTGGGATCGAGGTGACCGTCGAGGCCCACGACCTCTGCAAGGGAGATGACCTCACGACTCCTGAAGAAAGCAAAGTCAGGGCAGTATCATGGGGCCCATGCCGGGTTCCCCTGTGCCACCTTCACTAGGCTTCGTTGCAGGCCAACCGCGACCTGTCAGGTCCCGAGAATTCATCTATGGGCTACCGGGCAATTCGAGGGCGCAACAAGATGAAGCAGATCGAGGCACGCTGCATGCGGTCACCTCGGTGCAGATTCTCGAGGCCGTGGAGGCGAGCCAAGCCGTGGACGGGATGCAGAGGCCTGTGACCTTCGAGAATCCGACCATCCGCAGGCAGGGTCAGCGTACTACTTGCCAGAGATTGTAAAGTGGATCAGCCAGGAGAAAATCGAGTACGCAGACTTCAATAATTGTGTGTATGCGGACCCGGCCAAAGGAGAACAACCCTACCGGAAGCCACAGAGGTTCGTGGGAAAGTTGTCGGGGCTTGCTAGCCTCTCGGGCAGGTGCCAATGCAGCAGAGGCGTCGAACACCCGAGAGTCGTCGGCGCCAACGCAGCCAAGGACTCAGCTGCCTACCCGATTGCCCTCTGCCACCAATATGCAAAGTTGGTGGTGGAAACCTGGCTAAAGGATAGACGGCAGCCCGGCAAGCGGGCAGCCGAGCCCGAGATCACCGAGAAGCCCGATATCATCGAAGAAGCGCACTGGAGTGGAGGACAGGGCGCTTTCGGGAGCCTCAGGGTGCAGGACACAAAGAAGGCCAGGAGAGATCGCGAGAACAAGGAGGCCATCGGCGGCATGCGACGCCCCGTGTGGGCTTTGGAGCACGTCCCAGGCCTCAGGACAGTGGGGCAGGAGGTGAGCCGGATCTTCGACAAGTTCGCGGCCAAGTTCCAGGGCGCAGCGCTCGCCGGGGAGCACTACGGCATGGACGGCTTCAAGATGACGTACGTGGACGAATGGAAGAGCGAGCTGGACACACACTTCCGGGTGTGTTCAGAGCGCCCGGCCCTGCTGCTGAAGAGCCTTCTCCACTACGACACGCCAGTCCACGTGGCCTTGCTGGAGGCTTGGACGCAGCAGGCCAAGGACCCAGACCAGATGGTGATCGAGTGGCTTAAGCATGGAGCACCGCTGGGCGCCAACATGGGCATACCCTCGGTGGGTATCTTCCCGCCAAAGGGGGAGAATCCCGAAGCGTGGGAAGAAGCCAAAGCCGAGACTCAGGCCTGGGAAACCAGGCAAAACTACCGCTCCTTTACCTCCAACCCCTTGGACTCGAACCAGGAAATGGGAAGGCTCATGGGCCTCGGATACGTTAAGAAAATATCCGAGGAACAGGCGACCAACTACTTCTCCGGGGCCGTCGTCTCGAAATTAGGCTTGCTCATGAAGCCTAAGGCAGACGGCACAGTCAAACGCCGCATCGTGTTTGTGCGCTCCGTTCAGGGGCGAACCAGAGGGCCCGGTGTCCCGAGCGCATCGTCCTGCCACGTCCGCAGGACGTATACGCCATGGCGGCCGACCTCAAAGCACATGAGCCGCAACTTCTGGAGTGGTACCGGGCAGAGTCGCAGCCAACCGCGGAGTGGGGCTCGGAGCTCGTCGCAGCCGACCTGACAGACGCCTTCACCCACTTCCCGGTCCATCCTTCAGAGCACGAGCAGTGCCTGTCACCAGTCGGAGACAACAAGAACTACTACGTCTTCGTGGCAATGTTCTTCGGGCACAAATGTGCCCCTTTGGTCATGTGCCGCCTATCCGCCTTGCTGACCAGGTTGGTGCAAGGCATGTTTTGGCAAGCCGAATTGCAGCTGGCCACCTACATCGACGACCCACTCATGGCCCTGGTCGGCTCACGTCAGCGACGCATCCGCAACCTCAGCCTCATCCTTCTGACTCTCGGGGCGTTGGGCATCAGGCTGGCGTGGCATAAAGGGGCCAGGGGATGCAAAATTACCTGGATCGGGGTGAACTTCACCTTGCGATGGCGGGAAGGAGTCTTGGACAACGAGGTTCCCGACAAACTTCGCGACGAACTGCTGGAGAAGCTGGAAAAGTGGGCAGCCGGGGGGATGGTCCCGCTGGGCCAACTCAGAACGTTTGCCGGGAAGTTGCATCTACAAAAGAGCCAGGTGGGCGGTCTCCATCGTCTACGGGGCCATCACGGCACACGAGGCGGAGGTGAGATCGGGGACTGAGGCGTCCCGAAGACCTGCCCGAGTGGATAGCAGGCCAAAGGACCACTTGGTCCCCATCAAGCGTTTCGAGCTGGCGCAGGCTTGGCTGGCTACGCTGCTCAAGGAAAGGCGCCCGAGGACCACATTGTCCCTGTGGAAGCGACCGGAGTCCATCATGATCGTGACGGATGCGTCGCCGCAAGGGTGCGGGGGCTTGCTGCTGGTGCGCGCCACGGCGCAATCCCCGTGGACTCCCCTCAAGGCCTACGAGTACCAGGTCGACCGTGAGGACGCTGAACTGCTGGGTTTCCACCACAAGTCACACAAGAGTCAAGGGTTCCTGGAGGCCCTGGCGATCTTCTTGGCGTTGCGTGAGTGGGGCGCCCTGCTGGCAACCATCAAGGTGGGGCTCGCCATCCGCTCCGACTCCACAGTGGCTTTGGCATTGCTTGAGAAGGCGGCCTCGTCGTCAGCTGCGCTCAACCTCCTCGCGGCAGAGATGGCCTTGCTTCTTGAAAAGCTTCAGGTGGGCGAGATAGCTCTCTCCCACGTGCCTGGCAAAATCAATGTTTGGGCAGACTGGTTGTCTAGACCGGACACCAGGGGTGTAATGCCAAACCAGCTCCAAGGGGTCAAGACGGCCAAACCCAGCAAGCTCCGAAGGAGCGACTTTTCGCTTGGCTTAGCTCGGTCGCACGACGCCGCTGAGGCGGGAGCGTCCTGGGCTGCCCTTAAGGGCTAATGCCGAGGCACATACACGCACACACACTCACACAAAGCAAATTTTTGCGGGAAAGTTTCGGGAGTGTTTCATGCGCATGGTGAGCTGCTTGTGTCATGTTCAGTTCGCGTGGCCATGAAGAGAAGAGAGTGAGTGAGAGAGGGAGAGGGACAGTGAGTGTGAGAGAGAACCCACCTGTGCAGCCTTCACTTGAGGATCGCCGCAGACCATGGAGCTGGCTATCCGCCCCATTAAAAGGGCTCACCGCAGTGGCCGAGCCCTTTGATCCATGGCCCCTGCTGCGAGCGTGCCCTGCCTGGACAGTCTGCACCTTCCCCCCCGCGGTGACGTGGGCCACACTGCGACTCGTCATGTTGGGGCTTCGCTGGGCAGTGCGGTTGCGACAAATGTGCCTTCTTCTTCACCGGCGCCGGGTTCGTCCAGGACCCCTGCAACAAGAAGGTCGAGACCACCTAAGGAGGAGCCCAAGCCCGAGGAGAGATCGAGGTCCAGGACGCCGGCGAGAACAAGGAGCCGGGGGAAGGACGACTCGGTCGATCCCGGCGTCCCGGCAGTGGGTCAGAACTTTGACCTCTCCGCGTCGGGCTTCACGCAGAAGGTCTACGAACCAGGCCCCCTCAGAGACCTCCAGCTCAAAGGAGGCCCGCGCATGTTGCGCTGGCAGGGCGGGCCGAACCTCGCCGAACACAGCTCCAAGGCGCTTTTCATGGAGGCGGGTCAGAGATACCAGAAAGGCCTGCGTATGGGACCGTGCAACCTGCTTGAAGATGAAGGAGGTCGCAAAGGCCCCGGAGACACTTGGCGAAACCCCGGATCAGGGCTATGGGCTTGCTTTGGGCCATCAAACCGCGCCGCTCTCCAGGTTAATGGGAAGGGTGGAAGCCACCGAAAGCTACCAGACTTCACGGACGCCCTCAGGAAGCTGGGGGATGACCGCAAGCTCAAGGCTACTTTGGGCCCATCGCCAGCATTGTTCGCGGGGCCCAGCGTCACATCGCGAGCTACGCCTTCGCCGGCTACCAGAACACGGCCGCCCTTAGGAGAAGCATGCAGGCATTTGGCCACCAAAGGTGCTAAGTTCAACAAGGCCCTCGACGTCGCCCGCAACAAGGAGGCCTTGGCCGAGGCCGTGCGGATCCTCGAGGGTAAGTTCTTTGCGGACTCCAACAAGGCGCCTCAGGCACGCAAGGAAGCCGACGTCCTGGAGTTGATGACTGCCATCGCCTCAGGAGGTCATGCCTTCCCGCTTACTCCGAAAAGCGTGATTGAGTTCGGGGCAACCCTGCTGAGCGCCGGGTACAAGTCGGCGGAACAGTACTTGGGGGCCCTCAAGCTGGCGCATGTGGAGCGAGACTTCCCGATCTCGCTCGCCGGCCCTCAAAAGGACCTTTGACATCACAAAGCGGGCCTTGGGCAGGGACAAGGCGAAGGCCAACAGGGCGCCCGAGTTCCAGGTGGAAGACTTCCCGATCGATGCGGCGGTCCACGACCTCGTCGTCGGGGAGCTGGCTTTCCCGACCTTCACCTACTGCCTTGCCCTGGCCTTCATGCTTCGACTATGTGAACTTGTGCTGCTGACCTGGGAAGACCTCGAGTGGGATGATCGAAAGGTCACGCTGCGCATCAAGAAGTCCAAGACCGACCAAGCAGGCAAAGGAGTCAGGCGCACGCTGGGCTGCACGTGTCGCTCGTCGCCGGCTACGTGTCCTGTCGAGTTGGTCAAGAATCTCGCGGCGGCTGTAGACAAGGCGTTGCCGGGATACCGCAGTGCCAAAGCTTGGGTTGCATGCTCGACGGAAGGCCTCCAGGCTTCGAAGGAGAAGGTGGTGGCCTCGTGGTCAAAGGCAGCGAGCACCCCGCTCAGGGGGCACAGCCCGCTACGCTCGGGGGCGATGTTCTATGTCAGGGCGGGCCTCTCCATCGCCGAGGTGACCTACTTAGGCAGGTGGCACTCAGACTTAGTGTTCCAGTACGGTGAAGAGGCCTGGGAAGGGCATCCTATGAACGAAGGGAGCCACCGCCCGGACACCAAGAAGTCAGCAAGCGACAAGCAGCTCCTTCCGCAGCCCAAAGTGAAGCCGGCTTTGATTGCGGCCGCCTGTGAACCACACACTGCAGAGGAGTCGGCGCCAGCGCAGACGGTCCTCGTCGAAGAGCTTCAGACTGAGAAACCGAAATGGGTCAGAGCAACGGGGAGATCGAAAGTTGTCCACCTCCTCGGCAAGCATGCCGGGAACTCGTCAGCCTCTTGGAAAACGAAGTGCGGGTGGCCCTTTGCGAGAGCCTGTCACTTCACTTTGTACTTGAACCCTCCGCCTAGCGTTCCGAAGTGCAAAAGCTGCCGCATGAATTTGGAGAAGTCCCGCGGCGAGCCAGATGGATTGAGAATTGCGGGAGGCGATGCTTCGCAGAGCAGCATGGGCAGCGCTTTCTGAACGCAATGGTCAAAAGAAAGTTGCGGAGCACTCTGAGGGCGGAGGGCGGGATATATGCAAGCATTTAGCAAGTGCCGTGAAACGCATGAAATGCGTGAGTGGCATGAGCATGCCTGGGGGGCAGGGGGGGACTTGCAGCAAGCCTCGCAGCCGAAGGAGCTCGAAGAATGCCCATTAGAGCTCCGAGGGGCTGCTGAAACTTTTTGGGTCCCGCCCGCCCACCCGGATTGAGAATTGCGGGAGGCGATGCTTCGCAGAGCAGCATGGGCAGCGCTTTCTGAACGCAATGGTCAAAAGAAAGTTGCGGAGCACTCTGAGGGCGGAGGGCGGGATATATGCAAGCATTTAGCAAGTGCCGAAAGAGAAGTGTCGTTTTATTCCGTTATATTTCTCAAGCTTTCAGGGTATCGCAAGTAAAAAGGCCTGGCAGGCCCATCATTTGTCACGCGCAGCACTGCGCTGGTAGCAGTGACATTATCACGGTACGGCATGCGTGCTCCATGCAAGTTTCGGCTATTTACCCGGACCCATGGCCCGGTCCTTATCATGGCACTGGGACAGATGCCCCATGCAACAGATGGGCTGGTGGCACCGGCATTATCCGAATGCGGGCATGCACGCTACACGCAACGAAATGTGTTTTTGGCTAGGCCGTAAAACCTCCGTGCTCCAATTGAAGCCCCAAACGGCAAAACGAGGTCTTAATGTGCGGGGGCAGCCTGAAGATCCAAAACCGGAAGATCCAACCTGGACTGTAACCAAAGGTGAAATTCCTGCGGCCCAGCAGGGAGACGGTGCGCGGTCTGCATTCAGCTCCATCCAGTTGCCCTCATTGCTGTCAGTAGACGAAACGCTGAACCTCTGCCTTCATCGTTGCTATGGCTAAGATGCAACGGATAGCTTTAGAGCTGCCAGGAAGCGATTCTTGGAGTTGCCGACGTATCGGAAACACGGCTCGTGTGGGCGCCTCGGCCAGGATCAGATGACCAGCCTCGAGGCACGAAACTGGCAAATGGTCGGGGTTGAGGGAAGGTGAGGCGATTGTCGGCTGAGCGCGAAAGCATGCCTCAGCCAAGGAGTTGCTTCAGCTGCAGTCGAACAGGAGCTACTCTTTCGAGGCGGCTCGACCTTTTTTTCTGTTTCAGGGCACCAAAGCATGGCCCCTCTTGAGTCACTTGAGGGCACTCAACCAAAGACCCTTCAAGCCGCCCTGAGGTGCCTTTCCAGGCCGAAGTGCCGCGACCCTACTTCTCGACTCCCAGCTTCTACGTGGAGCTGCGCCTCGTCTGCTCCGTTTTTTGATGTCCGCATGCCTTCTACCGCTCCATTGCCTTGGAATAGCTCATGTCGAATCTCAGGATAGAACATGAAAAATATAACGTCAAATACGATCGCGGATAGCGAATACACGACACCATCACGCACTCTCATATATCAAGAATGCTTGTTGCGAGGTCCTCCGCTGTGCGTGGCAAAATACCCTGAACCGAAATTAGCCGTTTCTAAGTCCGTTTTAAACCTCCAAAGCCCGAAAAGATCGCTAGGAACTTCCACGAGCCGCTGGCTGGGCGCCTCGGTCTCGCAGCCTACGCCGCCGGGCGTGCAGTTTAGGCACGAGGTTTGGGTCTGGACGAAGTGTTGTGATGAAGGCTTGTTTCGGCAATTTGGCGCCTTCAGGCAAGCCGGGCGTTCGAGATCCTGGGAATATGCGTAGTCTAGAATGAGCGGAGAATGCGACGGAACCCGCCTTAATCAACCAAAGCCACGAGAGATTTCAGTCTGGGATGTTTTTAAGCATTGCAACTCCGCAGGCCAGTTCTTGGGCTATAGTAGCAGCTGAGTGCCCAGACTTCTCTCCCATCCTTTCATGATCGAAGCGGGTCAGCTCCTGAGGCTGCACCGCCCATGCGTGCCGTGCTTGCCGCGGGCGTTCAGAGCCGCTGCAGAACAGAGTGTGGATTTCGTCTGTAAGTGGTGCCAGGGAGCGTTCTTAAACACTTTGCTGTTTCGCGTGTCGAAGGTCTTCCACCGTAGTCCACCCATTGCTTTGGCATGTTTCGGCCATGACTTGCCCAACTATCCCCGACTTTGCCAGTAGTTGCGAGTCGCCGCCCCTGTATCGGCGAATCATGTATGCTGTCGCACTGCAGGCCAGCTGCACATAGGCTAGGTCTTTTGGTCTTTTCTTGGCCAATTCTTTTGGAATTTGCGAAGGTGCAGCTCTCGCTGGCCGGGCGCCTCCAGCACCATCACCTTTCGCTTCCGCCTGGGCTCCCCCCTACCTGCAAGAGCCGCTCGGTTTTCAGAATGTACGAGGGTCCAGCTGGGTCCAGCTGCTCCTCGTTTTGCAGGACATGTTGTGGGGGGGGGGGGGTTGGTGCGTCTTCGCGCGAAACCAATCCGTGACCTTTGTCATCGTCGCGAGCCATTGCTTCGGTACCCCAGGAGCCACTTTTTTTTTGCAGTATTTTGAGCTGTTCCTGGCCTTGAAGATCTGAGGACAGCGTCCTCGTAATCCAGGCAGACGGCTTCGGCCTGCGGCTTTTCTGCCCGCTGCTTTCGGAGCGAAGCATTGCGAATAAAGTACTGTGCCCATCCAGGTTGCCCGAAAAGCAAGTGTTTCATTCAGCACAGTCGCTGCTGTTGTAGCCGCCGGCTAGTAACAGTAGGGCACAACCCTGTGTCTTTGGGTTTCTAGGAGCTGCGGCCGCCTGAGTTCGGCTTCGGTGCGACGCGAGCGCTGACGCCTGGCACGGCTTGCGCCCAGGGCTGCACGGTCTTGCAAGCCATCGCGGACGTGAAACGACAGCAGGTTTCTGATGATCTCACATGATTGCTGTAGGTGAAGCTGGAGCTCTTGGGCTTGGGGGCCTCCCTGCGTGGCGTCCCTTTGACTATTCTGGGGGTTCAGTCTTCCACCAAGCTGGTGCAGTTAAAGTTAAGGCTGGTTGCCAGTCTTGAATCATCGCTGCCATATCATGCGCTTTCCCCTCTAAATCTAAGGCTTGCTCCCGCGCCAGGGCCTTGAGACCGGAAGCTACGCGCTGAGCGGACAAGGCAGAGCCGGGATGTTCGCGGATCGGGGATAGGCGGCCCGTGATGTGCAGCGCGGATCTCCCAGTGCACGCCTGGGGCTGCAGAATGCCTTGCAGGCTCAAATCCACTCGAGCCGATTGGCTTCGTTGCGTCTCAGCAAGAATAGGTTGTGGGTTGCAGGTGGCTGTGTCGCCGAGCCCTCTCCCAAACAGGTGAACTGGACCATCCGCACGTATCGCAATGTCTCAGGAGGACCGTTTCCCGGCCTGATTCCGGCAGAAGAGTAAAACATGAGTAAAAACCAAGCTTCATTTCCTGTAAGCAGGAGAGTTCTGGACCGGATCCGTCCTCGACGCTCCGGCTCTGGCCCCTGGATGCGCGCTGAGTGCCAAGCTCCCCTTTGCTGCATTGCTGGAGACGTCGTCGTTTGACACGCGGCCACGGCGAATGAATCAGGCAAGGCGCGCTCGTTGTCAAGCGGAGGGTTTGGTTTGTCTGGGTATCTTACATTTTGCTTCTGTGGGCTTTGTCTTTTTTTGTTGGGCACGCGCACACGCATGCGGGCACACACCAGCTCTCGTGACACGAACATTCACGCACAGACCCCACGCCCACCCACGCGCGCACTCAACAAGAACATACACAGTATTCAGAGCATTCCCCATCTGATAACCACTGCACGCGCACACCAAGTTCGATCATCATGACACTCATGCCTATGCCACTCGACTCGATTGTAGTGGATTCATGTGGATTCCTTGACACTCCTCACAGGTGGTCCTGGCCTTCCAGCTGCCAGAAGAAGTCGCAAAGGGCACTGCGCTTCGGGTGCACATGCCTGTCGGCTATGCGGTGGCTTGGAAAAAGGAAGTCCCGGGCCCTTCTTGTCAGAGATACTCTTTGTGGGCGCGATCGGGCTGGTGATTCGACTGGGCACTTTTCAGAGGCATTTGTGGTTGTTCTTTTTTGCGGCTTCCTTCTCCATCTCTTCCTCTCTATTCCGCTACCCCGCTAGCTGGCCCGCTTTCACTCCGTCTCCCGCGCTCTCCTGTCTCCACTTGTTGACTTGTTTGGATGCAAACTATCTTGACATTATGGGCTGGTTGCGTGCAAGAGTGCTGGTACTCGTAGGTATTTCTACGGTGCAGTACGCAGTAGAGGCGAGGGCGTGCTCAGGTCAATGCCGACTGTCTCGGAGACATCGTCCCTGCAAACTTGCTGTCAGCCACCAACTACAGTCCTTTGGCCACACTGAGCCTCATGGAGCCTTGAAACCGCATCTTTAGAATTTCTGTTGAAGGGCTTGTTTGGTTGTTCTGCCCAGGTGTTGTGCACATCAGCCGCTGCCTCGGGTCCACGAGTACGGAACTCATCTTGGCTGAGGCCAGATGCTTGGAAAGCGTAGAAAGCGCCAGACAGGGGGGAGATGTGTTTTTGGGACCGGGCTTGCCAGGGCCTTTTGCCAGCCACGTACGCCTTCGGTCTGGGAATCCAGCTGCTGATCTGAAGCTGGGAAGCGGCAGGGTTTCTTTCGCTTCTAGGGACACAAAGGGACAAGTCACAGCCTGTCTAACAGCCTGAGGCCCTGTCACGCAGAACTAGGCGTGCTTGTTGTTGTATTGCAGAGCCTGCCTCAAATCACTGGACTTTTGGTGAGAATGTAACAGGCCTCGAGGTATGTGTACTAGGATATCATCGAGGATAGTCAGCTCGTACGGCCGAAGCCGCCTTCTGCAGCTGTTCAGGGTCTTAAGGTCTTAACCGCTCAGAGCTCGCAAGGAACGCAGCGACTCAGCCGCGCTTGAACTGGTGGAGCTTGGAGATGGACATCTACACCTCGAGCGCTCTGCAGGGGAAGCCCGGCGGAGTAGAGTTCTGTTGGGTAAGGTTGGGTGATGTTGGGTGATGTTGGGTGATGTTGGGCAATGTTGGGTTGTGCGGGGTTGGGTGGTTGTGTGTGTGCACAAAACCCTGTTGGACCAAGGGTCGGAGCAAATCACATCAGTCGTTTTGAATTCATTTAAGATGTACGCAGGGGGCCGCTCCACCCACTGTTATAGGGGGCGGCCAACGAAGAGCCTAACAGTGTGGTGCTGAAAACGTACCTGCAAATTCGAGCGTGCTTGGGCTTGGCAGAGCAGCTGGCAGCTCATAAACTGGGAGTGTGCTTGGGCTTAGCATAGCAGCTGGCAGCTCCACCATGGACGATATTTCTGCCTTCCCCTACATGTGTAGGGAGATCCCGAAGTGTGTTTCGGCAATGCTTCCGTATGCGGTCATTGTCGTGAGCCCTTGGAGGGCGCCCAACAACAAAAACAAAAAAGTCACAGGCCTGATGATGTTCAGTTCATATCTGTGGTGCAAAGAGGAGAAGTCAACAAAAAGCATTGGTGAACTGTCACCGTTCAATGGCCGCAGACATTCTCGATGCGGATGTGTTGTCGAGTTGCAAGCTCTTGGTGGCGGCTTAACATAATGGGGACAAGTCTACGCCAAGTTCTTCTTGCAGGGTGTGCAAAATTGTTGGTGGAAGACGTCAATTGATGCCTTGAGCAACTATCTTGCCCTGAGCAACTATCAGCTGCGAGCAACCGGTTTTTGCTTCGAGCAACCAGTCGATGGCTTACATTTACATTGATTTTACAGCACTTTTACACTTCCACACCGTGCAGCCCCCGAAAATGGTAAAAACTGCTTGACAAAAGCCAGGTCAAAGAAATGTGTGTGCTGAGGTTTCGGTGTATAGAACCAGGAACCGTTTGTCACCTTTTGTTTTTTGGTTATGCTGCCACTGTCTGCAACCTGGTTCGTGAGAAGGCCAGGCCTGTAGCTTGCATGTTCCTTGGTCAGGCTTTCGCTTGTTGAGTGCCTTGTGGCGCGAACACACACACTCACATGCACACCGAGAGGTTTTGGATTAAGGTATTCCAATCCTCCTATGAGCATGGATGTTCCTCCTGGAATTTGGCATGTGCCAAGCTTCCGAAGTTGCAGAACTATTACATCTATGCCTTCGCCCATGAACAAGTTGCAGTACAATCAGCAAGATGTAGCAAGCGGCTGCGTTGGGGCTGGTGTCAATTGTGCTACGAGAAGCAATGTCAATGTACAAAGTTGTGCCAGCTGGAATGATGGTGCGCCGCGGTCAAAGAGCATGCCTTTCCCAATTCTTCGTGCAAACTTGGAAGAAAGAAAAACACCGCCTCATCATGCTCATGTGCAAGCACTGCGTGAGAATGCAGCAGCTGATGCTGAAACCTGTTCGACATCCCGCCACACGAAGCGCAAGATCACATACCGGCCGGCTGGCCCGCTGCCTTTGCAACAACACAGTGGAGCGGCGAAGCCTTCCCCCTTTGTGCTTCCGAAGCAACTACAATGGGGTTCGCAGCTTTGGGTTCCTGAAGCCGAGTGTTTGCGGAGATTATTGTTGTCAAAGGCTCGCGAGTTGAACTTGGATGTAGAAAAACTGGCAAATTCTGAAGCTGTGAAAGAGTGCGCGCAACTTCTACATGCTTCTGGTATGGGCACGTCCGACATTGGGCCATTCAGTTTGGTATCGCATCGCTCGGATGATATTGCTCAGACCGCCAAACTTCTAGTTTTTGAGTCACGTTTGTTGAAGAGCAGATGTGGTCGGGAAGTTTCTTCTCAAACATGGAGCCTTCCCCGCAGTTTCTTTGCATTTGGGGTATCTGTCCAGGAGTTTTGTCGCATTGTTTCCGAAGGTGAAATTTCCCCTTCGCGAGTTACTGGTTGTTTCGTTTCGTGGGGGTGTCGACAAGAGTTGACACCGATGGCCAACCTTTTGCATCATGTAGCTCAGGACCTTACAGGTTTGGCCCAGTGCCTTATTTTCGGTACTTGTTCCCGGCCTCTCGTTCTTGAAAAGGAGGCGGAAAGGAGGCAGCGCAGAGATGGCAACCTGAATTCTGAACAAAATCAGTTATTCAAACGAATCGTCATCAATTTCGAGTTCTACCAGCTAGAGGGCTTCGCCTTGAAGTTGGACGATGCCTGAAGTTGACCCACTGCAAAAAAGCGCTTGTGCGCAAAATAGAGGTGCGTGCTGCTTCTGTTTAATGTCCGCTGCTGTTGTGCACCTGTGAGTTGAGTTGTGTTGTCCTTTCAGATTTGGCTTGTTGCGCAGTCTACTCCGGTCCTCGCCTCCATAGTTGCCAGATGGCTCGCTTCCGCAACTATTCGCGCTCTCGGTCGCCAGTGGTTCGCCGTCATACTAGGGCTCAGGAGTTTGACAGTCCCCACGGGCATGGTCGCAAGGAGCATTCCCTTGACCTTCCCCACAGCTTCCAGTCGGACAGCAAGTTCCTCGACCGCAACTCCCTCTTCGGCCGCCAATTCTACCGCAACGTTTGCTCTACACCATGGTCGCAGCAAACTGGTTTGGCAAATCGGCCCGTGGACTCCGTGAGGGTTCACGAGTTGTGCTATTTGGGGTGGGAGAACCACAACCTCCGGGCATTGTCCGCAGGGGCTTTCGTGAGTGTCGTGTTCGCAAGGTCAGTCCGCGAAGCCCAAGTTGCAGATTCGCTTCTTCGTTTGTGTCGTACCGAGCACTTTGACGTCGAAGGTGCAGCCTTCAACCGGTGGTTTCAAAAGTATGGGGAGAAGCCAACCGACAAGGACACCAAAAACAAAGCCGTTCAGGAGTTGGCCAGTGAAGCTTTGGGCGCACTTCGTCAGTATCAAGTCTCCGCCGCATCAGCGTCAGAGTCCCGTGAACTCGAGGAACTTCGTAAGAAGGTGAAGGAGCTTGAAGATGAGAAGGCCACGAACAAGAGGAGGTCTCGTTCCAAGTCCCCCGTGCTCCCAGCGCGCAAGCGGCTACAAAAAGGAGCCCCTCCTCCCTCGTTGCCTGTTGACGGCGTGAGCTCGTCGCCTTTGCTGACAATCGACTCAAGTGTGAAGCCACTTCGCGACTCCTACCCCTCCACTGTTACCCCGCAGGGTGTCAGCTCGTGGATTCGAAAGTTGCCCAAGAAGTTGGAGGCTCCCGTCCAGAAGGCCATCAAAGAAGCTGAACAAGTGTTCAAGGAGCTGTCTGAGTCGCAAGTTGCAAGCCTCCCGGATGTTGCGGCGGGTTGGGGACTGAGTGTGAAACAAGCGGGAACAGCAAAGGAAAAGGAGCTGGTCCGCATTATTGCGGCAGCATACGCCCTTTCCCGCTGACCTCCCAGTTCATACAAACAGTTTTCCATTTTAACCGATCTTTGCAAGGTGCTGCAGTGCGCTTTGCTTTTTCCTAAGCAAGCAGTCAAACGAGCTGCCTTGTACGTGGCTGGATGTGTGTGGCTCACTCTCTTGTTTGGTGCCGAAAGACTTTCATTCAAAGCGGCTGAGTGGAAGAAAAGGTTGCAACGCCATAATGTCTCACCGCAGACGTATACCTGGAATCATTTCAATCACAGCGCTGTTGTATACGTTCGTGTGCCTGGAGTGTCAAGTTGTTGCTCGCGGCGCCGTTTTTCCTTTGGTTCGGCTATGTTTTACGTAGGTTCCACGCGGGTCGGGCTCTTCAACAGAGAGTATGCTCGGATCCGTAAGCACAACCAGTTGTTTCGTTCCTCGTTTGTCCAAGCTGAGCCTGCTGTAAAATGGTGGTTTTCTTGTGAGAACTTCTTCGATTTTGTGCCGATTGTATTGGCTGCTGGAAGCTCTTATGCGCATGTGTGGACGTTGGAGCACTTGTTTGTGCAAAACTGGCGTCCTCCTCTAAACTACCCTTTCTCCAATCGCTTGGTCTTCAAAGGGGACCGTGTAACTTACCAGCAGGTTGCTCAAAAACATGCCGGCGCAGCTCATCGGTGTGGCAAGAGGTTATTTTTAAAATTGAGACGCCGATCAAAAACGATGCAAAAAATGGTTACCGAATTCGGCCCCAAGGAAGGCGCAAATCGCAATCTGTCCCGCTCAACCGCATGGTCAATGTTGTTCCTGCTCTCACAGTTGGATGGACAAGGCTGGCAGATGCAGAAGCTGCTTGCAGCGGAAAATACGAGTCATCTTCATCTGTATGCGCTTGACAGACTGGCAAGTTGCTTGGAGGAACCGTACCGAGGTGTTGCAAAAAAGCGTCTAAAGTCGGTTCTTGAACGCCGTGGACTGGCTGTGCCGAGGGCTGCCAAACCATTGACATTGCCGTTGCTCGCCAACAAGTTCTTCAAGAAAAATGTTGAAAAGTGGTTGGTGGGAGTACGCAAGAAGTATGCAGATCAAGCCTTGCCATTTCATCTTCCAACGAAGCAGGTGGTGGAAAAACGGCATTGTTCTGTTGGAGAAAAGCTGTTCAATTTCAGACTGTGGTTAAAAAAGTTCGCGCAGTTCCCCTGCACGGATTTTTGTCAATGTCAACTTGTGTTGCAAAAGCATCCACAGTTGCAGTGCGTTGAGGGGCATGTCGCGTCGCCGGCGTCGCTGTTGTCAGTGTCAAGACACTTGAAGCGACTTCTTGCGTCGTCGGCGGGTTGTTGTTTTTTCCCCCGTGTCAAGCGGTATAGGGAAATGTCTGTGCAGGAAGTTCGCGCGTGGGCAGGGCATCACCATCTTCCCATTGAGCAAGTTGTTGATGAGTGGCTTTGGTTTGTGGAAGGTGAGTTTCCCGAGCATGTCAAGGCAGTGTCCGGCAGGTTCTCTATCGCTGAAGTCCTACGGGCTGCGCAGGAGATGCGCAACCTTGTGGTGCATTCACGCGACCACGCGTACAACCAGATCATGTTATTCTGTCCAGAGCTGTACAAATCAGGTATCTTGAACACGTTTGAAGACGCAGATGTGTATGGTGAGCTCGCCGGACACCCTCATGCTATTGCCTCCTCAGCCTTCCAGGCCATACCCGATTCGTTGAAGAAACGGTATGCGTGGGGCATAAAGGAGACCTTTCTGTTGCCAAAGGCTTACTGCTTTCTGAAGCAAAAAAAGTCTTTCAAAAAAGCTCGGTCGATCATCAATTTCCGCGGGTCGTGTTTGAGCAAGTTGTGCAAGGTCATCGCCTGCGTGTTGAATGAAGTTTGCCAAGTTGCCTTTCCCGAAAACTTTGGTAGGCTGAAGTTGCATGAGGTGTGGGCTTCGCTACACGCTTTCTTGGACCGGACGTCCCACTCTGATGCGCAAGAATATGTCACGGTCAACGATGACCTGACTGGCTTTTTTAATTCCATTCCGATCTCGCGCTTAAATCGTGCTTGTGAGATTGCCTTGAACCGGTTCTTTGAGAACAAGCAAGCTGGAGGTAAGTGTCGCAGTGACTTTTGGTTCACGGTTGATGAAACATCGCCATCTTCTTATGGCCGAGTCCTACGTGGAAAGCCGATGAAAAACCGACCATCCACGTGCCGAAAAGTTTTCCAGGGTGACGTCCTCAAAATTGTTCAGTTGTCCTTTTCCTTTGCGTCGTTTACTGTTTTGGGCCGGACGTTCTCGCAAAAACGAGGCAGTCCAATTGGCAACCAGTTGTCACCAAGTTTGTAACTTGGCTGTCTGCTTGGAAGAGGATTGTTGGGTGCGGGGATTGAGGCAGTGTTGGGCATCTGACCAGCTTGCATGTTGGTTCCTCCGATACGTCGACAACAGGTATTTGCTTTTTCCGCGGTGCTTCTTGCGGAGACCAGCTTTCTCAGCGCTGGTCGACCCCACCTTTTATGGTCCACCTGTTGTGTTGGAGGCTTGTGAGATTGAAGAACTGTTGGGTTGCCGTGTGTCTGTGTACGACCGTCGTGTAGATTTCCATGTTCCCAACGAAGCTTGGAAGTATCGGGTCCCGCAAAGCGCTGGATCTGCAAATGCAAATCTGGCTAGTTTTCGGGCGCGTGTTTTGATCATTGCAACACAGGTGTATCCAAAAAAGGATGTGCCCGGTCAAATTCGTGCCCTTTCCCAGAAATATTTGAGTCTAGGTTTTCTGCGCAATGAGTTGTGCCAAGCGCTTCCAGCAAAAGCCAAACGATTCCGCAACGTTCTCTAAACAGTTTGCAGCAGGCTTCATTCTCGACTGTCTTGTTAGAGGTGCTCTCACTCAATCGGCATGGATGCTCCAGATGGCTGTTCAAAAAAGGCTCGGCTCCGCAGCTGCAGGGAGGATGTCCGTGAGATTTGCCACACCGGTCCATGGAACGGGCCGGGTGTGTGTGTGCACAAAACCCTGTTGGACCAAGGGTCGGAGCAAATCACATCAGTCGTTTTGAATTCATTTAAGATGTACGCAGGGGGCCGCTCCACCCACTGTTAGGGGGCGGCCAACGAAGAGCCTAACAGTGTGGTGCTGAAAACGTACCTGCAAATTCGAGCGTGCTTGGGCTTGGCAGAGCAGCTGGCAGCTCATAAACTGGGAGTGTGCTTGGGCTTAGCATAGCAGCTGGCAGCTCCACCATGGACGATATTTCTGCCTTCCCCTACATGTGTAGGGAGATCCCGAAGTGTGTGTGTGTGGAGAGTCCGGAAAATGTTGGGAAGAACTTGGGGAGCGCTCGTCCTTCCAGACATCCAGCAGAGGTATCCGCTATCAGAGATTCGCTTTCCCGTGCCCCTGGAGCCCACAAACGCGGCCGCCGGACTCGTCCTGGAGGCTCCCGTCATTGTCTGCTTTGCTGCGGCCTCAGCACTCAGCACTTGGTTGCAGTCTCTGGAGGGGTTTGGAGTGCTTTGGCCTTTGAGCCCAGAAAAAGTCGTAGAGTGATTCGGTCAAGACTCGATTCCGGGCCTTCTTTGGCTTCATGCAGCTGGTTGAGTGTGTCGGGGTATGTCAGGCGAGAGATGACTCACGGCACAAGGGCTCAATCGAATCGCACTGAAGGATTCTGGATTTCCGAACTGCCGCCTCAGGTGCTGCAAAATCCACTCATCAATTCATCCGTCCTGCGGCTGACGGCGCCTTCAGCGCCTCGGCCGGGCTAGGGGCCATGGGTTCAGCCTGAGTTCCAGCAAGGTGCAATCTGTTTCAGATGCGTCGCCTTTGTTTTGCTGGGGGTGTTGCTACAAGATGCATGCGGCAGCTCCATCAACTTTAGGAGGACAGTGGGGACGCAGGTACCAGTAGGAAACTGTAACCGTGGCTTGAGGAGTACAGACTTGGCAACGTCTCGCGGCTTGCTGGAAGCTCCCCCGTGGCAGTGGCAGCTGCATGACTCAATCGAAGCTGACCGACTAGTCGCAGATCCGCCTTGACAGTGTTTTGCAATGAACTCCGGTGCTCCAACACATTCATGGGTGGCATGCGCGCTCGGAACCCCACGCCCCCGCAAGAACAGATGTCCTGCCTTATATATATATATATATGTATAATATATATATATATATATATATAAATAGTGTATAGTATACAAAACACTATTTATAGTAGAAAATATATAAATATCATATATACTCAGGCCACTGCAGCTGGCAATGTGGCGAACGTCACCATCCTGGAGCCTGGCCTGCTTGCTGGGCCGACGTACTGTCCCTCCACCTTTGCTTTGCAATCTTTGCGAGTTCGTCTGTTTCCGGGCAGGTCGTCAGACTCCTTGGCGTGAAGGGCTGACATATGTTGGAACATCAAATGCCAGGTCTTGCTATTTACGTGCGGAATCCACCGGCAATACCGATAAGCTTGCGAGCCTGGAAACTTTGTGGCACACTGAGACAGAGCTTGCATGATCTACGTGTAGCATGCGTCATGTGCATATGCGGCGAATGTGTCGTAGTTGCGTGGGAGGGGTGTCGAGAAGCATGACCAGATGTGTGTCTATGCGTGTGTGTGTGTGTGCGCGCGACAGATCTCGGTAGCTGGCTGGTGCATGCGTAGCTTGTCCAAGGATGATGCAGTCCATTGGCACTGATGGCACTCTGGTGGATGAAGGTTTCGTGGAGGAGTTGGGGCAGCCTTTTTGAGTTTGGGTTGAGAACCCCTCTGACAGCCCAGCTTGTGCCACCATCTGGTGTGAAGGAGTACCAGCTGTACCCAGCAGCTGCTCTGGCAATTGCGACTGAGACTGCACCAGACATTGGAAGGAGTTGGGACAACACAGTCGGGCGGTCTTGTCATCATCTAGACTATCTGATCTCTCTCTCTCTCTCTCTATACATAGAAGCCTAAGTTAACAAGCAACGATGAAAGTTTGTCTTGGTTGTATCATGAGTCCCTTTGGGCAAGGTAAATCTTGACCAGCAGCCCTACAGCGACCGTGTGGTGACGGCGCGCATTGCCGCCACCATGCCAGCACCGGTGCGCTTCGGAGATTCGCTGGTGGTGCAGGTGTCCAGCCCGACAGCGTATTGCAGAAGCAGCATAGGGTGTTGATAGCCTTGGCTTACTGACCGCTCTTATACACGGAAAAAGGCTGGTGCAAATCGAGGCAGCCACCCGTGGCAGCTTTCGTGCTTTGAGCCTTTCCCAAGGCGCCCGATGGCTTCCTACTGCCTGGCTGCCCGGTGGAGTGGCTACGCTTCGTGTCTTCAGCGCCAGAGCCTTCACCGAGGCACTCTTGTGATCTCTTGTAGATATGATTTTTCAGACATGTCTAAAACATGTCTAAAAGTTGTTTGTTAAAAAATAGTACCCAGTTGCAACAACAGTCAGATAGAAGGCCTAGCAGAGCGTGGGCTGTCGAGGCTGTCTAGGCTGTCAGGTGAGTGCAACACTTGTGCCCAAGCCTTTGTTTCAAGAGCCGCTCCCTGACAGTTGTTCGTGCAACTTCGGTCCTTGATGCCAAGCTGCAATTTAGGGGGTTTTCAGAGCACCAATGGAATGAAGGTCAAGAAACGCACAAAGCCACAAAGTGGTCTGCTGATCTGCTGGGCACCTCCCGCTTCCTTATCCTGCTCAGCAGAACCCGAGCCACACTTAGGTTTACGTTCATGAGATGATTACCGCTATTTCTGCCTAAATCTGGCACTGAACCAGGCACCCAGCTTGTCAAAAACTATCTGTCTTGGCAAAGAACTTGCTCCAAGAGCGCGGCATCAGTGACAGATCCTAGATCCACAAGCGGCGTCTACTCCCTCAATTCTCACCTCGTGACTCACTTCCATCACTCGTTTCGCTTGGCCACAGTCACACATCAGATCGGCTGCTTTCGAGCTCTATGTTTCTATCTGCAGATTTTGTTGTCTGTGTAGCAAGGGCCCTGGGGGCTCACTGTATGTTGCGTGCGTGCCTGCGTGGGTGGGTGGGTGGGTGGCTGGCTGGCTGGCTGGCTGGCTGGGTGGGTGGGTGTGTGTGTGTGTGTGTGTGTGTGTGTGTGTGTGTGTGTGTGTGTGTGTGTGTGTGTGTGTGTGTGTGTGTGTGTGTGTGTGCGTGCGTGCGTGCGTGCGTGGGTGTGTGTGTGACACTGAGTGAGTGAGTGAGTGAGTGATTGAGTGATTGAGTGTGCGTGAGTGCGTGAGTGCGTGAGTGCGCGGGTGCGTGCGTGCGTGCGTGCGTGCGTGCGTGCGTGCGTGCGTGCGTGCGTGCGTGCGCGTGCGCGTGCGCGTGCGCGTGCGTGCGTGTGTGTGCGTCCGTGCGTGCGTGCGTGGGTGGGTGGGTGGGTGGGTGCGTGTGTGCGTGCGTGTGGGTGGGCGCGCGCGTGTGTGCGTTTCTCTCTCGCTCTCTCTTTGTGCTTGTTTGTGAATTTCTCCCCCTGTGCTTGTCTGCATCCCTTCTTTAGTAGTCCTAGAGTCGGTAACCCATCAGCCAAAACCGTAACAGTTTGGCGCGTCTGAGGGATATAAGGGCTAAGGCAGCACACAACATCTGAGGCACCGTCACGCTGCCGTTTCTCTCGGTGGGCTGGCAGCTGGGTTGTTTTGAACAAACGTTTGCTTTTGGGATGTTCGCCTTATACTAGCAATCCTTACCTTAGTAGGAATTAAATTAGGGGGTGGTGCAATCCCGATTAAGGACTGTTCGTATAAGGGGGAACATCCCAACTTTTCTTCGGTAATGTGCTGCCGTCTGTTGCTGTGCTCGCCAGCATGCCAGTGGCCACGACCCGAGGCAGATGGAGCTCGAGCTTTTAGGGATTGCCTACGCGGCCAGCAGGGAGCCGCACGAGTGCTCTTGTTCGTATTTTTCAGAGATGTCAGTACCAGGCACGCTACGCGACCCGCCTCGGCCGGGGCCTGGCGCCACCGGCAAGGTCGGCACAACAGGCGTCGTGTCATGTCTATTTTTTCCAAATCGAAAAGGTTCAGGGGCAGGAGCGGGGGGTGGGGAAGAAAGAACGGGGGAGGGGCAGGAGTAGGGAGTAGAAGTAAAAGGGTGCGGACAAGGAAAAGTTGGGGAATGAGGTTTCACAGTACCCGCGGGTAGGTTAAGTCGTATCTTCTTGTGTGAAGTCGTATCTCGGGCGCGTGCACACTGGGGATTCGCGAATTCCAAGATTGGTCAGAACCCACTTGCACCACCAAGCAGACATCTCATTCACGACAACACCCCTCATCTTTAGGGGCAAAGTTCCTGGCGTGCAACATTCCACGACAACAGCCCAAACGAGCTCTCTGCAGAGTGCTTTAAATTCATTGAGGGCTACTGCTGTACGAAAAGCCGCCCCCTTCAACCCTTGGACGTGCGGCCCTCGCAACGGCTCGCGCAGGACTCGCGCAGAAGCACATACGGTCACTACCCACATATAGACCTGCAGACAACAAGCGCTTCTCTTTCGAGCGTGTAGTGCCGAATGCATACTTTGCTTGTGTGTCGGGAGCATGTGCATGTCGCGCGCGTGCACTCGCAGAATGGCATCAATTGCTGTCTTTGTGCTCACACAAATGTGCTCCCCTCCCAGGCGTGTGGTGACAAAAGCGTGTTTTGCATGTGTGTCGAGAACATGCGCGTGCGGCGCGTGCACATTGGGGGAACGGCCTCAGCATATGTCTTTGTGATGCGACTTTACGCGGGGTGCCGTGACTTCGCTCACGGCCGCGTGTCATTGGGGAGATGTGACTTCACACGCAAAGATGTGAGTTAACCTAGCCCCTAGTAGGGCAGGAAGTGCAACGGCTCACCCCACAGCCTGGGGTATGTCGGGAAGGGTATTGCTATTCATGCTCCTCTGGGGACGCCTACGGCCCGAGGCCTCGGCTAATTTTTTTGTCTTCGCCTTTATCTCGTGGCTTGATTATGGACATGGGAGGAGCTGTCGATCAGCATCACCACGAGAAATCCGATGAGCTCCTCGGTGCTGTGGTTTTGACATCGGTCGTTTTGTGACGCTTCCTTCGTATGCTGGAAGCCAATTGCCTTGAGGCAACCCGCCGCCAGAAGTTTCATACTGGCGGATGACCCACCTGGGTCCGATCTCAGAGGAGTGACTCCTCACCCAGTTAAGACCATGCTCACACGTCACGAGTAGCTCCGAGCAGATTGTGAACTTGAGATGTGCATGGTCAGATGACAGAGCGCTCTGTCATGAGCCAAGTAGTGAAGGACGAGTCTGCATCTCGGATCACGCGGGCAACTGCCGTTGCACCAGGCCCCTGATCTGAGCTCAGTAATGTATTTCCTTGTTTTTGTGTGGCAGGTCCCAGGTTCTACCGGCAGCTGACATGTTTCATGACAGCGTTTGAAGTTTGCAACGCACAGGGGCCGGGGGGCTTCACTGCCCATCACCCTAGGCCGTCCAGGGTTTAGGGTGCAGTAGGGGGGTGCCGAGAATTGCGTTGGGAGATAGGCTGAGGCCAAAGTCGCATCGTAAATGCGTGACGCGCGTGCGCCATAGCAAACCTGCTGCAGCCCCAATCGCGGCCCTTTCCTTGCCAGCATCCTTGCCAAGCCAGCCCAAAACTCAAGATGCCGAAGAAGCTTCAACTACGGTAACTGTTTTTGTGTACTCATGTCGGCCACGTCGGCCTCAGGTTGGCAGATCCTGCCAGAACTGCGCCGCGTCTCTGTGGAGTTGGTGGGTTCCAACCAGGCCGAAGCCTGCAGCCGTGTCGGGCGCATGGGGCGCTGGGCCCGCTCAGGCCCGGACCTGGGCTTGGGGGGCCGTGCCCTGCCACCTGCCAGGCGGCTGGTGCAATCTCCGACCTCCGCCTCGCGTGGCGCGCTCGCAATCTTGCTGTCGGAGCGGCGGTCGAAACACTATTTCAATGCTATTTCAATAACAGCCGACGGTTGATGTTCTGAATTGAACCAAGATCCGAGAAGTATGATTATCGAAGTATGAAATATGAAACGCTGGACATGCCGGAGTGCGGAGTGGCACGATGACTTCTTCTAAGGTTCGTGCCCGAGAGCCCAGCTGTTGCTGCCCGACTGGTTGCTGAATCCCCACCGGAAACTCGGCCGGATTCAGAGACTGGGGTCTATCGGTTCACCATTCACGACACGCGCTTAGCAGCAACGAACAAAAATACCCCAATTCCACAGCTGATTGTTGCATCTGAGCGCCGTCTTTGAGCAAACATGTGAGGCAGCCATCAGTCATGAACCTGCCGCGTTAAGGATCTGTCTTTCGATGGTTCCGAGGCCGCGCTCATCATCTGAAGAAAAGCCAACAGCAAGAAGCATCATCGCCGTCATCAGTTTTTTCAAAGATTGCGACGCCACCGAAGCCACCGACTGCAACAAGAAGTTGCAGTTTACCCTTGCTGTCGTATGGTCCCTGCAGTCCGCAGGTCCGAGCTCCGGCCTCGAAAGGCTTGGGAACGGCTGGCCGAGCTACCCGCATGCAGCGTGGAATAGTGTGGATGGGGTGTGCTCTTCGCATGTAAAGTGGAAGCCGGCTGCACAACGACGGTTTGTGATGCCGGCCTTCAGCTCCATCCCAATATCCCCGACCTCAGATCTGGAGCACTGATCTCGACAGATGCCCCCAAAGCCCGAAACCGTTCGACATCTACCAAAGGTCATCGTTCTCAGTGGCCTGAGCCTTGTGGTGGGCGTGGAAGCCTCCGTTTTCGTCACCTCGGTGCAGCTTGGTCGGGGCGGAGGAGCGTTTTTTCTTCGGGACCGGGCCGGGAGGAGAAATCGACTTCTGCAACTTGACTCAGTGACACCTGAACTGCGCAGGACAGACAATCTTCACGCTTCACACGTTTAGCACCTCGACGCTGTCGCGCTTGGCTGACGAGCGCCTGAACTTCCCGGGCTACTTTCAAGCTGGGTACCTCAACATGGAGTTCAGAAAGGGCTTTTGAACGGTCTGAGGCCGTTTAGAGCACCGGCTCGTCTCTTAACTCTTAACTCTTCTATTCCCCTACTCTTCCCCTGCTCTTCCCTTGTTGGAAGTTCGTGCTTGCCGAGGAATGTCCTGGTCGAGGGAAGCCTCCAGGGTGGACACGCTGCTTGAGCCAAAGTCAACGTTGCAAGAGTCAAGAGCCGTCAAGAGTTGAGTCAAGGGGACACATCTCCAAGCACAGCTCAGGCAAGCACCTCGAACCCTCTGCTGCAAAACCTGCCGCCACGGGCTTTGGAAGTGGGGGTGGTCACGCTGGGCCTTGCGCCTTGGCCCACTTCAACATCGATTTCTCGATGTGCGGGGCTTCGAACTGGCCCTGGCGGATCACGCGGGGGTTTTTGCAGACGTTTCCAGACCTCAGGTCTTTTCGTTGGCGGTTTCGACCGGGGACACCCTGCTGGTGACCTGCCGCGGCACGGGTGCGTGCCATGGCCATGCCCAGTCTGGAAGAGGGGCTCGAGTCTATGTTATCCTAAGTTTTCCTGGCAGAAGGGGGTACATTTTCGTTCCTGCCTCTACAGTCTTAACTTAAGGTATAGGCTGCTGGTGGATGAGCTGCTGACCATGCGAGTGCTCGGAGACTTGGGTTGCATCTTGTGCGTGCCAGCTTGGCGCCCAATCTTGTCGCACCCGGTCCTAGGCATTCTGCGGCACACATGTCTCCAGTGTCTGGACAAAGGCTTTGAGCTTTCCGGGGCGGCCGGGCTTTCGCTGCCTCTGCTGGCTGCGAATCGTGGTGATCACGAGATCGCCTTGCAATTCCTGGGAGCAGAAGGCCAGCTGCCGATTGAGGATTTGGTTTGGGAGTTTGGGGCTTTTTGGATCTTTTGGGAGTTGCTGTCAGAGTGGATGTGGAGTCCTTCAGGTCTCAACTCGACGCTGATCCAGTCAGCCCAGTTCGCAGAGCTCACCTTCCAGGCCCTGCTCTCCGTAGAGCGCTTCGTGATGCTTCGTGCCTTCAAGCGCCCAACCCATCGCCCTTCCTCTGCTTTGCGTGTGCCCACACAAGTGCGTCCTACTCCCATCGCATGATCATGGATCATCGAATGCTTGTCAAGCGGCGGAAGGGACCCCAAGTGCGCGCGGGCCGTACACAACCATCCCCCCCCCCTCCCTGCGAGGTGCTCCCAAGTTCGGGGGTGAACACCTGGATGATTGCAACCTACAGCCGGGGAGCTGCCACCCGGCCTCCGTTCTGAGACTTTAGGGCTCTCTTCTTACGGGTTTGAGAATCGCTTTTGCGCTCCTTTGCTGTAGCTGAAGCGCAAGTCAGCAGAATGGAGAGAATGGTCGCGGGGCATCTAGTTCATGACGTTTCATGATGTTTCGCGTGACATACCGCAACATGTAAGTGAAGCACGCATGTATGTCCAACAGGTCAGCAACACGAATGACGGCAACTTCGCTGGCTTCCAACCCGTGCTGCAGCTCACAGTGGAGTTGGCGCCCGAGCGCTCACCGCCCAACGCGCTCATTGCCGTCAATCTCCAGGCGCGCAGCCATTGGGGCTTGTCATTGCAGTTTTCGTGGCCGTGCGCCCGAGGTGTCCTCCGACCTCGGCCCCCTAGCCACGCAGTTGATGCTGGTGGCACCGCCGGGCTTTTCCTTCCCGACGCTCTGCGGAGAGCTTTGCTCTTCATTCGGAGAGTTCTTCGAGGGCACGGGCCGCCCTGTCGCGAGCCTCCTCACCACGGCAGCACTTGGGCTCGACTTGGACTCCTCAGCATCACCGCTTGCTTTGCTTAAGAAAAGCTTTGTGCCTTTTTGTGTGCCACTCGTGCTGCCGAGGCTGCAGGCTTGTTGAACCAGCAGCTGGTCTTCAACATCCAAACCCCACTCCGGACGCCGCAGGTCCTCACATGGCTGGTGCAGGCGTTCGATCCAGCTGGAAACATCCTGGGCTGGGGCCCAGCAGATGGCTTCAAGGTGAATCTCGACCTGAAACCAGAGAACATAGACAGGACAGTCTAACTCCGTTGTAGCTGGGGAGGGCCACTGCTGCCACTGGAACTGTCACATACCGTCACCACAGCTGTGACTTTGGGTGATCTGAAGCAGTAGCCGTCACCGACTGGCGGTTGTTGTCGCAACTCTTTGAAACAGTGGGCATGGTCGAGCATGTGTCACGTCATGCCCACTTGCGGTCGTGGTCGTGGCTGCAGTTATGGTGCTTTGGAGTAGTTCGTTTTCTTTGTTTCTCATCAAGGTTAATTTTGTTTTCCAGGACTGTTTTCTGTGCCCCCCCAGATGCCATAACTAGCAATAGCCGGTAAGTTGCTAGTCTTATCCAGCTGCGGATATGTGGCCAAACATGAGGAACCAGATGCGCGATGCTCAAGTACTATATGGCGGTGTGCCAGGCGAGTGTTGAATGGCTAGAGGGGCACAGTTCTCAAGGAGCAGTTCGGCCAAAGACAGGCAAACTCAAAAGCTGCTCACAAACCCTGATTCCTGCTGGGCGGGAGACGATGAAACCCTCATTCCTTAAACCCAAAACCCAAAACCATTTCTATTTTTTTTGTGGCGGCCGAAGGCCTTCAGAATGCCCAGCTCGCCTTTGTGTTCACATTGGAAACGCCATCATTGGATGGTACCTTCCGGATCGTGGAAGTGATCGCTCCATCAGAGATCCTGCTGTCCTGACTCTTGGACGTTTCTTCAGACTTGGCAGTTTTGTTGGTCCTCTGGTTCTGTGAATGGGCACCTGGGCACCAGGTCTATGCTCAAAAACCTTTTTTGTAAGAATCGGCAGCGTTCTGTGCCAATCGTTGCCTTTCATCCTCTGTCCAAGGTGACACACTGCAGCATTTGACGCTGCCGGCTGCTGTGTGCGCTGAGCAGGCAAGTGAAAAGCAAACTTAGATGGTCATGTCTTGAGGCGCCAATCTTCCGGTACCAATAGAGCCAGATGCAGGGGGAAGCCACATATTGGCACTCTCCGTGGGAATTGTAGCATAGGCGGTGAACGCTCAAAGCCTTAACACTACAAACCGGGCTTACACACTTCACTTGGCTCTAGTTGCGGCATGTCGTGGACTATTTTATTTAGCTCAAGTAGTAGTCATCGAAAGATAGTAAAAGACAGGGTATCTGAAGAAAAGTACAGGATTTCCATAACTTTGAGTCGGAGATGTTCGTTACTAAGTAATGCGAGGTAGTAACAGGTTTTGAAGAGTCAACATGAGGGGACCTGCATGCACTTCATTTGTTAGAACATGAGCCGTATGAAGCCCAGAACAAGAGAGCCGCGGCATTGCCCCAGAGAATCGAAACCCTAGCCATGCCCAGCGTGATGGCAGGGACCTGGCTTTGCACGGCTGGACTTGGACGAGTCATTGCAGCCAGGACCAGCCAGGGGTGTGGTTTAGATGAAAGGCTTGGTGCTGCAGATTGTCTCGAGTGATTCCCTGAGATTTTCACGGCGATTCTTTCAAGAGATGCAGGGCTCAGGCCAAAGTTGCCGGGCGGCGATTTTCAGAAAATTCGCAGGGCTCAAAGCGTGAGGCATGCTTGGCGACTGCCAGGCACCTTCTCCTTCACAGTCACTGGCGATCTTCCCAGCAGCCCTTCTGCAAGCAGCACTGAGCTGTAGCTTGGCTCGCGCCAAGGGGTGCCACCATGCATCCCTGCGCCATTTGCCATTTGGTGGCTTCCGGAATTGGGGTGCCTTATTCAGGTCCCTATTACAAGGGAATCCTACTATTGGGGGTCTTTATTTGGCGTCGGTCCCTATCATAAGGGAATCCTTCTGTTTGGGGTCTTTATCTGGGGTCCCTTCTTTTCGTCAACCCCCATTTCTCGCCATGTGGAGGCCAAACTCCACAGCAGAATTTCTTCTCTATCGTCATCCGGCGGTCGCCCAGTCTCCTGGCAAGGACTTGCTTGTTTCCAGCTTCGGGTTGAGGGATACAAGTTCCCAAACAGCATGCCAACACCATGGGTTCTGACGTTCAAGGTGGGGAGGTTCCTGATGCGGGCATGAGTCCGGTGCCTGGGAGTTTGAGGATTGAGGGCCGGGAGCTTTCGCAGTCCCCTTGAAAAACGTTCTGGGTCAAAAGCACAGTCCTGTGTAGCGCGTGCTCGGTCACGGGTTTCGGGGGTTGCGGTGTTCATTGTGAGGTAGGTGGTGTTGGCGTCGCCTGACGCGACAAGTGCACTCTCGCCCGTGCGCCACGTGCCTTTTGCGGTCGGAATCCCGGCACGGAAGTCTAGCAGGGTTGTGCTTTCCTGCGACTTGGGTTCTTGGTCGGCTTCGCTTCGTTCAGCTGCACTCTGAGCTTGGACATCGCATTCCCGCCTCGGTGCCGTGCGGCCCGGCGCACATGTGCAGAACATCCTTCGCTTTTGGGCTTTGGATCGGGCACCGGCCGCGCGCACGCAGTTCGCGTAGGCGCGCTCCTGCCACCATCCCATGGTCGAACTGGGCTTCAGGCCTCGGTCTCGTGCGTGAAGTGCAGAACCGTCATCGCTTTTGGTCCACGCTGCGTTGTGCCATCGTCCTTGTCTTACACTGTTGGCGTCATGACAATCTTACCTGACGACGTCGCGTCTGATTCTGACAGGTGAGCATGTGGTCGATGCTGCCTTCGACTTTGTTGGCTGGCAGATTCAAGATGCCCCTTGGACCGGGGAGTGGCCAGAAACCATGAGCCATGAGCACCCCAGGAGTTCAGCATCCCGGCGTCCCCCAAACACTACGTGAACCCTTAAAGTGTCTGAAGCCCAGGTTTCGATCTCACAGCCGGTCCTGGCATGGTCCACGGCCGGCTTCCGGGAGAGCCCGAGCTGCGCGAGAATTCTTCCTTCTTCTGGTTGCAGATGGTGTAGGGCCTCTCCTAGGGCGTTTAGAGTTTCAAGTCCTTTGGTGGGTGGTTTGAAGCCCAGGATCTCCACCGTGACCATCTCCTTTGCCGTGCAGTTGGCCACTGCCATGCTCAGGGCGTTGTTGATCAGTTTCTTGGAAAACAGAGACAGTCCTTAAGTGAAGTAGCCCCTTCTCTTGCTTTGATTTGAAGTATGTCCTCGAAGTCTGGGCTAGAACCCAGCTGGGGACGAACAAATTGGCGAGAAGCATCTGCAAGGCTTGCCCCCTGGCTATCAACACCGGGTGCGGAGCGTGGAAGAGTTCAAGGTCTCAAACCAGCGCCCCTTGGGCACACTATCCTCGTCACGAGTCCTTTCTCCTCAGCTCCCACAACTTGAAGTGGCTGAAGTTTCTGGAATTCCAACAAAAGTCGCCGTAGCCTGCTGCGCTGACAAACCTTCAAGCCGTTCAGGACTGCCACTGCTGAAGGGCTCCACAGACTGGCTGGACATGTCGGTTTTGGATCGCATCCTTATCTCCTTGGAGCCGAAGGAGCAGGGTTTTGGGTGGGCTCAGAAGAGACACATCAGGGGTTTCGCAGTGAAGGCCATGTGCTACCGCGAGGCTTGCTAGGCCAGAGGATGTGCAGGCCCATCCCACGGATCTCAAGTCAAGAGAGGACCCTGCAGTGGACATCGGCAGCTACATGTTCACGTTCCTGGAGCCAGAACAAATATTCGGGATATGGAAGAGAAGAGATTGGCTAGAGGGACAGGGGCTTGAACTCAGCAGAAAAGCCTTCGTGGACAGCTCGCGCGTGTGAAACTTAGCTCCTACATAAATCCTAACACGAGTAGCCAGGAAGCCAGAGCCACTGCAGACTGGCAGATGGCCGCAATGTACAGCCTGCTAATTCGCAGCGAGGATTGTTAGGACATATGGCTGCCAGACTGGTGCAGACATGCTAAGCAGTGTGTTGTGCAAGCTTCTTTTACATGTGTAGACTGTGCAGGTTTCCGGTTGAGCTGCCGACTGCTGCCCAACTGCCCGCCGTGAACCTCTGGCAGCTGAGCTTCTGCAAGAGCCGCTATTGTGCCTTTCGGACTTCAAGTCTAAGCAGCTGGCTTTGCAAGCGCTCGACGGTGTCGAAACCTGCAAAGAAGAGTTTGCCGCATATGTGCTTGCTTCTCCAGTCACCTACAATGTCAGGTTCACCCCAAGGACGAGGCAGGTCGAAGCTTTCATGCACAAGCCAGGGTGAAGACACCTGAGTTGGATTTGCACTGCAAGCTTCCAATGCGTTTCTGAGTTGTGATGCGCTGTTTGTTGCTGATGCCAACCGGCTGGGATGAAGTGCTGGAAACGGAGCTTCGAATTCTTGAGACAGGCAGTGCTCGTCTCCTTCCCCATCGCCGGCTTCCTACCAGGCGAGGTTTCTGTGCTGGAGCAGCGTCGACAGAAGCTCGCGCAGGAGGCGCGGCGCATCATGTCGCTTCCCACATCATTTGCCATTCAATGTTGAAGCAGGTTCGATAAACTGTTCGATAGGAGGCGCCTTTAGAGTTTTTGTGTGTGCGCGCGCAGGAAACTGGGGTTCCAGAGACAGCTTCCGCCAGCACGTGCCCTGGTGGCAGTCGGCAAACATGTTGTACGTTTGCAGAATGTAGCGCGATGTCATCGATGTCATGCGGGTCCCCAAGTTCTGCCTCAGGATGCGCTGGAGCCTCGCCTTGGTCCTTGCAGCGAAGCTTCAAGTTTTCTAAGGCGGCACATGTGAAAGTTTGAGAAGACCACCGCAGCCGACTCAGACATGGCCGAGGGCCTGCGAGGGCGAGCGCCAGGGCAAGCGCGAGGGCCAGCGCGAGGGCAAGTGCGAGAGGGTGCGTGAGCGAGCGCAAGCACGAGGGCAAGTGCGAGGGCAAGCACGAAGGCGAGTACGAGGGCGAGCACGAGGGCAAGCACGAGAGGGCGAGCGCTCATGTGGTGCCAGGTGAGCTGCTCTTCCATTGGTTGGCTTCGCGGCTTGAGGGGCTTCATGGCTTCTGCGCTGCACGTCCTCGCCGACCTGCCTGATGGGATCGAGCTCTGGGTCGGCCCTGCAAAAATCAGACTGAAGACCATCCGACCTCGCGCGCGCATGATGACATGGGCAATGCGGACACTAGATGTGGCTTCAGGGCAGAGAAGAACGGCTTCTGCCACAGTAGCTAGCCGGCTTTCAGTGGAAGGAATGACCAGGATTCCAAAGAGCTTCCTACGTTTCCACTACTTGCCCAAGACAGGCAAAAATCGGTTGCACCCCTTCGCCTGCTTCTGCCTTCTGCAGCCAACTGCAAGACACCGCTTATGCGCGCAAAGGCAATGTTCTGCTGTCAGCGCAGGAGAAAGTGGTGGGCTCAGCCACGCCAGCATGAAGGGGATCCTTAAGAACGGAAGACCTTTCTCGAAGTGTTATACAAAAAAGTGATCAAAAGTGTGGACTGACGCCGTGGGCTGTTGCAGCTTTGTGACAGCAACCTGCCATAACCTGCCCCTCCTGAACTTTTTCGGGCTGACCCGGTATGCTGCCGGTTGACTTCAGCGTATGGGGTCTAGCAAAGGGCGAGGCTCGAAAAGATTGTCGTTTCTGCATGAAGGACTCCCGTGAAATCTAAAGCCTGCCTACACAGGCTGCACCACCGAACTGGGATGAACTCTTGACACACATGTCTTGACAGCAGTTCCCAAATGTCCATCCTTCCTCTAAGCCACCCAGAACCCTTAAACCCAACCAGAGCAGGCTGGCTCCTGGAGCCGGACCATGGAACTTCTGAGATCGTCACGAGATCTAGGTGCGCCTGGGGGAACATCGGAGCCATTCTTCCCAAATGTTCTCAAACATTCCCCTACTTTCCTGGCCCAACAGGTTTGGACGTCGTTGCCTGCAGTCGCGGCCTCAGCCTGTTGTGCCGCATGATCTCCATGAAGTTTCCGCCGGACTCTTGAGTGGTGCGGTGAGGGACGGAGTGAGCTCGTAGCGAGCTACTGGTCTACAGTACAGCCAGTAGCCTTTGCCCTGTGAAGGCAGCGCCATCAGCGCTTGTGGATGCCACGCCAAGGCTTTGAACCATTGCTTCCAAGTACAGCGGATCTGCTGGTGGAAGTGCTACAAGTACGGATGCTTGCCATGCCTGATGCTGCTAGTGTGGCACAGTGTGGCACCGGAGCTCTGCCAGTTCCCGATGTCTGATTTTCTTGTCCACATAGTAATAGTCTCAGCGAGTCAACTTTCGAATTTGCTGCTAGCCGCGAAACAAACTGTCCGTGGAAAGGGCTGGCGACGCGCCCTTTGCCTGGTGACGACACTCTGCGCCTGGAGAGTGGCACCAGATATCGCCGGATGCCCAGCCCGTGTGTCTTTACTGGAGTGCCTGTCCCGACCGGCAGGCCCACCACAGGCCACCATGCCGCCATACGCTAGGAGGACCTGACTTGAATTTGGGCAGTTGGCTCCAGTGGGGTGATGAATTCTTGAGGTCGCGTGCAACGCAGCTGTGTCCGCGCTCGCGCAGTCCACCAGCTGGGAGGAGGCGTTCCAGCAAGCCGGCAGCTGCCCGAAAGCATCACTTCGAGAGGGCAGCACCTTCAGTGCCAGTTTGTGTTTCAGTTCGCCGGAAAATGCAGTCGGGTGATCCCTTGTGGTTCCTGCCATTGGGCTCAGATGACAAGAAAGCCATATGGCAGGATGCTTGTGTGCTGCCTGTCAGGCAGAAAAGCTGCTTCAGTCTCTAAGCTGCCGGACACAGAGATCCATAGTTTCCTTCAACAGTTGCCGGACACCTACCATTCCGTCAGCATTCCCACATTCCGCATGTTCTGTCGCCTGAGTTGACTTCGATGGCCATGCTCTGCATCCTGACAATCTCTAGCCAAGAGACCTAGTCCTTGCCTGGCTTGTGCGAGTGTGAAAGCCGAAGCCACGAAGTTCCCTCTGCATGCTGGGAGTTTGCAGTTTCACTCGGGCAGACGCAACCTAGACCCTTGGACACATACAAAGTAAAGGAGCCGGATCCTCAACTAGAGTGACAACAGCCATGCGGCACTGCCGTCCCATTTCCGCCGAGGTGCTGATGCCGGTGCAAAGGCCTTGTCACAATGAAATTCTGCAGCGGTGGTCCATGTGAGCTGGGTTTGTGTATTTTTCAGGGGCACCACGAACTCAACAATCCCGATGGCACGCCAAGTAGCTAAACTTTCAACCCTCTGCTCGACCGGGCCACTTTGCTGAGCCATGCCTAGCGGCGTCCTTTAGACTCCTATGTAGGACACATTGCAAGATCAGTGTCCCATGACAGGCGCGGCAGTGGAGGCGGCCACTTACTTGGATTGGAGACATGGCCAGGACCCAAGAGCCAAGAGTTCGATGGTGCTTGCAGGCGCACTTCTCTTCAACTCATCACGAAAGCTAGCCTCCGAAGGCTAGCTGTGTTTCTTATCAACAGGTGATGGCGACTGGCTAGTTCAAGCCATGAGATTCTGGCAGTTCATTCCTACAAGCAGAGTTCGTGGAAGTTGAGCCTGGTCTTTGCAATACAGCCCGGTATCGTTTGACAAGGTTTACACGCGTCAGATTTTTTGTTTTGTGCTAGATGTGCTGATGCAGCTTAATATGCTTGAGGCGGCAAAGCACGATGCTCTCCCAACAACGCAGCAGTGAATGACTTGCTGGGCAACACCTGCCGAACATATTGTTAATGGTAATGTTGCAAGTAGTGGAACAAAATTTGGCAATCATATGCTAGAGCACCTGAACTGGGCAACCTACTAGAGAACACGCCAGACATAGCAGGCACGCCGTTGCTCGCAGCCGTAGCAGTGAGAAATACGAAACGCTGAAAACAGGATAAGGAAAGAAGCTCCATACCACACAAATACCGCTTGTAAAACTAGCGTCCAACTAGTTTCGGTGTGGAATGCAATGTCATTTGGTCTTAAATGATGAATGACCATCTGACGTCAACGAAGCAAGGGTAGCAACACGCATACCTTCGTTGAACTGTAAAAGGTTAGAACAATGCTAGGCTATGTAGCTACAAAGCGAACGACACAGCACAACAACTATTTCAGTGATGCGTGCTTCTCGGCGTTGAGATGGAAAAAAGTTGGGGCCGTTAGCGGTGGGAGCGCATGCCTTTGTTTTACGTCTAATTATTCTAATTTATCGGGAGATGCTACGTTGCAGCAAATTCTGAAGTCAGTACTCATGGATCCCTCACTATCTTTCGTCCCAATCCGTCCTCCTCTAAGCATAAGATTAAGTTTCAGAAAGAATCAGCGGAACTTCGCAGGAGGCAGATTGATTTTTCTAGTTGAAGCCTCGCCCTCCGAGGTCACCTCGGGCACAGCTCACGGCCCGGACGCCGCACACTGAATTTTCCACAGTTTGAGGGTTTACATGAATTAGGGGTACCTTATTGGGGTCCCTTATTATGAGGGGATCCTACTATTTGGGATCTATATTGGGGATCCCCCCTGTTTTCGTAAACCCCCTTCTGAGGGTGCATCCAATATTCGGGGGCCTGGTGGCATGGCAGAAGCTCATGACACTACAGCCCTCCACCGTTACGGAGTGCATGTTTCTTAGAAGCTTGTAACATTTTGCTGAGCATGCTGACCGTAAAACCCGAAACCCGAAACCCTAAACCCTAAACCCTCTAATTGTTCTGTTTTGACGGGAACGGCTGGCGAAGCGCGAACAGGAGAACGCATTGTTCTCTAGCTTTTTGAACCACCTCGGACCCGAAGTAGCCCTGCGATGCGGATTCGCCCCAGCCGTGCAGGAGGGGAAAAAACCCTCTAAACGACCCCGCCGTGCTGTGGCTAGTCGGGTGCCAAAAAAAACCCTAAGACGACTCCGAGGAAGTGTCTTACACTGTCGGCGTCAGTGGCTTGAAGAAATCCGGCAGGCCATGGCGCCCCCGCCTTAGAGTCCTTTGCCTTAGATCACACACGCGCACACAGCGAGAGCGGCTGGCAGCCGGTTCAGCCCAGTAGCCATTATGTGCTTCCGGACCCCCCAAAAACACAAACTCTTCATGCGTGGAAGGGCAAGAGAGGGATTAACATTATACTATTAATTTTGGGGTTCTTAAGCAAATAGTAAGCCGTGCAGACTTCAGGCAGCTCAAGTCTGCTTTCTGAGGCTATGGTGTGGAGCCGGGCCCTCTGGTTGGTCATCTGCAGTATCGTGCGCTGGGGACGGCTTTGCCCCCTTAGCACGTGGGAGGAGGGCGGATCGTTTGGAATCAAGTCAAAGATCATCTCCTTGTGTTCTGACCACCATGCCACTCATCCCAGGCTTTTTCGGAGAGCGGCCGCGTCTGCGGTGCAGATCAATTTCGCGACTTGCAACGCGGCTTGGTGGCAGTCCATGCCAGGCTGAGTTGCCACGCCTCGGTGTTTTCTTTTGGAGGTAAGGGGGGGGGTTTGGTGTAGGCGCCTCTTCATTTTCAATGGCCATCGTGCTAGCAGCCCTTGACACTGCTGGAGCCACAGACAGCAACCTCGATCCCTTGTGGAACTGGAAATGAGATGCAACCACAAGTTCGAAGCCGTAGCCTAAGCCATCAATGCTTTGAGACTGAGGCGCTGATGGGCGCCCATCAGCCTGATGATGATGCTGAGGAGGAGGAGGAGGATGAGAATGACGAGGCCATAAGCCATAAGCCTTCCGACTTCCAGGTGAGGGTACTCGGATGTTCTTAAAGTTGAGGCATCCGTTTTTTCAGAAATACAGCCTCGCACACCGAGGCCACCCTGAATCTCAAACATCATTTCTTTTAGCCCCAATCCTTTATTGCACGGCCCGAAGCAAGTCAAAACCACGTTAAGACACCTGGGCGATGGATTGCTCCGCTAGTTTATCTTCAGCCTGGCAGGAGTTCCATACCATAGCAGACTTGCCCAAACTCTCCAACACCCAGCTGCCTCATGGGCCCCTCACATCCAATTTAGGCCGGGCGGGGACAAACTTCATCGCCCTTGTAATTCGCATCGACCGGCGCACCCAAAGGGGGTCTGGCACATCGCATCCCAATCCAACCAGCTACAACGATCAGCCACAGAGCGTCCACAAGGGGGGTTTTGCTTTCGGGGACATGACTAGTTTGGTCATGTTTGGTCCCGGTTGGACACACATCCTGTACAGTCATAACTAACATCCGAGCATTCGTGTTGGAGTGATGTGTACTTCATCAGCCTGATGTGTGCCCCCACCCACCCACCCTCAGTGCCTGTGTCTCACGAGATTGGCTTTGCAGGAATACGACTGTTGTTGGCCATTGCTGGCCTGGCCGCTTTTCACTGGGCACACCAAAGTGAACATAAGACGCAATGCTACTCCCCCCCCCCGGCCTTTCTGAACCCCGACCTTGTAGGGAGGAATACCTGGATCACTCGAAGCTTGGTAGTCGATCGTTGCAGACCCGTTGGCCAATATCTCTAATAGAATCTCATTCCAAAACACACGAACCACTCACATGGCTGCCATTTGCAAACATGGAACTCGTCTTCGCAGAACAAATTGAACAATTGCAGATCCGAAAGATCACACTTCTGGGTCGTGACGCGCAAATTCATCAGCACTGGCAGAAGAAGCTGCTGTCGCCAGGCCAAGAGTTTGAACAGTCCATGGAGCCCAGCGGTCTCTTTGCTGGCTGGAGCCCCGGAGCCCCTTACTTGGCTTCTTGAGGGAAAGAGTGGAAGGAGGCCCTTCCCAACGTTGCAGGTTCGTCAGGTTTCAAAAAAGGGTCCAAGGCCGAAGAATTTGAATATTTTTCTGCTCTTCCGAGATCCATCGCTTGCACTGGGAGCCAAATCACAAGCAGGACGACATGCGGAGATGCTCCATTGAGATGACGCAGACCACCTGTGGCGGCACTCAGATTTCCGGCGCTGGCCAACACGCCTAAGCTGATGCTGTACTCAAAGCTCTTGAGATTCCATTTTGCCAACTTCACCTCTCATTGCGACACTAATTAGGTCGCTGATTAGGCTGAGTGCGGCCAACTCCCACGCTGAACCGGAGGCAATGTGTTGCTGTGCTGCCTCGAGGAGGGAAGCAAGGCATCACCCGCTCAGAGTTGTTCACAAGGTCACGGGCAAGCGCTGTACTGTAAGTTCGAGCGATAGTGACGCTGGAGTTGGCAAGGCCCTGTCGCTCACCATGATGGGGCTAGACATGATGCAATGACAATCGGTGTAACGACAATCCGAACCATCACTGCACCACTACTTCCGCCTTCGGCTACACGGCTACTTCTTTCGCAGCTGCTGGTGCTGGTGTCAAAAACAACAGCAATAGCAGTTGCTGATGGAGCCGCAACGGCACAGGCGACGCTGCCAGACGCGGAGAACGCGCTGGTTGAACAGGTGCCCAACGCTCGGTAAGCCCGGCGGTTGCTTCGATATGCTTCGTTCAAGGACATGTGGCATGCCCTCCTCTCCTCTAACATCACATCTTCTGAGAACCCCCCCCCCCCCCCCCAAATCAGTTCGATCAGAGATGGTTTGTCATGGCAGGCACCTGTGGATGACAACCCTTGCCTTGTACGCAGAAGAGGAGGAGAAGGGATGGCTGGAGCCGGACAGGCCAGGGCCAGGGGAGAGCCCCTGCACCTCTGCACCTCTGCACCCCACTCCTTGCACTGGCACGCCGGACTTGGCTTTTTCTTCGGGTGGATTCAAATCTCTCCGCCGCACAGGCCACGTAAAATGCTCATGTCCTCGACTCCGCGACTCATTGTTCACGTTTGTGGTTCTCCTTCGCCGGTCGAAACTTGAATCCTGCACATGAGGCCATCAAGAAAGTATTGATCAAAACTACGAACCCGTCACAAGAACCCTCGGAGGCGTACACTGGGCGCCGTGCTCGGCGGCGCGGCAAGGGCCCAGCAATGGGTTGGGAGCTCGGGATGATCTGAGATTGATGTACCGGTTTATCTTTTTGTGCCGTCTGAGACGGATCATTCTCTCTTGCCGGTGTCTTCGAGACGTGCTCTTCCAATAGATGCAAATGTGCCCGCCCAGTTCAGTTTCGTGGGAACTGCCTTGCAAGGCTCTGTGTGGCTTTCCATGTGATCCTTTGCAGGTGTTAGGGCCGAAAAAGTTGAGACCTCGAGTCCTCCCCAGCTCTTTACTTTTGGTCTCTGCATTATCATGATGCTGTTGATGGCTTCGGGGTTTGCAGTCTGCTCACTTCTCGGCAACGGCTGAGGGCTTAAGCTCGCCTGGGGTTTGCTTGGGGTTTGCCTTGGCGGTTTAGACCTGAGTCTGAGGATTCATCCGGGACTCTGGGTTTGCTGCCCCCATAAAAGTCTTTGAGGCTGAGGTTCATACATGGCTTCCAAATGGTCATGGGCCATGTCCGCAGGCATCGTCTCACTGAGTTGCATGGGAGAAAGAATGGGATGTTGAGATGATGCGTGATCGTGTGTGGAGTTTGGGGTCCAAGACCCTGAGCCTATCAGGATGGAGCGCTGCAGACGCTTTCGGACATGCTCCGAGAGGCAGTTGTTGTCCGATTCGGGATTCGGAGTGGATCCGGGCTTTGGGGTTTTAAGCGTTTTTTTTCTGATCTACGTGGGCGCACCGTTCCTCAAGCAGGGCAGGGTAGCGAGGTTGGACGGTAGGGTGGGCGCCGGGTGGGAATTTGGATTGATGTCATCCATCTCCATATTTTCTGCCTACCTTCCCAAATCCACAGACGAAATGGCCACGCCCAAAACACGAAAAGCAAAAACGAGAGCAGTGGCAGAAACAGCTGGAAGGCCCAAGACGCGCAGGGCGCCGATCCAGACGAGGCGAGCGCAGCATCGGGCTGTGCAAGCAAAAGTGATTAAGCGTTCGAGATTTCGAGTTGGTTGGGAATTTGGCTTGGGGATGTTTGGGGCGTTGATTTGGGGGTGGCGTTCCCAGAGTGAAGTCGCGGTGCTTAGATCCTTCCCACGTCCCAAGTCACATGTCCTTCTGTTTCTTCATGGCACAAAGCTCAGCATTCACACAGAAGCGGGATGCAAGTATTCTGCATTGCCACATAAGCTGCCCAAACATGGCGCCGTCTGTTAGATGTGACTTGGAAAGAAAGAAGAGCAGTTCATCAAGAAGGCCGGTAGGCCATGCAAGCCTTAACCCGGCATCTGCAACTCCACAGCGACCAAATTGCAAGCACGATAAAGACACACGCGCACAAGACCCTAACGAGGATGCCGACCGTGACTTGAAATTCAGGCTCACTTCGACCTGGTGATTTCGGCTTGTGCCAAGGGCGCCTGCAAGGCCTGTCGGCTCGCTTGGTTTGCTCGAGCTTCGGGATGCCCTGTTGACAGCCACAGAAGGATTCAAAAGGAGTCACACGGAGTCAAAGGGAGTGATGAAAACCTTGGCCTTCCACAGACCTACGCACGTATCACCATCACGTATCACTTGCAGGCCTCGCGGGTGTGTGCGCGCCTGCCCCAGACGTCAACCCGTCGAGACCCTTCCAGACGTCGAGCCAGGTGTGTCCGAGTGTCTCCCCAGAGAATTGCAGCCTTGCAGCCCGCCCAAAACGATCCAAGTAGAGACTCTGAAGTTGATCCTCAGCTTGCGTGTCGACAGCCCAGTGACAGAATTGAAGCCCAAAATGCGCAGCTCAGGCGCCAGCTGCTCAGCCACACGCGCTGGGTCCTCGGAGCCGGGGGGTCATTTGGTTTGGTAGCAGAAGACCCCAAGACCCACCCAACACCCGTTCAACCGTTCCGGTTGCGTTGCGCCATGTGAAACTATGGGATACTATGGGTCCGAGGCTTCATGCAGGGCCGGCCCTATAGTGCCCAGCTAAGCTCTTGCAGGTTCTGCTTTGATGACAGCTGCTCGCGCGAGAATCGAGAATGAAAAAGTACACGGGCGAGGGCAGAGGGAACGCCAAACACTCTTTTCGCCAGCCAGTATAGGATGGCCTGAAAGATGCGACGATCCGCATGTCGCATGTATGAGCAGGTTGATAAGAATCACGCGAGGCATTGCCACATAGGTCGCCACCAAGGCCGCATGTTTGTAGACAGACACGTGCCGCGTGGCACAACTTGAGACACCGCCGATTGATACCCAGTGATCTCCGTAGCCCTTGAATGGCTCCGGGCCATTCTTCCGTTGGCTTCCAAATGCAATGCTTTCAATTCTCGCCGGTGGCTCAGTCTTCCTGCATGGGGCACTGGTGAGGTATGGTAAGGTGCATTGGCGCCCAAAATGAGGCACGCAGTGACAAAGCCAGCCTGCCACAACAAGGTTCCATTCATAACTGTGCTCTTCGTGCTTGTCTTTGAAGCCTGGGCCCGACGATGACGGCTTCCTGCTTGGCACACAGTTCTGTGCTGTGATCCTGAGATGCCCTTGTCCAAAGGCTGGCGCCGTCGAGCGGAATCGCGCACTTGTGAGGCTTTTTGGAGTCTGTCTGTAGAGAGGTTCTGCAGGCGAAAGGTTGCCAAAACATGCCTCTAGCCTGACATGTGGCAGGCGGCATGGCGCCCTCGCCGAAGAGGCTGCCGAGCCCGGATCTCAGCGGAGCCTTGTGCCTGGAACGATTGAGTTGTAAGGCTCTGAAAGGCTGGTTTTTTTTGCAATTTGCAAAGAGGAGCTACCTCCTTGAGCTAGCGGACTTGGACGGGGACTCGCCAAGTCCCAACCAGGCCATGGAATCCCTGAAACTGCCCTCAAACCAATCAGACCTTTTGACATGCTGTTCAAGTCTTTCAAATCCATAGTGGATTCCAGCGGAGCTGCTCTTTTCTTGAGACTCCTTGCAGATTTCTGCATGTTTCTGCTTCCTTGGCATTCCTCGGTTCAGGCCAAAGCAAGCAAGTCCTGGGCTGCAAGCCCAGAAAGTGGGCAAAGTTGCCGTTTGTAATAGGATGCTTGTCCTGCAAGCGCCAGCTGAGGATTCCTTGCCGTGCTCCACAGCCTGTATTTGGTACATGGTTTGGTCATCTGAGGTTGCTGAGATCCATGCTTAGGCATGTTACGTTCACAATTGGCATCATGTGCCACTTCAAATTTGTAGCGGACAGCAAGGTCTTGAACAAAGGCCTTGTTGAGTCTGTGACCGGGCCAGGTATTCCAGTTTCGCTGGCAGCACGGCTGGCGAAAAGGCAGCCCATGTCAGCCTGCAAGCTTGCTGCCTGAGTGATCGAATTCCATTAGGCCAGTGGAGGGCAAGCTTCTGCGATTTCAAAAGCAAAAACTGCACGGCCAACACTTGAGTTGCGCAGGAGCAGAATGCCTCGCAACTGAAGGGCTTGCCGTCAGAGGGAAGTCCCGGCTTCAACACCAGTGAGAGCTCTGCCCCTGCAGAGCCGCTGTCTGCACAGCATATTGCGCCGAGTGGCGAAACGACGAGGAAAGATCCCCAGGTAGAGGTGACTGCAGCTGGCGATGTCCTGGTTGCTGGGCAAGCTCTAGCACCCGTGGCAGCTACAGCCTCTCGGTGGAACTGCCGATAGCTTCCGCAACCCGCGATGTGCAGAAGCACACACGCACGCGCATACATGCGTGACATAGCATGCGTTACATTACATTGCACTTGACATACATACATGCGTACATACATGCATGCATGCAGACACACAGGCTCGCAGAGATAGAGAGACAGAGGGAGGCATAATTAGAGGGACACCGAGAGAGACAGAGAGAGACTTGTAATATGTGGGTGCCTCATTCCCAGACGCACCGCCACAGCCAGCTTCTACACCTGCCCTTGTAGTCTGAAGTCCATCTCACTCGGAGAGAGCCTCTCCATTCAGCGTCGAAAAAGGAGCCCGCTCTGTCGCTTGTACATATATATTCCCGAAAGCATCGCGAAGGGTTCTTCCGTGCGGAGCCCTCTGACCCAACAACATAAAGCTAAGTGCATAGAGTGAAGTGCACAGAGTGAAGTGCATAGAGAGTGAAGTGCATAGAGTGAAGGGCACAGAGTCTAGTGCAAGAGTGAAGTGCACAGAGTCGAGTTCACGAGATCTTAGTACAATTTAGTAGAATTTACGAGATTTTCCGAATTTTAAAAGAATTCGGTAGACTTTCGTACCCAGTCATACATGTCTTAATTAAAAGTAATCTTTTTAAAGCGGCGGGTAGGGTTGTCGTCATCGATCGGGATTGCAACCCTCTACGGGTTTCGGCGTGGTCGCGGTGCTAAAACCCTCGTGCTTTTTTTGCGTTTCTTGCGCCCCGCGGACAACCCTCTGCGGTTTTCGGCGTGGTCGCGGTGCTAAAACCCTGGGTTTTCGCGCATTTTTTCGTGCGCGCGTCAACCCTCTGCGGGTTTCGGCGTGGTTGCGGTGCAAAAATCCCTCGTGTTTTTGCGGTTTTTGACATACAAACGCAACCCCTGTGCGGGTTTCCGCGTGGTAGAGGTGCGAAAACCCTCGTGTTTTTGCGTTTTTGACCGAAAACGTCCTTTGTAGTACAAAAGTATAGTACTGTATAGGGCCAGCGCACGCTTTGAGGACCGCCCCCCTCTCAAAATCCTCCTCGCTAGTACAAAAGTAGTACTGTCTAGGGCCGGTGCGCGCTTTTAGGCTCTCAAAATCCTCCTCTGTAGTACAAAAGTAGTACTGAATAGGGCCGGCGCACGGCCGTTTGCAGAACTGCTTTTGAACTACAGAGGAGGATGAACTCTATGCACTGCACTCTATGCACTCGAACTGTATGCACTTGGACAACTGTATGCACTTATATGGTTGTATGCTCTGTGCACTGCACTTCTATACACTTCAACTGCATGGCATTCACGTTCGAGTCCAACGATATTTGCGAGGTTTTCGACGCCCCGGAATTCGAGCCCCACGAGATTTGCGAGGGTTTCGACACCCCGCACTTCGAGTCCCACGATATTTGCGAGGTTTTCGAGGCACCGAAATTCGAGCCCCACAATGCTTGCGAGGTTTTCGACACCCCGGAATTCGAGTACCACGATATTTGCGACGGTTTCGACATCCCGGAAGTCGAGTCCGAAAATCTGCGATTTTTCGAGGCCCCGGAATTCGTGGGACTGCTTCGCCGCGTGGATTGGACGTGCACAGCCGAGTCGGGTGCATACAAGTGAAGTTCATACAGTTGCTCAAGTGCATTAAGTTGAAAAATGTCGAGTTCAAGTCCACTAACTTCAGATGTATTGAATTCCAATGAAGTGCATCGAGTTGACCACAAGTGCATGGCATTCAAGTCAACACACTTGAATGCCATGCAGTTGAAGTGCATACAAGTGCAGTATACAAGTGAGTATGCAACCATGTAAGCGCATACAATTGTCCAAGTGCATACAGTTCAAGTGCATACAGTTCGAGTGCATAGAGTCAAGTGTCAACACACGGCAAATCGATGCTTTCGGGCCAATCGTCTTCTAGTTGTTTTTGATTTTTCGTTTACTCTGTGGCGGAGGGGGGCGATGACGTTCACCGGAGCCCCCCTGCGAAGTCGAGAGGGACGTGGATGGCAGGCCGCAGGAGTAGCCTGCAGGTCGACACTCTCTCACTCACTCACTCACTCACTCACTCACTCACTCACTCACACAGAGAGAGACGGAAAGAGACCGAGACCGAATGAGAGAGGTGCCACACAGACACGCACACACACAAGCACACACAAGCACACACAAGCACACAGAAACACACAAGCAAACACAAGCAAACACAAGCGAACACAAGTGCACACAAGCAAACACAAGCACGCACAAGCAAGCACAAGCAAACACAAGCACACGCAGCAAGCACAAGCAAACACAAGCACACGCAAGCAAACACAAGCAAACACAAGCAAGCACAAGCAAGCACAAGCAAACACAAGCAAACACACACACACAAACATAACGAAGGTCACGAGTCACAAGTGTACCTCGGAAGTTGTGGAAACCTCAAGGGAACTTGCATCTAGCTCAGCCAAGGCAGACCTCTCACGGACAGCAGCTCCCAAAGTTGAAGCCGCCGTCGTTTCGGTGCAGGCCCCTTCGTAGACTTTCGCAGACTTTCGCAGACTTTCGCAGACTTTCGCAAAAGTTCACGAGTGCTCTTGGGCAAGAGGCCCTGAGCCCTTCGCTGCCTCAATCTTTGGCAGGCACTTCCTGAGCACAGCTCGCAGCCTGCGCAGGCGTCTGGGCCTTAGCTTCCAGCACCTTGCGTAGAGGGTTCTACTCTATACAAGCCCACAGAGCCAGAAGTTGCTGACGCCAAGAAGTCTCTGAGGCCTGTTGCAGGCATGACTGCGAGCGTGGATGCTTCAAGGTCTGCGCAGCCATTCCCAGCCCCTCCAGCCAACAGGCCTGACAAGGGACCAGAGGTGCAGCGAACAGATTTGCCACAACCCGCGCGGGAACCCGCACCATCTGTGACGGCGAACCCAACGGCCCAGACGCAGACGGTGGGGACGGTGGGGCTGGCAGGGTCCGTTAGTCAGCCGCTGTTGCAGCCGCTGCCTCCGTACCACAATCCAACACGGAATCCCCAGGTTCTGGCTGCTTCAATTCCACAGCCCACGCCGCTTCCTGGCCATACCGCATTGGATCTCGCGACTTCAGAGGCGACTGCACCAGTGCCACCAGCAGCCGTGGCCCCGGTAGCGATGCCAGGGGAGGGCGTGGCCACGGCACCCCCGCAAAGCATCTCCAGTATTCCTAGCCATGCTGGGGAGGCTTCGATTCAGTTGCAAGGTGTTTCGCAACAGTTGGTCGACATGCCTCCCAGAGTGGAAGTGGCGCGTTCTGTGGCGCCGCACTCCCCACGTGCGGCTGCAGACGCGGAGCCTCTGCAGCCAGCTGCGGTCATTGCCGGCACTCCTGATGCGAGGGCAGGCCCAACCGCGGCAGCTGGTTCGACGGCCGCGCAACCTCTGCAGAGAGGTGCTGATCAGGCTGATCCTGAGGTAAGTTCAGACACACGGACCGAGGCGTCCGAGGCGTCGGCGACGCCCGAGCCGTTGAGGCCCTTCCAGCCGGTTCTGCCGGCAAGGAAAGTTGTTCTGGTTGTCACGCCGACGGTGGTCACACAGAGTACCCTGACAGCTGCAAATGTTGAACCCGCGCAGCCCCCACAAGCACCACCACCACCGATAGTGGAAGCTTCACGAACAGACAGCGGCACCATGCCTGCCGGCGACTTGCCATCTCCAAAGCCGGATGGCAGTCCGAGCCAGAGCTTGCCAGATCACGTGCCTCGGGTCTCCGCAGAAGCCCAGCACGCAGCTGTCATATCTGTTGAAGCCGCGGCTGCCTCGGCTGTAGCAAGACAGACTGCAGCTTTAGAAGGAGCATCAATGTCCGTTGTGCCCGAGGGGTCCCCAACAGCAGCAGCGATGAGCCCTGTCAGCAATGGCAATATCTCCACGGCCAGTGTGAGGGGGCCAATGCCGATGCCCACAGCAGTGTGCCTCGTCTGCAAGCATGTGGCAAGTTGCCACCTCTCTGGTGACGATTGTGGCTGCGTTTTGCTTTTGCTGTCGGACTAATGCATTGACCCACCGTAACGTGACCTTGGGCGCGGGCTGAACCTGAATTGAGTGGCTGTGCGGGCAGTGGGGGTGAAGGCGGAGAGGGCGGTGGCGGCAGGTTATACTTTTTTAGACCGTGCAGGTCGAGGCTAAGGGCTAAGGTTGAGGCGATTCAGGAACCGATCTGTTATCATGATGGGGTAGTTCCTTTGAGCCTTTGGGTTGGGGTCGGTTGGGGTCGGTCCCGGAGCCCAACCTCGCGCACAAGATGCGACACCAAGCGTGGGCCTGGCGCAGGGCCGCGTTCAACACTTCCGATTAAAACTCAGGCTTTGACTTTGTGGCAGCATCGTGAAAGTCAACCGTTCCGGTTCTTTTTGACCCGCCGCTTTTTCAGATGACCTGGATTGAGCGCGCGCATGCGCACATGGGGCACCTGTCGTGACACGACGCGCGTAGGGCGACTTCGCTCGAATCGCATGTGTTCTTAGGTGGTGCGACATCACGCCACCTGGGTTGACCTGTCCCTGCCCATGTTTAAGTTTAGCGGAAAGCCTTCTAGATCTTCCCATAAGCTGAGGAGCAGCCAGGGAGAGCCGGCGCAGCACCTGTCCATGGCGGCGGCCAGCCTGGCAGAGCAAGAGAGCTTCCAGGATGAAGGAGACAAGGCCAGGCAGGTCCCGATTGCCTCGGGCATGATGCCAGCTGCCCAAGGCATGGCTGCCACGCCCATGGCTCCCATGGGGGGTACCGTGGTAAGCAATGGTGCGGCCTCGGCGATGGTGCCAGGGATGATGAGTGCATCAGCCGGATCAGATCCGACAACAACTGCAACTGCAGCCCCCACAACGGCTGCACCAACCACGGCAGCAGCTACCGCAGCACCTACAACTGCGGCAGCTACCACAGCTGCTGCAACCACCATAGCAGCAACCACCACTGGAAAAGAGGAAGGTGAAGGGGAGGAGGGAGCCGCTTGGTTCATTCACTGCTGTACCCTGGGATCCGGTCCTTCACTGTGCTCTTTGTCCACAGCACAGGGCAGTGACAAGTTCAGCCGAGGAAGAGAAGGAAAGCGGAGAAGAACATGGAGGACGAGCCTTCAGATCAAGCATGCTCAGCACTAGCTGACTAGCTTTTGGAAATCCCCCCCGAACTGGCAATTAAGAATCTGCTGGCTCTGGTGGTGGTATGTCGTGGTGTTTTGCTTGACTTAACCTGACTTGTTCAAGTCAAGTGTCAGTCGAAATGTGGAAAACATGGCAAATCCACTGCAGGTGGCCATGAAATTGTTGCGGTGGGAGCGGGCAGCAGTGATGAGGCTCCGCAGATTCATGTGCGGGATTGGAGGACTGTGGATTCGGAAGTGCTACAGTTCATGTACGTTCATGTCGAAGGTCGGATAGTTGGGATAGTTGCATGTCGGAGCGAAGTGATCACCCTGTCGCGCAGAACGGTGCATGATCGCCGCAAATTCCCCGATTGAGGTTTTTCCACGGAGGGCGTTGGGGTCCAGGATCGGGGGACGAGAGCTGGGGTGGGTTTAGGGTACAGGGTTAGGGTTTAGGGTCAGAAAGTGTGAATCGCCGTGTCTGCTATCCCTCGACACTTCCATGACCAGGATGTCCACGGTTCAACAGTGTCAAGAAACGCACACTTTTCGATCGGGGTCGCTTTCTTAACAGTTCCTAATTTTAACGCTACGCGACCCGCCTCGGCCCGGCCCAGCGCATCCGCGTGAGCATGGTGATTCCGCAGCGCCCAAGTCGCTGGACCCCAAGCAATAAGGGTTGGGTTTAGGGTTTAGGGTTCCGGGTTTATGGTTTGGGGTTTAGGGTTGAGGGTTGGACTCCCCAAGCCCGGATGCAAAAAAAAAGGGTTGAGGGTTGGTTCTTAGGGCTCAAGGTTCACGGTTGGGGGCGGTGGAGGGGGGGGGGGCAGGGGGGGGAGGGGGGGGGGGGAGGGGTGGCCACTGGTCCTGGCAAATGGAGGGGTACCCTTTCCAGGTAAAAAAAGGGGTCCGACATATGGCTTTGGGCTTTGGGGGAGGATTAGGAGGGGGGTGCCTGTTCTGACAACAGATACACCTTCGCGGATTTAAATCTGAAGGATAAGGTTTAGCATCATTTTTCGAAAACAGCTCTTCGGGCACCCTGGCCTTGTCAAATACTTCGTGAAAGGAAAAATCCAGCTCTTCAGTTTCTAAATTTGGGGTGCAGCAATGGTCGGCCTCAGCCACTCTGTTTTATTAACATCGCTCAGTTAACGAGGCAGCACGGGCACCATACATTGGCTACGCGTGTCACGTCGTGCGCTTGAGGCGAGCTTAGAGAACAGCAGTGCGGGGCCAGCCGATGGGACCTCTGGAGAGGCTGGCGCTGGAGCGAAGGCTGCCAGCAAGGGTCTGAGCACCTCTCATGGGCATCTATCTGAAAACTTAGGGTTCAGGGTTTAGGGTTTAGGGTTTAGGGTTGTTTGTAAAGATGGTACCTGCCCGCCTGCACATCAATGCACTGGAAAGCGACGGAAACAACTGAACAGATATGGAGAACCATTCAAGTTAATCGGAGCTCTGACATGTTCTGACAATGGACACAAACCTGTGCCTTGTTAGGCGAACCGCCGAAACCCATCCATTCCTTTCGAAGGAAGGCAGGGCTTTCCTGAGCATTCCTTATGCAGGCCAAGATCTTGGGCATGGATCAACAGCTGCTGCTGACTGGTGTGGCCGCCGTTGTGTGGCATCCTTAGTGATTCCACCTGCAAATTTCTTCATCGCAACACGCTGCCGAGTTCTGAACGGAGGCTCATTGTGGTGGTGCCGGTAGGCGCAGCTCTATATTGACTCTATATCGAGCCGGGTGATGACCAAATTGAGCCGGGAAGTGGCAGCAACCAAGAAGCCCCACGTGTTGTGCTCAAGCCACCGCAAGCTTTGCAGGCGTTTTCTGCTGTTGCTGCCGGAGAAAGTAATGGCTGGGTGGCCTAACAGAGAAGGTGGGCATGTGCCCCGGCATGTACGTATCCTGCAATCACGCACGCTGACGATGTTGCTGCGCCATGGGCCGCTGTGCAGGGGCATATATGTATAGATATGTATAGTTTTGCACGTCACGACTTAGCGTAGGGCGTAGGCCAGCTTGCGTAGGCGTGGCTCGACACCTTTGCCGACTGACACGGGCGCCGTAGTGTTGACTTGTTTACAATCGTCGGTCTTGAGAGTGCATCTAAGTAGAGGTTTTGGCCCTGCTAGTGACAGCTAATTAATGCACTGTCTCAGGGCCCTTGCCCTTTGGAACCAGACAGTGTTCGTTCTTCGAAGGCTCAGAGCCCGGAGCACCCAAAGACCGCAGTTGCTTGGGGCGCTAAGGGCCACTGATAGCAGAGTGATAGCAGCAACATCCGGCATTGGACATCGTTTCAGAGCGGGGTTTTGTAGCGTTTCTTTTGTAGCAGTATGAGGGTTGGAAGGAATGGCGTTTTTTCTCATCATGTCCGAGAAACACCTCAGTCAAACATCATAGTTGCTGTGTTCGAGCACCTGTCGAACGTGACTCTGAACGTGTGGTGAGAGCAGCTGCCGCAGCATTGACCTCAAGCAAAGACTTGAGAAACTGCAAGCATGCTGACAGCAAGGAGCCTGCACAAAAAACTTGCATTGTTGCACAGAATGACATACCCTGGTGCATGTGCAACTTCATCCCATGTGTTTGCCACGTTGGCCGACTCTGTGAGCATGTACATCACCAAGTTCTCTTCGGGTGCTAGCATGGCTCTTGCCTCAGCGCGGCGGCGAGGGCAGCGCCGGGTCAGTTCACCTTGAGCCGCAAAATGGCACCAAACTGGCCCGCATTTGCCTGTGGCTGTCCATGGCTGTCCCAGGATGCCATGCGGACGCTCGAGGCGCAAATTTGCGGGGCGCTTGCGTGACGCTCATGCCGCTGATGTTGGCACTGTTGCGTGACTCCCGCCACCCACTGTGCCACAGCCTTCTTGCCAGAATTACGGCAGGGCAGCGAGGCCTCTGCAGATGATCTCGTGACGAAGCTGGGCTCCGGTCTCAGAGTGCTGTGGAGGGTGGAAGAGTGAAGCGTTCTGTGCTGAGCTCCTCCCTTAAGACGTCTGAAAGTCCCGAGGTCCAGGCTACCCTCCCAGGCCCGGCTTCCTAAACTTCAAAGTTGAGATGTTCATGGCCATCATGCGTCCAGCAAGGGAACCTCCGAAAATCCGAGTAAAGAATCCTAAGTGGAGACTTTTTGCAGCTTGGGGTTTTTGGGAGTGCGAGTGCATCAATGATGAGCCCTATGCTTGAAGGCCATGCAGTACTTGGCCTGCCATCCCTGCTGTTCAGAACCAAATGCTGCGATCCACTGCGGATCTGTAGGGAAAATCAGAACATGATTCGGAACAGAGTTTACTTGTCTGATCTCGACTGAACAAGTGCAGGCCAAAGCGCAGGTGCACCGACCGATTTTGCATCGTTTTGTTGGTCGCCTTCATGTCTGGCATGGGGCAGGCAGCTCAGCACGTGGACTTGAGTACATACATGCCTTGAGCATTAAGGCATAACAGCTACAATGCCCAGTGTGAGTCGTGGAGGTATGTGAAGGCGTGGGATCTCGCATTTTGACCAAGGTACCTGTATAGACGAGCTCGGGCAGAGGGCGACCTCGCCAAGCTGTGCCGTGCTAAGTTCCGATGATGACCTTAGGCGTGCTGCTTCTAGGCCATGCTGTCCTATCGCAAGAATTTCGTTGTCTCCCTTTGAACTTCCAGCTTGCAGTTTTGCATCAGCCGGAGCACGCCGACATAACAGAGTGCTGCTGAAAAGCCATCCCTTGACTCGGTCAGGACTCATGGCTTCGACTGGACAGGCAAGATTTGTGGTGTCGACGAGGTCGATGGGCTGCAGCGCCAAAGCCCAACCCTGGTTGAGGACCCCAACCCTGGTTGAAGCGAGAGCTGCTGAAAGCATGCAACCCTGTCAACTTTGCTACGGTGCTGAGGCCGTCCGAGACAAGCCTCTTCTCTTTTGGTGCACGCCCAACAGCGAGGAGGCAGGGACTTGAGTGACTTGATGCAGAACCATTTGTGCAAACACGGGGAGCCTGATTGCCCAAGTCAACCTTTGAAGCCTTTGAAGAGAGCAGCGCCCAGTGCTTGTGACAGCATGTGACACAATGCCATCAGGGCCTGACACTCCTGGATGGCATCTGCGTGGCCAGATGTCCCAGTCAGCCGGCCACGTTGACACGACCGGGGCAACCGGCTGATGGTTGCTGTGCGTGGGCTATCCATGGCAGGTGTCCTTGCATGTAGTCGCATTGGCCTCCTCCTCCGAGAAAGGCCAAAGCATGGTGCCAGGCAATCAGAACGAGAGATTCTTCTGTCCTGGGCCAGCTGTTCCATTCGAGGCGCTGAACTCCGTAGTTTTTAAATCATTTTGTGTGTGTGTGTGTGTATATATATATATATGCCCACGGCCCCCCCATGATCCACGTTTCTGCTTAGAAACAGATGGATCTTGGGAGGAGAGGGGGCTATGAGCTAGCGATAAAAACGCCGACAGGGCCGATAAAATCCTATATCATTTCAACTCAGGAAGGTCATTTACATCAACTAGGTAGAAAATACCCGAAAAAATCATAGTTGTTTAGAAAACTCGAGCCGGCTCGAATTTCCAAAAAAAACTGACACAGTAGGTCGCCGAAACACGAGCAGGCTCGAATTTTCCAAAAAATGCCTAAGTTTCAGGATCTGCAGGGCTGCTGGAGCCATAGATCCTGAAATTTAGGTTTTTTGGAAAATTCGAGCCTGCTCGAGTTTTCGCGACCCGTGCGTGCGTGGGTGCGCGGGTGCGTGGTGGGTGCGTGGATGCGTGGTGGGGGTGCGGGTGCGTGGGGGTGTGGGTGCGTGGGTGCGTGGGGGTGTGGGTGTGTGGGGGTGTGTGTGGGGGTGTGGGGGTGTGGGGGTGTGGGGGTGTGCGGGTGTGGGGGTGTGGGGTGTGCGGGTGTGGGGGTGTGCGGGTGTGCGGGTGCGGGTGTGGGTGTGTGGGTGTAGGTATGTGGGTGTGGGTGGGTGTGGGTGGGTGGGTGGGTGGGTGGGGGTGCGGCTGGGTTTGGGGGTGGGTGCGGGCGTGTGTGGGATTGCGATTAAGATGTCGTTCCACCACCAAACTTCGCAACTACCAGTAGCAGGGTCACATGGCAGCTCTCTGAGAATGGAAAACCAAAAAAATCTCTGAAGTGCCCGAGTCTCCAGAGTATCCCCAGAATCCCTGGAGTCCAACCCAGAGTATCCCCACAGATTGCTGGAGCGCCCTGCGCCAGATTATCCCCAGAGTGCCCCTGGAGTGCTCGCAGGTTCCTTGAGTGCAGGGTCCATAACCATGCAGGAAGAATCTTAGACATATATCACGTTTCGAGATCAGGGGCATGAGCCCCCCTTGGTGCGCCTCATCTAACAAGAAAGACATACAAAAACTGCACCAAGTGGATGATATCAGTGTGCGGGCAGTAGCTATACCTGAATGCCATCAGCGTGATGAACTTTGAAACCGTGGAAAGGATGTTGGCATCGCACACTGGTTGAGCCCGCCGTTTCTCCGAAAGCGTGTCCTGGGTTCGCGTGATTTGTTGTTCAGTGTATCGGGGTCAGAACTTTCAGCATTAGACGATCAAAGGCAGCGCTTGTCGGGCACACCTCCGCGACACGGAGTTTCCGGGGATTGTATGGAAGTTTGTCATGTTTCTGCATGTTTGGTGCAGGTGAAAGAGTTTCTAGATCCATGTTCCAGCCTCAGTTCTTCCAGGCAGAGCCTAGTGCTTGCAGTTGTTGATGTTGAGGTTCGTAGCTTTTGCTCACAGTGCACAGGGCCCGCCCAGTGCTGCAGCTTGTTGGAAGTGTATGTGTGTGTGGACATCAAACAATCACAATTGTGAGCTGAGATCACAACAAGCAGGAGGCAGGCGAGCTTGATGCGAAACGGCCATTTGCTGCATGTCTGGTTGCCAAACATGACTGTCCAGCTTGTAGTCGCGACCCTGCCAGCTGTTGCCAGGCACTTTCAGCCGTACATCCTTCAGAGCCTCGAATACAAAAAGGTAGAAACTAGAAACTGACCCGAACCTATACGACAACAGATCGTCCCGAAACTGCGCCAGCTGCACCTGATACCAGCCTGCCCTACCCGTGCAGGTGGTGATTGGGATGAGGAGAAACTTGACGCAGAAGCCGAGCTATCCCAGCGTGGAGGTCCGCTTGGTGAGATTTACCTGTGCTGACTTGCATGAGGGTTTGTCAATTTAGGCATTCTGCGCGCGCGCGCGGGGAAGGGACGATTGCTGATCTGTGATCCAGCGGCTGTTCAGTGATAGGTATCCTTGTCGTGGGACTGCAATTTTCGCCGGACTGACCTTGCGGGTATATAGCGACAGGACAACAATTAGCATTGGAAAGCCATGAAAGCGGCCGTCGCCCATCTTCCATCTTTCCCGTTTTGTTCAGGATGTGTCAGGGTCAAGCTTACGAGGCTTGGGTTGGGATGCTCTCAAGCTGAGGCATTCGGCTACTGCTTTCCTCAAGAGGACCTCGCGCCGGGCTGAGACTTCTACCCTGCAGCACTTGCTGAAAGTCCATTGAGATTCTTTAAAGCAAAGCCAGCTTGCCCACCATCAGATCCATAGTTTATCTAAAGGTGCTGCTCCAGAGTGTCATGGACCGCACTTACGCCCCGCGGCTTGCAGAAAGAAGCTTTGAAAGAGGTCATCCTTATGTCGTGCTTTGCACGGAATGCTTATGGCATGTTGTGATAGTTGGATGATGATCGGCTGGGCGCACGCATCTTTTGACGTGTTTTGATGTGATGCACGGATACGCTTGTTTACGTATACGGCCTACTTGAGATACATCTTGAGACCGTAGTCCACTGGTCCGGACACTGCGGCATGTGAAAGTACGCAGCACTTGGCTGGAGATCGCCATCGTGTCCCTTCTTCAGGATGGCTTGCGAGGAGCCCATGCGCGATGGCCGCATTGTGGACGGCAAGATCGAGCTGTCCACGGCCCTGTGGGACACGAGCTTGGAAATGCCTCCTCGCCAAGATGCCTCGGACGTGGATGCCCGAGATGCGAACACCCCGGACAAGTGGATCAAACGGCACCCGGACATGCTCCGCAACACAGGAATGCATCCCTTCAACTCGGAGCCGCCGCTGAAGAACCTGCAGACAGCTGGTTGGATCACTCCACCCTCGCTCTATGTGGTCCGCAACCACGGTGCTGTGCCTCAGCTGACTTGGGCCGAGCACAAGCTGAAGATCACCGGAGTGCCAAAGCCATGCGAACTGAGCATGGACCAGCTGGCCGGCGGTGAATGGGGCAACGTGGTTTCCTTTCCAGTGACCTTCATCTGCGCAGGCAATCGTCGTAAGGAGCAGAACATGACAAAGAAGACCGTCGGCTTCGACTGGGGTGCGGGTGCTGTGGGCAACTCTGTGTGGACAGGCGTGCGGCTGTGTGACCTTCTCAGACACCTGGGCATCACCAGGCCCTCCAAAGAGCATCGCTTTGTGCACTTTGAGGGGCCCCTGGGCGAGCTGCCGCAGGGCAAGACGGGCTCTTACGGCACCTCCATTGCCATCGGTTGGGCTTTGGATCGCGAGCGCGACGTGCTCCTCGCCTTCAAGCAAAACGGCGAGCTCCTCACTCCGGACCACGGCGCTCCGCTGCGCACGCTCCTCCCAGGTTGCATCGGCGGGCGAATGATCAAGTGGCTCACCGCCATGTGGGTGTCTGACCAGCCTTCTGAGAACCACTACCACTACTTTGACAACCGTGTGTTGCCGCCCCATGTGGACGCTGACTTGGCCTATGCGGAGGGTTGGTGGTACAAGCCTGAGTACATCATCAACCACATGAACATCAACTCAGCCATGTTCGAGCCACGCCACAACTCCTACGTGCACATGGCCCGAGAGGACACGCCCGCCACCATCAAGGTCTGTGGATATGCTTATACCGGCGGAGGCAACAAGATCATCCGCGCGGAGATCTCGCTGGATTCTGGGATGTCCTGGGAGATCACGGACTTGACCCGTCCTGAAGACGATATCGCTGCGGCGCGTGGAACGGACAAGCACTGGTGCTGGGCATGGTGGGAGACCGAGGTGGACCTGGAGCGCCTCGAGCAAGCTGAAGAAATCTGCTGCCGTGCCTTTGATTCGGATCAAAATAGCCAACCGGTCCAGCTGACGTGGACCGTCATGGGCATGCTGAACAATCCCATCTACAGGATCAAGATCCACCGCGAGGCAGATGCGGAAGGTCGTGACGGTCGTGACATGATCTGGTTCGAACACCCAACGCAGGGCTCCATGCCTGGAGGCTGGATGACCGATGCTGCTGGCAAGTTCGACCAGGCCTTTGCAGCCCCAGCCACGCCCGGCAAGAATGGTGTCCCTCCCAATCGGCCAGTCGCTGCTGTGTGGAAGGGTGCCCGAGAGGAGGCCGTCGGCGCCGCCGGTGCGAAGAAGAGCGAGAGCGCCGCAATGCCAGCTGAAGCCGGGAAGTTCGTGAAATCCAGCACGGAGTGGTTGACTCAGGGCATCTCCATGGAAGAGGTGAAGGAGCATGACAATGAGCAGTCCTGCTGGTTTGTTGTCAAGGGCAAGGTCTACGATGGCACGTCCTACTTGGAGGACCACCCCGGTGGCGCTTCTTCCATGCTCCTGGCTGCGGGCATGGAGGCCACTGAGGATTTCGAAGCTGTGCATTCATCTCGCGCCTGGGATATGCTGAAGGACTACTACATGGGGCCATTGAAGGTGGAGGAGGGTGCCAGCAGTGGTCTAGGGAGCATGGTGGCGAGCATCCCCTGTGCAGTGTACGGCTTTGCGCAGACGATCTTCAGCTCCTGTGCGCTCCGCTCCACGTTCTCGGCCATCCAAAATGCCCATGGTCCCACAAGTCTTCCTGAACCCAAAGGAGGCGCAGCAACTCCCGCTCAGCGAGAAAATCGTGGTTTCCCATGACACACGCATCTTCCGCTTCGCCTTGCCATCTCCCTCCATGCGCCTGGGCCTCCCAACGGGCATGCACATGATCCTCAAGGCGAAGGTGAGCGGCAAGCCGGTGATGAGGGCCTACACACCCATGACTGACAGCACTGTGGGCCATGTGGATCTGCTGGTCAAAGTTTACTTCAAGGGCGTGCACCCGAAGTTCCCGGAGGGCTGCATGATGTCGCAGCACCTGGACTCTATGAAGATTGGCGAGACAATCGAGGTGAAGGGTCTTGTCGGCGAATTCGTCTGCCAAGGTCACGGCAGCTTCACGTGGCACGGAAAGCCGCGTTGGTGCAAGCAGATCTCAATGATTGCCGGCGGCACGGGCCTCACTCCCTGCGTGACCCAACTGACACGACCCACATCCGGCTCCTGTATGCCAACAAGTCGCCCGAGGACATCCTGGCCCGCGAAACCCTGGAGAAGCTCGCCACCGAGAACCCGGACCTGTTCACGCTGAGCTTCACAGTGGATGGAGTCGGTGATGAGAAGGATTAGCAGGGCCATATCGGTTTCGTCACCCCGGCCATGACAAAGGCGACCCTTTTCAAGGCAGAGGAAGGAACGGTTTGTGCGATGTGTGGAGGCCTCCCGTGATGCTGGAGAAGGCCTGCCACCCAGCGCTCACGGAGATGGGCTACGGCAAGACCGACATCTTCGAGTTCTGAGAAGGTTTGCTCCGCCTTTCAAGTGGCCCGACATCCAGCACGCACGAAGTCGGGCGCTTGAATGTCTATGAGTTTCTTGCTGCGGGCGGCAGCATTATGTAGCAGACGCCTCCAAAGGAAGTGGCAGCTAAAGTGTTTGTCGTGCTAGCGATTCACAGAATTGCGAGATAATTCACTGGCCTGAGCGGAGCTAGGTCAGCTATGCAGGAGCTTATCTTCCTCTTGAGCAGAGAATGCTCTCGCTGCGTGTGAAGGCATGCGGGTCTCACAGTGAAGCGCGTCCGGGCGTGAAGCGCCCTCTGCGGCCAACCATTCAGAAAGAATAGACGAACTTGCAAACAACCTCGCGCATCACCGTGCTGGCACTGGTGTTGTTGAAGAGGTACGGCAGGAGTGGAACAGCTTGAGCTTGAGTGAGAGTCCCTCGTCTTATGTCGGAGACACGTGTTCATGTATTGCTCTGACCGCATGTGAGGTTTCCAGTTTCACCAGGCAAGTCATCCTTGCTGGCCGGCCGCTCAGTGGGAACGCAGTGGGAGTGCAGACTTTAGATCTCCTGATTCGATCGTCATCCATCGTGCTGCGGGGTGTTGTGGTGCAGCAATGTTGAGGTCAGGGAGCCGCAGAAAGTTGGCGGTTTCTGGCCTGGGGCCCAAGAACCTCAGGCCCTGCGAAATGTGCTGCTTGAGAAGGGCCTGTGAATGAACCCATGCAAGCAATCCCGTGCACATACCAAGAAGAGTGACTTGCACATCTCCTCTAGACAAGTGAGAAATTCGTAGAGGCCCACTGGCCGAGGTTCTGATTTTTCACTGCCGAGAGCTGCCGCAGTAGTTTTGGAGAAGTCTTCCTCCCACGTGCTTGTTGAAAATTCGCAAAGGTTTTAGTTGCCATTGCCTGCATAGCCGGCCTCTCAGATTCGTGCAATCTGCCAGCCAAGTCATGCTTACATCCCAAACCCTGCAAGCAAAAGACGTAACGCCGTGCAAGCCGTAGATGGACGCAGCGATTACTTTGCCTTGTCTGCAAGCTTGGGACTTGGATACTGCTTCCCTCAGTTGACTCATCAGGTCATCGGCTATGTTTTTCTCTTCGTGATTTGGCACTCCTTTGAGAAGCTCGTGTATGGTCTGATCGTCCGCTGCTGATCATGTCTACCCGCGAGTTTGATTCCAATTTGTGCCACCCAGAGGCACAGAATGACCTTGAGTCATGAATCCCCAACTTCACGAGTTCGAGGTCGCAGTGCAAGTTGCGCTCCTGGCAGTTGCTGTTGCAGGGTGCCCGGATGTGCCTAAGGCTCTAAGGTCCAAAAAATCGGTGTTCCCCACATCATCTGCTATATTGTCCGCTTTCACTACTTCGCATCCTTACTTGAGCTGGACCGTGGTCTTTGCTGCGCTTGCGAGCCTAGGTGTTTCTCTTCGTCAGCTTTCATCCAGAGCCGGGCACTTCGAGTAGTGAGCGCTGCGTGCTTGCGATTGTGTTCACTTGCTTGGTGTTCGCGCGTCTGCCTGTGAACTCAAGGCATAACTTTTTCTTCACATACTTCTCTCCGCCTGTTGCCAGGCTGGATGGTAAAAGCTGCTTGCTGTATGTGTAACTTTGTGCTGCGCCATCTGTGCAGGATGAGTGCCTGGGCTTGTGCCTTACTGATGCGCGAGCTGAGCAAGTACAAGCAGCCCTTTCAAAGACTTTCACAGCAGCTCATGTCATGGCGACTTAGCGGTGACAATGAGCGCATCTGGCATGTCGAACCACTGAGCTGGTCGCTTCGCAAACCGCAGACAGCAACAGTAGTATGGACAGTTACACACACCGCCGACGCTGCCAGTCTTATTGGTGGCAGAAGAGGACGCCAAAAGTCACTATGCACTATGCAATGCGATGCGGAAGCCACGATTTCAATCACAGCAAGGTCGCAGCAATAGTTTGTGTCAGATGTTCTGGCACGATCGGCTGAGCGACTGAAGGCAAGGCATGTGATTTTAACGCTACGCGACCCGCCTCGGCCCGGCCCAGCGCATCCGCGTGAGCATGGTGATTCCGCAGCGCCCAAGTCGCTGGACCCCAAGCAATAAGGGTTGGGTTTAGGGTTCCGGGTTTATGGTTTATGGTTTGGAGTTTAGGGTTGAGGGTTAGTTTAGGATTGAGGGCTTAGGGTTCAAGGTGCACGCTTTGAGGTTTAGGGTTTTTTTGGCCGGCCGTGCTCACACCAGTTGAGCCTCGAAAACTCGCTCAGGGAAAAGGGGAGGGGGCGCGGCTGGAGGGGGGGGGAGGGAAGGGGGGGGGGGGGGGGGGGGGGGGGGGGGGGGTGGGGGGTCAAAAGGCAAAAGGCGGGGCCCTGCTGGGAGGGGCTCTGGTCAACTGCCTCTGGTCCTGGCGAACCGTCCGCTTGCAGACCCCGGTTTCCTAGAAGGGGTCCGAAAAATGGTTTTGGGTGGGGGGAGGATTTGGAGGGGGGTGCCTGTTCTCACAACCTAAACACCTCCGGCCCGAGGCCTCGGCGGATTATTTGCAGGCATGCAGGTACCTTAAGGGTATGGAGCGAAGCCTTTGGGCGAAATGTGTCCGGTACTGCGGAGCTTGGAGTTCGTCTGTTGCCCTGTCCGTGCTTGCGAACTGCGCTGTTACCGGGAAGAGTCATTACCAGTACATGCTAAAACCGAACCTCCCCATGTCACATTGTGCCCTTGAGCTTTGCCTTGAGGTCTGTGCGGGCGTGGCTGTGCTGTTCTGGCTGCTGTTCGCCTTTCTGTGCTGCCAGGGAAGGCACATCCCGGGCCCACATTCGCTTTGGCCTTCAGGGTTTCTTGAAGACTTTGGAAACCACAGCTGTGGGGGCCTGCAGGGAATCACTGGCTGTGACCATCGACAGCGTGACAGCTACCTGCGAGGCGGGCTTGGCACCGCAAAGTCATACAAGTTAGGATGGAAGAGCAGGGATGGACGGAGCTGAGGTTATCGCTGAAATTCCTTCCATGCTGGTGCAGCCCCTTTTGCACTCAACAGTTGTTGCCACCGCCTCAGGGCGCGCAAGTCTAGAGTGCTGCATGAGCCAGGCGATTGGTTCTCAACACCCGTTTTCATGCAGAGCTTGCCAAGGTTGTTGTCCTTATTGGGCTAGTGTGGATCCCAGTCTCAGAGGCCGAAATGGCACCGCTGCCAACACACGGAAGCTGTCAGGTCTATGGATTTGCCTGGATTCTTTCCACTGGCAAGGCGGCCAAGCGTCTTGGGAACCCTAAGTTTACGTCGTTGGCCGATTTTTGTTTTGATATGGGCATCATACACAGAACTGTCAAGACCCGACTCGCTCCCCAACACTCTGGAGATCACTGTGCGGTGGCCAGGTGGTGCCATTGGGCGAGTGTGCCCAGCTGGAGATTGAGCAAACAGTCGCTGTGGTAGCAGGAGTTGACCTCAAGGTCTTAAACTATCCGACTCACGTGGCTTGGTTGACAATCAGGCCTTGCTCAGTGGTGTGCATACCCTAGCAAACTACCAAAAGCCGAACATCTGTGACCGCAGCTGCCCCCGAAGCAAGCAAACTTGGTCCGATCTAGCACCGGAGATCACCGGAGCTGGGGCTTGTAGTCGGAGAGGTCCTATCCTGAAGGGACAGCATCTGAGCCTCAGATCCCACGGACACCAGACCACTGAACCAGGAAAGGCAGCAGTAGCAGGTCTTTCTGCGTTGCGTTCGGGGAAGTGGAACGCTCTTTCGAGACTGAGCAGCCCGCCAGGCCCTTGGAGCAGAGCGGCATTCAGATTGCCCAGGTCTAAGAGCTTCGTTGCTGAGTTGTCTTTGTCCCGGCTTCGACGAAAGAAAAATCCCAGCTCTAGCAGCGTTGAGCGCTGGTTGAGCGCTTGTTCTGGGTTCGTTGCCCTTCGTTCACGTTTCTGACGATGTAGTTTCGCAATCGTCCATTGCAGGATATTGCAGGCATTAGCCACCTTGTTTTGCAGCAGGTCGGGCATGTCACTGCAAGGGTGCATTGCTACCACAGACGGAGCGATTTCCTTAAATGGAGGGTCGTGAGGCGTGAGTTGTTCGGGTCCTTCGGATTGTCAAGTGACGGGATTGCCGCCTTCTTCTCCTCAATCGGAGGCATGGCCCAGATGCCTAAAGGCACCTCATCCAAGGCAGGGGTCCACCGGAACCTGGAGTTCACTGATGGCCAGTGGGTCCCAAGCCCAGCTTGGTCAGCCGGGTATATGTTTATATATATATATACATATATAATTCATCATCTTCTGTAAAATCTGAGAAGCCGGAGAGGGCCTAACCTCATGATCGACCGCTTATCCGTTGAGCCTCTTAAAGCCATCTGATTGAGTCCTTGGTTCGCCCGGGCTCCGAGGCCGCCATCGCCTACTGGCTTTTCGGCCTCGTGCGGCACCGAGCCACCGAGATTTTGCAACCAGATGCAGCCAAGTCTGACGAAAAAATGCGGGGTTGAAGTTCCTGAGATTTTTCCTGAGACCAGTTCAGGCCTAAGGAATTTCTGGGAATTTTGGGGTAAGGTCAGTCCTTGTGCAAGGGGCGGTGGCCAGATGGGGTTCAAAGCGGCCTGGACTTCCAAACAGCAGTAAAGCATAATGATGCTGGCGAGGAGCCCTGACATGACTTGAACGTCAGCGTCGATGCTTTACCAGTCTCTTCCGTGTCAGGTATGGACGTTTGAAATCATGAATGCCCTTGGGCAGCTGGGTCCTGAGTACATGGTGATGCCTGCTTGGGACAGTGCCAGCTCAAAGCACTGTCGTTGTCACATGCTCCTTGCCTGTCTTCCGTGACGTCTGCCATCATTATGTGGTTGAGGTTCGCAATCTCGCACGCTGCCAGGGCCTTGCATCATGATGAGTAAATAGATTGATTACGTGTTTGAGTGAATGGCCGGCTTGAATGTATCTTGAATTCATGGCGTCCCATTTTCATTGTTGTGCCGGTGCCGACCAGCATTCCCAGACCTCTCCACAGGCTCCCAGAGGCTCCGAAGTCCACTCCAAGCGGAAACCCAGCCATGTCCACGAGCCCCAAAAGGTGTGTCCCTGCCGTTCGCGATGCGCAGCCATTCAAGCCGCAAGAAGTGCACGGCGCGCTTTTTGGATCACAGAAAACAGCAAACCTGGAACCCGTGGCCACGCCTCACCGATATGCGGGAGCGCGAATTGCAAACGAGTGTAGGCGAGGGCCGCACAGCCGGCCACATGCTCCACAACGTGACCTAGTGTGACCTCAACCGCGGTTGATTTGTAGTGGCTGTGTCTATTCAGATTCAGTGTTGCGTCGTCGGCTTCAGAGAGGAAAGTATAGGGCTCTCGGCATCCCAAAAGAAGGTTTCTATTTTTCTTCAGTAAAGCGCGTTTCGTTTCGGTTCTTGTCGGTTTCTGGGATGGGTTTTGAACCGTTTCCGGTTTGCAAGAGGGTTTCCTTTGCGGTTCGGTTCGGTATCCAGACCCCCCCTCCCTCCACACCTCCGCCCTCTAGCCTTCATAGGTTGCAGTCAAGCCATCCACATAGCCACCAACCTGGATTGGAGGGGGTAGGGAGGGGTGCACGAGGGGGGGATGGATGAGGGGTGGGTCTGGGGGCGGGATCGGAGCAGAGCGCGGATCGGCTCATGGCGGTTCGTTTGTTGGCGGGTTCATGCGGTTCCTGGGGGTGTGCCGTTCCTGGCGGTTCGGTTCGGGGCAAGTTTGGCCTGGAGGGTGTGTGTGTGTGTGTGTGTGTGTTTTTTCCCGATTCTCTTTTCGTGTTTTTGTTGGTTAGGGTTTGGGGGAAGCAGGAAAACCTCTATTTGCTCTATTTTTGGAGGAAATCCTCTAGGTTTTGACTAGAAAAGAATCTATCGTTTTTTTACGTTTCTTACTAGCAAAACCTCTACGGTCAATTTCCTTCTTCCTTCTTTTCGTGGATTCGAATCAATTGGGTCAATTTCCTTGGTTCTCCTGAGGAAAAATTCCAGAAAAACTCTATTGCCTCTGTATTTTAACAGGATTCCTAGTTTTTTTCATGGGATTCGTTCGCATTTATTTTAATAAGAACCCCATTATTGCTTCTAATTGAAAATCTCCATGCTCGGAGGACGGATTTGGAAAGGATTCCTATGCTTTTTATGAGCTTGCTTCTGAGCACTGCGATGACTGTGGCCACTGGCGAAGTATGGGACGGTTCAGCACAGATAGTCTCACCACACGATCAGCAGATGAGGAGAAACACGTCAGCATTCTTCTGCGTTTTCTGTGATGGATTAGTCATGCTCTTGCCTTTCGTGCTCTGCTTCCCAACGCATGTGAGCATGGTGCCTACTCCAAGTTGTTGGCGTGGCGCGCGAATGCCAAGGTGGTGATGAGCATGGTCCACCAGGAAGACGAGTGTTCACCTTAGATTGTATTTTGAGCTGAAGCGGGAGCAGCTTCGATCAAGACCGAAACCCGGACTATCCATCACTGATTCTTTCAACCGCAGAACCCTACACTGCACCCTATCCAAATCCATCAAAGCAGGCACAGACTACAATCAGAGTAGCAGCCACGATGGCGACGAGAAGAAGTCCTTTTTGTGCTAAAGTCGCAACAACACGAATGCCATGCGACTGCGTGGCTACAACTGAAGTTCTGTATGAGTCTTTGCCTGCTTTTCCGCAATGCCCTCATGATTTCAGACTCTTGTTCCCCAGCACCTGGCTGGGGTTTCAACTGATAGATGCTCCATCACATGCCCTGAGGGCTAGGCTGTTGATGTGTTTGGCTCCATGAGCAGTTCGTAACCGTTTGAAGGCAGGATTGCATATATCGGGTGATCATGGCATGGTTCAGTAGGAGTGAGCGGAAGTGCTTTTTGCTGTCTCGTCCTCCACGCGTTCAGAGGGTCCCAGAACAGCCATGTCGGGCGGATACTCTTCGAGTGGTGTTGGTGGGGCCCAGATGGAGTTCGGCTACTGGAAGATCCGCGGTCTCGGCGCTGTCTTCCGCATGATTTTTGCATACAAGGATGTCAAGTACGAGGACAAGCAGTACTCGACGAATGATGAGTGGTTCAAGGGTCGCAAGGCTCAAATCCTGCAGCTGAATCCCTTGGCCAATCTCCCGTACTTGATAGATGGGGACACTTGTGTGTGCCAAACAAACGCGATTCTCCACTACTTGGGTGAGAAGTTCGGCCTGAACGGCAGCACTGAGGCTCAGAAGCTTCGCACCGCGGAGCTTCTCAATGAAATTTACGACGTGCGCAATGCGATGATCGAGCTGGTTTACCCATTCCATGAAAGCTGCCGCAACGAGGAGGAGTTTCAGGTGCGGGCCAAGAGCATGGCCAACTCGCCTCCGTTCTGGAAGTTCGAGGCTCTTCTGGGCTTCAAGGACAACCTCTCCGGCGGTCAGTGGTTTGTGCTTGCAGATGGCCCAGGTGTGGCGGATTTCCACATCTGGGAGATGTTGGACCAGCACAAGCTGCTGGCTGAGAGGCTGGGTGCCCCTGCAGGCCTGGAGAAGTTTCCGAAGTGCATGGCTTTCTACAAGGCGTTTAGGGATCTGCCCGCCCTCCAGAAGTACTTTGCTTCCGATGCCTACAAGATGGATGTGAATAGCAAGCTCGCGGACACTTACTTCGCATAAGGGACTCTGCGGTGCCGGTTTTGCCAGCAAGGCACCTGCTTGAAGCATGAGATTGCGCCAAGTGTTCACAAAACATCGTCTTTACGTCAGGCAGCCGGATTGTCGATGAACATACTGCGTTGAACTGAGCTTTCGAGAAGCAAGGTCCCATCCGATGCTTCACGGCTACTTCGTTGGAATCACCTTTCATCTTGGCCTGGGCCACGGGATCTCCACTTAGATACCCTTAGATACACTTTCTAGATTGCGCCGCTCAGGTAGCATTGCTTTCGGTGCCTTCGTGATTGGTTGCCTCAAGCTTGCAGCAGCCACGCTCCCAAGGATTAAGGTGATATGTGATACTGATTGCCATCGAAGCATGCAGAGCATGACTGGCGTCCACCGTTGCGAGGCTGCCATGTCCTTTGTCTTGAACCAGGCCAGAGATGAGTCTCGAGCTTACGGAATGCCGTGGTTGATGCAGCGTGAATGAAGGCTGTTTTCGTGGGCCCCCTCCCTCCCCCCATCCCCCCCAATACTGTCCGAGTCCGGGATAGAAGCGCGTGCAAGTTACAACCGAGCAACCGAGGCAGGGTGTTCAGAGCACGGTGGCCCAAGTTCTGTGCTGCTGCTGCCTTTGCACAGTGGCCTGCATTGAGCGCGTCGGGGTTCCCAGCTTCCCCGAAAGCTTGGCATGCCAGGGCTCCTCTTGCACTTGGTACTTTGCCTCGCACACGAAGATGACAGGTCTTGAGCATGGTCAATGACCTCATTTACACAGACGTGGCGCTGCGTTCGTGCGGCTATATACAAGCGGCAGACCACGTTGTGAGAGTTGCCTGGCCCTCAGCGTTGGTGTCGAAATCTAAAGCCGTTCTCCAGGCTTAAACTTAGCCCCTTGGCATCCCTTTGCAGAGCGTCACTGAAAGCAGTCGTTCTCCACTGAGTTCACATCGGAGTTTAGTGCAAAAGTAAGAAAAACAATAATAATAGTAATCTGTCTCAAGGCCGCGTCAAATCCACTGACCTACGCGGCCATCAAAGCAGCTGCCACGGCACGCTGCTGTCCAGGGCTTCGTGTTGCTTTGGGGTTTAGGGTTTAGGGTTTAGGGTTTGGGGTTTAGGGCCTTCAGTCCAGTGAGGGTTTACGGGGCAGATTGGCAAGCGAAAGGGCTGAAGCTCCACAGTGCTGGGTGGGGTTTGATGTGAAGGGCAGCATGGCTCGTGGTACGAACGGTTTCAGGGACTACCATATAGATCGGGCAACTTCTCACCGGGATGCAGCTCGAGGAGTCGAGACCTCGAACTTCTCATGTCACCGTTGGGTGCCGCCGCTGGCGGGTTTGTCAACCTAGAAGCAGTGGCCCTGCCATTCTTGCCCACGGCACAGGCCATGAGGTTTGTCGGTGTCGCAATCATCGGCGGCTGCGGCACATTCCTGTCCTACCAGGCGCTGCTGTTATTTAACGTGTCTCACTTAATCTCACTTACGATGGGTGTTTCAGAGCTTCGTGTAGAGTCGCGAGCCATGGCCAAATCTGGAGAAGGCGTGCAGCGAGCGTTCGCGAACGATAGGAGATGTTTCGCACCTAAAGGTTCGCAGTGAGCGTGCACTACTGCACCTGTCCACATCGGTACCTACATGCCGCATTAACAGACATACCTCAAGTACGGACCATTTCGGCCTACTACGGAGTAATTGATTCTTGAGTGCGTTACGTGGCTTGGTTGATCTGGAGAAGGAGCCGGGCAGTGATTCACAGAGTTGCGTCGGGCGGGAGTCTGCGGGGGCACATGCTTTTGCATTTCGTCATGGCAAAGTACAGCATCACACTGCAGGCTCTTTCGTCTACAGAGCTGCACAAGCAGCTTGACAGTGTGCCAATCGCTCAGCCAAGTATCGCCTGCCTTGTGGCATCTTCATCTTGGGGCTGGCTGTCTGCGAGCAGCTTCGTGTTGAGCGTATTTGGCATGTAACAGGCAGCGGGAACATTCCAGAACACTCAATACTTTTTGTAATCGTTTTACACGAACTACCAAGCCACCGGCTTTGTAAGGAGTTTGGGAGGGGTATGCGCCAGCGGGTAGTGATCTTTGTCGCAAGCCTCCAGTAGCTCGTCTAGGCCTGGGCCTTTGCCCAAAGACCTGCCCGAGGTTTGAGAACTCTTCCACAATGCTGGTGACCTCCAACATCCTTGGAACCACTATTGCGCCCGCGGCAAAGTGCAATGGATGCTTGTAATACAGTGAGCGCATGTCGGGTTACAATTCCGTCATCCACAGCGTCACCGCAGCTTGCTGTCACGCACCCTTCCTCGCCGTACCCACTTTGCTGCAACGAACCCCACACACTTAGACTTGACTTGTTCCCGCAGTTCCCCCAAAATCAAAAGTTAACCCATGTCCAAGTGCAACGCAGAGACTTAAGAAGGTCAAGTCAGAAAGGTCAAGCAGGGCGCAACAAATCCGTCGTCTGTATTGGCAGTCTTGAATTAAGGTTTTGGAGAGGATTTAGGGAAGAGGCTTCGGCCATTAGGCTTAGGACATCAATGAAGTCAATAAAGTCAAGAAGGGCAAGAAGGGCGACATGCCATTTACTGCCCCCGGTGGCCGGTTCGTCTTGGCATGTTGATGCAGTTGGCGGGGTTCGGAACTTTGGAATTTTGTTCGGGCGGGGCTATACAATGAGTTGTAGAGGAACAGCAGCGATCGCCGCGATCCGAAACACTCAGCCCCCACTTGCCCGCCCTACTCCTTCCTATTCAGGCAATCTGCAATCTGTTCTCGATAGAGCACTCACACCGCAATCCTTCGGGAACGTATTCATTTCACGTATCCGAACGTCCCAGGGCCGGACTGATTTGTTTCTATGTCGCGTTGGCCTTCATGGTGGTGCTGCAGCCTCGGTTGCCGTCATGCTGGCCGGAGACGGGGAGAACGTAGCTTCAGGTGCTAAGCCACCATAGAATGGCGCCCACAACTCTTGAACCATGCTCCCACATGTCTGTTTGCATTCCTGATGCTGACATTTTGAGGCCTCGGCTGTCCAGTGTTTTTTTGCACATCGTGGATATATTGTGGGACAGTGCGGGGGGCAATCTCAATAATTTTCAGTTGCCGACATTGTCTTCTTCAATTGGTGTTTAGTGACTTGGGGAAGCAGCGAGTGAGTATATACTTGTCGCCATGAGATCATATTGAGATGCAGCAGGTGTAGGAAGGGCCCCCGTGCAAGCGTGCCCAAAGCAATGGCACGCGGCCACGTCGAGCAGTTCCAGCAGCTTTGCCCAAAGCTTGTGAAGTTCCAAGGGCTTGTGATTTTCTGCTCAGGATCGGTGGGGGATTCGGTCTGTTACAGGCACATCCGGCTGTGGATGCTGGGGGTTGACCGGGGCAGTAGCGTAAGTGGTTACGGAGACTCACGGTCCCCCAGCGAGGTTTCTTCTCGGTGAGAGATTTGGAAACCAGAAACATGACAATGTGTGGAGCCTGTGGCCCAATACGAAGCCTGCGCTAGAAAGGGTGGTGCTTGAAAGCCCCAACATTTGCTTCCGCTTGAAAACGAAACATATCGAAACTGCCCAAGCAAAACCTACCCTCCCATCCGAGCTTGAATGCCTGTTTCTCAAACTCGCCCTGCAATTTCTCGTCAAGGAAGTGGCTTCAAGAAAACCCCCCATGCCTTGACCTCCCCACCATCCGGCACACTGCAGAAAGCTGGAGCTGAATGGCCTCAGCAACAACCTTGAGGACCCGGCCGGAACCAGTCTCAAAAAAGGTGCTTGCGATCACACCCCTATGACCAGCGGTCAAGTTGTAAAGCCCTTGCACCTGGTCCCACGAGACCTCGGAGCTCGCAGCACAGGAGCAAAGAAGCTGTTGGCAACAACAAGTGCCGCTAGCAGCCTAAAGGATACAATCCGCTTTTTGCTTGGACATGTGGGCATCTCCTCGCAAGGTGTCTCCTGGCCTGGCCTCCCACCCCCCCGAAAAGCTTGCCCCCAGTATCCCTCGACTTCTCCTGGCCTCCCTAAACCCTAAACCCGAAACCCCAAACCCTAAACCCGAAACATCCCGAAACCCTAAACCCTATCCTTTGGTTGACGACTCTCCCAGGAGCTCGCTGTGCCCTCTGTGGGTTGGAACCCCCTCCACGCCGCCGCCGGGGCCTGCTTGTCGCCCCTATGGGGCCACTTGACTTCCGGAAAATCCGCAGCCCGTTAAACCAGCATGCGCAGCTTCGACGTCGTGCGGATCCGCAGAGCAGCCAAGGAAGGCCCGTGATCGGATCCAGGCCCGGATTTAAGGGTGATGTGCACAAAGGGTCCGTATTCGAGCCAAACATCAACTTCAAGGGCACGACTGGAATCAGGCTTCTTTTAAACGCATGAAGGTGCGGAAATGCCAGCAGTTTGCTGGAGGTAGGTTCATCTGAAGATGCATAGTTGGTCAGTTCTGAGGGCATGTGGCTTGGCTGCAGGATTTCCCTTTCTTGGCCCAAGCGCCCCTGGGCAGGCATCAAACTAGTTTTGCCAAGAGATCTTCCGTTTAGGCAAGCCTTCCCTTTGATGAAGCTTTTTGAGGAGTTTTTAGTTTGAGATTCAAGCCAATGGCCTCTCATGGGCCCTAGGGCCCCCGTGAAGCTGAGGGTTTAGCGGGAGAATTGTGTTGTCTTTGGTGGAGAATTGCGTTGTCTTTGGTGGGCTTGGGGTGTTTACGCCTTTCGGGGGTTCCAAGGATATCTTTCGGGGAGCGAACCATGCAGGAGCAAGGGTAGACCAGCCAGTTTCAAAGAAGAGTCCGGTTGAAGCCGGTGGCCAGGGGGTAATGGTGGCTAGGTCTGCAAACATCCGAACCCTCAACCCTCTGCGAGGAGCTGGCGCGAACTCTCAGTCTTTAAGGCCCTAAACCGAAAGCCGAAGCGAAGGAAATCGGCCCTTATCGGACTCTTCTCCCGCCGCGCATGAGACAGCACCGTAGACAACCTGGTTCAAACAACAGGCCCTTGCTTCTTGTAGACAACAACACCCTCAAGAACAAAATGGAAGATTCAAACCTATCAGCCAGAGTTTGCAAGGCTTGATTGAAGGTCTAAGGCCCAGCACTTGAAGGTGCCAGACTTCTGCAGCGTTCGGCACTGTTCGGTGTAACCTGAGCCTTAAGCCTAAACCCTAAAACCTGCTGTGTGGCTGGTCTGCTTGCCGGGTGGCAAAAGAAGCCGCGCAGCGCATGAGCGGGCAACATTCGAAAACAAAAAACATCAAAGCGCGTGGACCCTCAGCTTGCATTAGCACGTCAAAATTCGACCAACCAGACGTATCCTCACAACACCATGGTGAATGTTCCGTTCCGGGTGTGTAAAAAACCTGACCCCCAACCTCTAGGCTATAGCCCAAGCAGCATGGTGCCACGACTTGGAGAGGCATAAAACCCAGAAGGCTTTGGTGTTGACCCCAGGCCAGACTCTTGAGCCCTTTGCACCTGGGATGTTCCCCCTTATACTAACAGTACTTAGTAAAATCATAATAGGGGGGCACTGCAATCCCCATCAAGGAGCTGCTAGTACAAGGGGGAACATCCCAACCTTGCACCAAGGTATGTGTACCTATTGCCTCCAGGAGGTGACTTCAGGATGCATGCTCTTCCGCCATGCTGGGCTGAGAGCTGTGGATTGTCCCAGCCACCTGCTGGTGAAACCAGTCTCCGCGCTGGTGTGCCTTTGGCGAAATTGTGCTTCCTAGTAGTGGAGTTTAGGCCGCTTCATTCAGTGCCAACCCAAGCGTTGCAGAGTTTAACTTTTGGCTGCACCCATCATCGCATCATCAGAAGGCCTTGCTGCATCCCGAAGCCATGCCAAGCCCGATGGTCAGAACATCTAGACGAACCAGAGCGAGGCTTTATTTTTCCCAGGCGAAAGCTCCTTCAACCGCAAGCCTCATGTCGGTATAGTGTCTCATATGCGCCAGACATGTCTGGGCTTGGTCAGAACCCTTCAGCCAAGGCTCTCCTTAGACTTCCAGCCCGTGCCTCGGCGTCGCTGGAAGGTGGACGCCTTGACCATGGCAGGCCAATCCGTCCTGCAAGGTGCCGAAGGGATCCCAAGGGTTCAGTGCTGAGCCTCCAAGAGTCGGCCTCAGTGTTCTGAGGGGCATCCCTAAACCCTAAACCCTAAACCCTAAACCCTAAACCCTAAACCCTAAACCCCAAACCCTAAACCCTAAACCCTAAACCCTAAACCCTCAACCCTAAACCCTCTGCTACTGCTACTTTTCACCACAACTCCCCTGAGTCGGTCGTACGGGCTCCCTGGTGAGGAGGAAAGGTCCTGCGTGGCGACTCCGGTCTCGGGGAAGTGTGGAATCTGGTTGTTGAGGAGCTGCAGGCAGATCTCGGACGTTTTCAGAGCCTTCTTGGGGATGATTGGACCTGAAATGCCCATTGTGTGGGCATCTGTGTCCATTCGGGGGGCCTCACGCATACCGGGCTTCCGAGCCGACTTTGTTTATTGAACGGGATGTGGAGTGATGCGTAGACAGTCGCTGAAGGCTTTGCAGAGCTTGGCAAAACCTCAGCATGTGACCACCGGTGCTCAGTGCATTCACGAGCGTCTTGCGAGGCAAGATGGACCATGACCGAGCCAGAGCTGGCAACGGTGAAGCTCCTGCACGGAAACAAGCCTTTGCCACGAAGGCATGGGAGTATTTCAAGACGCTGTGTCTGACTCGGAATATGAATGTCGCAAGCTTTCTGTCACGTAAGGTTGCGCATGGCACGTGTTTATGCTTTTCCTTGCTTACGTGGTGGCAGATGAACTTGCTAAAAGAACAGCATCAGAAAACATAGAACCAACATGCCAAGGATATCTGGAACGGACGAGGGTGCCCAGATACTCATTGCGGCGCAGATTTGCCGTCCGCTGCAAGCTCTCCAAGACGAAGAGGGTGAAGAAATGTGCGGCCGCGCCTTCCCCTGCTTATCGGCTGACTTGAGTCTTCCGATGTGTCACATCCTTGAAGCTATTGCAAAGTGTGACGCTGTCTTGCCCCCGATGCCATAATCATGCAGGTCTAAGCTCTGGACGCGCTGCCGACCATCCTTTCCATGCTCCTCCCGGTCTGATACTGCTCAGAATGACGCAAACCTTTCCTACACCGTAGCCGAAATTTCGGCATTCCCTCTGTCTGAGTGTTGCCGCTGTGCCTTCAACACCATAGGTCCTGAGACATCAGACGCTTTCTGCAGCACTTTGTGCAGCAACTCTCCAAAGGAAGGCAGCCGAGCTTGAAGGCCTTGCATGCATCAAATTCAACTCGGCCCCTGGGCATTGGCGTGGCCATCGTGTGGGTACTCTCTTGCATTGTCTTGCGCTTGATCTTGCTGTCATCATTTTGTGGGTGCACCTGTGGGCTGGGAGCATTGACGGCCACTCCACTCAGAAATTCAGACTCAGAGCAGAAGTGGCCTTCGACGTGTGACCTGGAGCAGTAACATGCTGCGACAGAGCCGAATGCTTTCTCACTCTTCTGCGCCATGTACATTTACACACACATACATGTGTACATACATACATGCATGCACACATACATACATACATGCCTACATACACAATGGGTACATGCTTAAAATGTATACATGCAAACAAAGGCCATCTAATTTGCTTGGATATGTTTCCCAGCAGTTAGCCAGCCAGTAAAATGCCTGAAGTAGCCGTGCAGAAGCGCAGAAATGTCAGAGTTCTCCGCAAAAGTCCATGCGATTTGCAGCGGAAATAAGACTTTTTGCACCTTCCGGCGCTGGTCTGCAACCATGTAGCGCTTCAGATGGCTTCAGGGTCAAGGGGGACGTGCTTGACATTGACTTGCTCTGCAAGCAGGGTTGTGATGGTGCTCTATGAGTGAACACAGCGCAAGGCCGCATCATGGCAGATAATGACGCAGCATCTGCTGGCCATTGCTGGCCCAGAGGTTCTACCAGACAACCTATTCCCTCATGTACTGCATGCTGCTTGGCGCCGGTTCAGGCCCGGGCACTGGCAAGAAAGAGCTGCTTGGTACCTGAAAGCCAGAAATGGCAACCGGGAGCTGCAAGGCATGTGTAGGACTGGCACAGGGTGCATGAGCCATGTAAGCTTGAAAGGCGCCCAGAGCATGTCCGCCCACCCGAGTGCCCGAGTTGCCCAAAAACTCCGCCGACATGACAACCGATATCCATCAAGACACATCATTACGCATCAATACACAGCACGAATCATGAACATTAAATATTATAAGATAATCAAATATGATATAATACAGTACAATATAATGTAGGGACACCCCAAAGCCTGGACCTGAGCCGTTGAAGGTGGCGCTTCAGCCTTGGACCTCGACCAAACCCGCATGAAGACGCAGATCTGGTGCCGCTCTAAGACGCGATTCAGCATGTCAATGTGGGTCTGCCGCTGGCCCCATTAAGCTTCGCAATGCCTCGGAAGTGTATGCCTGCATGCATGCCTTCATCACGCATCCCTTCATTCTTGAGCCCCAGATTCCCGAGAATCTTCGACCCTCACCAGCTCAAGACCTTGGGAGAAGCCGGCTCCGGCCATGCCACGCCAGTGCGAACTGCTGAGGTCCAGCACGACCTGAAGAGTGTCCCTTCACATTGGGCAGGCTTCACTGCTACAATAGTCTGCAATATCCAATCCATCGGCCCAAAATGGTTCCGCATCGGAAGTACAACCCTTGGCTCCCAAGTCCAGGTGTTGCTTTAGTCATGAAGTGCTTCCAGGTAGGACTCGCGAGTGTCAGTGCTTCGAGTGGGGTGTGGCGCACCAGCAGTTTCACAAAAGCCCCGGGATACAAGTTCCTGAGGCGTTTTCAAGTAGTGGCTCGAAGTCCGACAACAAGTCCAGCCACGCCGGTTGAGGGCAGGTCTTGTCACATCAAGTCAATGTTACTATATCCCCCTTGGGAATTATTTTCTCATTTTTGTTTACATAAAACCCAAGAGGAAATTAACAATCATATTGTTATTAGGATTCTAAGGGGAGTATAGGTTAAGGGAAGGTCCTCTGGGGGATCTTGCCGCTGCGCTACTTGCAGCCTCGGCTGAGTGGGGCCGAAGGTGAGACAACCGATTGTTGCAGCTGAGAGAGAAGCCTCTGGCATTACTCTAGGAGTCGGAATACTTCCTATGGCAGTCCCTTGTGGTCCCTTTTGTAATTATACAATATGAACCCCACAAAACCCTATTCTAACTTCTCAGACCCCTAGAAAACTCAGCTGCCTGTTGCATGCCTGCAGCCGCTGGGATCTCAGGGCATCTGGGTAAGCATTGCCTCTCGGGTAAATACTTTCAGCGATGAGCCTCATCGCGGAGCTGCCGAATGCCGGCCTTCTGAAGAAGGTCGCGGATGCCATGAAGGACAAAGCCGGGTTTAGGGTTTAGGGTTTAGGGTTCAGAAGTGTGTCGTGACGTGATGATGGCGGCGGGTGTGAAGCGGTGGAATGAACCCAGCCAAGGTTTGCCGTCTTGGATTTAGGTTTGCACCCCTCCCTCCCTCCAAGCCAGCTGCTGGTGACTGCTTATCTGGTGCCGCTATTACTGTAAGCATACATTGTGTGATCTCCAGTTGGCGCCCAGATCTTCGTCCGGCAATAAGACCAGTGGGATGCAGGACTTGTGCAAAGATGTCAACTTCGACTGCTCCGAGAAAGGCATACAGGTACGACACCTGGCTTTCGAACTGGTTCCGTTGACACCAGCAAAGAAACGACACTCCAACAGCTAGAGTCCGACGTGGTGCATGAATACAAGGCTTTTGGGCTGCGCCCGCAGCCCTGCCCGTGCTGCACAATTATCGAAATGTTCGGATGTTGGGGGCTTCCGGGTTGGATGGAAAAGTCAGAATACTCGTCGTCGGGTTGCAGAATTCTAGGGCTTGTGTGTCTGTGATGGCAGAGCCATGAGGTGCAGTCCATGGACAGCTCGCACGTGGCGTTGGTCTCCCTGAACTTGAAGGAGTCGGCCTTCACAGACTTTAAGTGCGAGCGCCCGGTGCCTCATCAGATTGAGCATATTGCCGGCTCGAAGAGGCAGACCCTGAACCGCCAAGAACAACCCTGAACCCTGAAACCTTAAACAGACTTAAGTTGGACACTTTGCATCCCTGCGGTGTGGTTGCGAGGCTGCTAAGCAGGGCAGGTGGCAAAAAACCCTAAGCCCTGAGTGCTCGCAGCTCAGGCTTCCTTGGGCATGAACGTGGATTCCTTGACGAAAATCCTCAAGATGACGAGCCCCAACGACTCGCTTAAGATCCGGCACCAGGTTGACTCTGACGCAGCTCGTTTGAACAAGCTGTCTGCTACCAGTTTTAAAATGACATTCTGTGAGTTCGTCCAAGTGACGGATCATCAGGATCAAAAGTCCACGATCCTACAAAAGGGCTTGCGGCGGCTAGCGGCTAGTGTTTCTGCGGAAGGGATGTCTTTGTAGGGCTTGGAGGGCCAACCTGTTGCAACAAGGTCGTTGGCTTCCAGTGTGAGGGCACAGACGACCGGATCTCTGAGTTCGAGCTGAAGCTCATGCAAATCGAGAGTGAGCACATGGAGATCCCTGAGCAGCGTGGGTCCTAGCGTTCTCAGGAAGAAGAGGGAAGGGAGTTGGGTCGTCAATGGTCGTCATTGCTCTACAGTAAACTCCAGAAAGTTGGACCATGGTTTAAGGACGATTAGAGCTGGGATTCCCTTTAGTATACTTTTTTGGGGTGTGGGGAGAAGGATGCTCCAATGTTTTGGGGTGTACCTGCCGTTGTTGGAATCTTTGGTTTCTGCTTGCGGCCTCTGAACACCCTAAACCCTAAACCCTAAACCCTAAACCCTAAACCCTAAACCCCTAAACCCCTAAACCCCTAAACCCCTAAACCCCTAAACCCCTAAACCCCTAAACCCCTAAACCCCTAAACCCCTAAACCCCTAAACCCCTAAACCCTAAACCCTAAACCCAAAACCCCTAAACCCCTAAACCCCAAAACCCCTAAACCCTAAACCCTAAACGTGAAGGCACTACAAGGTCATCGCGAAGATGCCCTCGTCCGAGTTCCAGAAGATCTGCCGCGACTTGAAGGATGGTAAAGCTGGCCAGGGTTAAGGGTTTAGGGTTTAGGGTTTAGGGTTTAGGGTCTTGAGAGAAGTATCGCTTCCCCCGGCCAGCCCGGATGCAACAGGGGTTAGGGTTTAGGACTCAGCAGGAACTACGAACTGGGAGAGTTTGGTGGCTTTGGTCTAGGGCGTGTCTAGGGCTTAAAGGGTGCCAAACCGCAGCAACTTGCGACGGGAGCTTGCGCTGCAGACGTTGTTGCGTGTGTTGCTGCCCGGCACCAAGCTGGCGAGGAGTTTGGGGAAACTCTGCAGCTCAGCGGCAGCAAGGAGGGCCTGAAGTTCCAGGTGAAGGGCGACATCGGCAGCGGGAATGTCCTGCTCAAACCTCGGGAGAGCGAGAAGCCCGAGGACGGGGACTTGACTGTCCCGAATCCCGAAAAGCAGCAGAGTTCTGGACAGACAGCTCAAGGTGGCCCAAGGCCTGATGTGTAGCCTTCGTAGCTTTACGTATTGACGATGTTTGACGTGGGGTCTTGGGCCTTCCTTCTCCCCCCCCCATCTCCAGAACCCAAGGTTTTGGAGGAAGTGTTCGGAGTCCTTGGGATCCTTGGTCTGACAGGAGAAGGTGAGCCTCACCATCCATGAGCCGGTCAATGCGACCTTCGCACTGCGCTACTTGGTGAACTTCTCCAAGGCCTGGGGTTCGATCGCGCTGCCCAGAGCACTTTCAAACTAAAGAACGACTTGCGCTAGAACAGCTAGGCTCTTGGCAACACAATGCAAAACGACCCTGAACAAAGCCGCGCTGGAGGGTGGTAGAGGGATCGAAATGGGCATCGTACCGGGGAGGCCGCACCGCTCTGCGGGTCAGTGACGCTCGGACTTGGTCCGGACGCGCCGCTGCTGGCACCAGGGTCGCAGTTGATGCTACGCTCGATTGTGATTGCAGGTCTCTATAAGCATTGTTTTGGAAATCGGTTCGGGTATCGCGGTAGTCGACCGTGTGGTTTTTGGGGGCAGCGAGCATGCACACGCACGCACACATGCACACGCACGCACACATGCACACGCACACTGCACGCGCACAGACAAGGCAGGCCGAAACGCAGATACAGACACACAGACACACAGACACACAGACACACAGACACACGGAGACACAGAGACCCAGAGACCCGGAGACCCAGACACACAGACACACAGACACACAGACACACAGACACACAGACACACAGACACACAGACACACAGACACACAGACACACAGACACACAGAGACACAGACACACAGAGACACAGAGACACAGAGACACAGAGACACAGAGACACAGAGACACAGAGACACAGAGACACAGAGACACAGAGACACAGAGCCAAAGACACACGGACACACGGACACACGGACACATGCACACACGATCCAGAGACGCAGAGACGCGCTTTACACGAACGTGTTAGTGTCAATGTTTCAGGCTTAGGAGCTGCTGGCCCAGATGCAGGTGGAATGTTGTGAACGAAGGATTCCGTTGAACATGTCCAGTTTCTGGGCAGCCCGGGCAAGTACCAGCTAGAGAACTTTAGCTGTGAACCCTCGCACTGATCAAGGTTCAATACGACTTGGAGAGTGAGGACTGACCCGTTCCCCGACCTTCTTGGAGTTCCTCCCTTGTTCCGATTGCCTGGCAGTGCCTGGCTTGTTGGACGCGTCTGTCCAGCCCACGTGACAGACTGAAGAAGCATCATCCTCAGTATCTCTCATTGCGTGAGATCCACACGAAGTGTGGACAGCCACATGCCTCATGACTCATGACTCATGACTCATGACTCATGACTCATGACATGAAAACGCTGCTCAAAGCGGGGGTGCCCTCAGTGTGCTGAGTGCTTGGAGGACAAGGGACACTTGAAGTACTACCTTGCTCCAAAGATTGAGGAGTGAAGCGAAAGCTTCGGTCTCACAGGAGCCCCGGGGTGCGGCCCTGACGTTTGCTGGGCAAGGATGGTTCCTAACGGTGGGTCAGTCGGGCAACAAGTCCAGCGTGCAAAACGCTTCCCAATCTGTTGTATGCTTTTTCTCTCATTTTTGGTTCTCAAACAAGTTTGAGGGGAAGAGGGCTTGGGCCTTACTTGGGCTTTACTTGGAGGAGGACTCCACGCAGAGATGGATTGCGATTTGTGCCCGGCAGTAGGTTCTGCCCATCAGCTTGGACTCCTTGCAGCAGCGGCAATCCAAAAGGATCCAAAAGGCAAGTTGCGATCTTGGGCGACATCCGAGCCTATCGGTGGTAAAGGTTGTAAGGAGTGAAGGTCGATCGCTGGTGGTGCTAGTGTGAGGGTTGTGCTGAGGCACTGCGTCATCAGGAATGAGCCAGACAGGTGCGGAGAGCCGTAGAGGCCGTAGAGCTGTCAACGGATTCCGGGTACCTGCTTTGATGGCCTTGATGGCCGATAGGCCCGAACCCCTAAAGTCCAGAGACTCTACTCGCCGCCGTTACCCTGGCCCAGCAGCCACTGCTGTAGGTCTAGACAAGCACAGTGAGTCAAAAGGCCCAACCAATTAATGAGTAGAGCATGTGCTGCATGTGTGGGCATGGGCTAGAACGACAAGCGCATACAAGTAGATGAAAGGCGCCCAAATCGAGAGATGTTTTCTGTGCGCCGGCAGTGCTCACTACGTATTTTTGTTCCTTATCCAAGCCCCATTGTCCCACAGGCACTAAGCCCTGAGCCTTAGACCACAAGATCTTCCTCTGCCAAGCCCGGCATCCCGCATGAGGTACACAGATTCGGTATAGAGCTCAACTTGAACGAATGGGGGGCTGTGAGCCCTAAAGACTTCAGCGCACGTTCATGCTCCAAAGGCCAGAGCCCGCCCAAGCACCGAAATCAAGGGCAGCCAAGTTAAGTCCGCACATAGGAAACTTCATCCGCTTGCGCCCTGCTGTTCTGCGAGCTGCGATGCCGCAGGCAAGAGTCGACGTCAACTCTTCTAGGCCCCAAATCCCGAAACTCGGAGGAGAACTTGAAATCGAGCGTGGAATCCCACACGGCCCTAAACATTAAACCCTAAACCCTAAACCCTAAACCCTCAACCCTAAACCCTAAACCCTAAACCCTAAACCCTAAAGGTCTTGTTGGTCACATCCTGTGCGTAAGCTGCTGGCCTGACGGAGCAGAGTAACAAAGCCAAACCCACATGGGTGCCCCAGTGGCATGGACCATATAGGAGCCTTCATGATTACAGTTGGGTTTTGGGGCTGATTTTCGTACTCTAAACGGACCATAAGGGAATAAATGCTACTAGTAATTATTCCGACGCCTTCTTTTAGCCAAGGCTGCACTTGGCGTACTTCACGGTATTTGACAGTTAACTTAATCGTTAGAAGGTTTAGCCGCGCGGAAGCATGGGCAGAAAGTGGATTATAGTACTCCCTATTAGAATGCCTATTAAGGACTGTTAGAGCTCCTTCATAGGGATTATAGTACTCCCTACTAAAATCCTTGACAAGGACTGTTAGGATAAGGGCCGCTGTTTGTGCAGTACAGGATGGCCCAGAGCATGACAAGCTCAAGGAAGACATGCGGAAGTTGCAGGAGACAGGTTTTGGGGTTTAGGGGTTTAGGGTTTAGGGTTTAGGGGTTTAGAGTTTAGAGTTTAGGGTTTAGGGTTCAGGGTTGCCACAACACGTCTGGAAGCCCCAAAATGTTTTGCAGTACTTACAAAGCGCGCTGTCCAGCTTCAGTCCCGTAGTTGCCAGACGCCGCAGGATGGAATTCGACATCTATTTACCAATGACTCCTGGCCAAGTTAGCTACAAACCAGTCAGCTGCAGCAGCAGTTTAATAATCAATAAATAAATAAATATATATATAAATATATATATATATATAAATTATGTACAGTTTTTTTTTGGTGGGTTCTTTAGCCCTCCGCCACGCGATTGGTGTTCGTCAATCTCAGGACTTTAAAGACGCTGAAAACATTTTTCGGCAAGGCGCGGAGTGCCCCTTGGGCCCATGCAGAAAGAAGCCTGACCCTCACTCCCTTCCTTGGGGTTTAGGGTTTAGGGTTTAGGGTTTTACGGCTTTAGGGTTTAGGGTTTTAGGGTTACTATCAAAGGGGTTTCACTGAATTACTTCGCCGCAGACGCTCACACAGTCAGAGAGTTAGACGCTCAGACAGTTAGGACACTTGGTTTTCAGGGTTTAGGGTCCCCAGATTTTGTATCTCGATGGGAAAGCTCAAGTCGCGGACAGACACGAACCGAAAGCCCTGGCAGACTCTGTGCAGAACCTCCCAAGTGCAAGCGTGACTTTTCCCTGCTGCACCCAAGGCCCTCGGCCTGCGAAAGGCCGTGACACGCGCGGCGCCTTCGCGCTGATCTATGCTATGGTCAGCTTCATGCACCTTGGTAGATACATACACCATATAATACCAACGGGTTGGGTTCTTGAGGCCTTCAAAGGTTATGTTCGTTTGAGGCTTCAGGGTTTAGACGGGTTTTGTTCGGTTTGAGAACACCCTCATGCCGCCGCAGTAACTTTGTGCCACTTTTTAAGTTGCTTTGAAGATCGCCCGTCTAAGCCATGGGGTCTGCAATCAGGACTTGAAAAACTTGCGGGTGAACATAAATTAAGGGACCAACGGGGATGGTGAAATGTTGGGCGGAGCTTGCGCACGCGTAGACCATGTGCTTTCGGCATGTTCACGCGGGGTTTCAGTAAAAGCGTGGGTCTGCGCAAAGATTTCCACGGGTTGTCAGGTTCGGCCTGCTTTCCTTTGCCAATGACCAGCTGGATGAATGCCTGTCACGCGTCTGGACAGCTGAAAGTTTGCTTCTGGAGGACTCGGATGGTGTGTCTGGTGCTCTGATTTCCTGCGCCCCGATGCCCCGGCAATGTTTTGTGACACAGCAACCAGGGCTGAGGCTGTCATGGCCCCTAGTAGTACAATACCCCTACGTGCCCTACCCAGTTTCATCTTTGCAATGCGGGGGGGACAAGTATACGCCTGAAGGACTCGCCCTGGGTCGGCCAGAAGATGCTCCTGGGCATGGTCTACCTGATCGCAGGACTCACAAAAAAGTTCAATCCCAACCCTGAGCATGGGGGTGCTCGTCGTTCTGGACAGCATTTTTTTGGTGTTGAATTGCATTCCGCTTCTCATCTGCGTGAGGAGTGGTGCAAGCCGCCAAGAACGCATGGCTGAAGTCCGGCGTGAACTTAGTGCGATCCCTACGGTACATCCGGGACTTCGAAGAAGGCGGGTCAAGGAAGTGTGCCTTGCTTTTATTGTGGGCCCAAAAAGCTGCCCCAAGCTGCCCAGTCCTTGGAGAGGCCTGCGTTTCGATGGTCCCGAAGCCAACTTTGTGCGGAGCTTTGCGGCTTTCGTCATGGGCCTCTTCAATTTGGCCAGGGCCTTGGCTTAACTCTCAGAAGCAGGGATGTCCCCCCTCATGTTTACAGTCCTTAATGGGACTTCATAGGGATTGTAGTACCCCCTATTAAAATCCCTATTAAGGACTGTTAGTATAAGGGGGAACATCCCAGCTCAGAAGCCTCAAGTTGCATTGGGTTGCACGGGGTTGGTCTGGTGCCCAGGTGCTGTCCATGCTTCCTCCCCAGATGCTTCGAGTAGCCTCGAAGGCAGCGTGGGCCCATCTTTTCTCCATTCCCTATCCCGACACATATATATATATACATACATAGAAAGACCGATATGTAATGCATATGTGTGTGTATATATATATATGTCGTATGTCTATATATACATATGTATGAGTATGCGTATATGTGTGTACGTATGTATAGCGCACATGTCTGCTCACCTGGTCTTTTGACCACCCTGCGAAGCTTCACATTGTCAGAGTTTGCACAGTTTCCCTGTAGAACGTGTCAGGCTGGAGGTCGCACGCTGCAAGGCAGCCGAGCAGATGCGCTGCAGCTGCTCCACGACTGCTGCTCGGCAGGGCTTGGGAGCTTTGGGATTCGAGCCATACTGGGGTTTCGGCCCTCAGTTGTCTTTAGGGTTGGTTTGCAGGCTTGCGGGTTTTAAGAAGGTTCGTCTGGGAGCGAACAGGAGCCATATGAACCAAAAAACGTGTACTCATCAATGCGAGCGATGCCTGCACTAGTGTAGTGGCATGCGCAGGTTGCGGTTGATCGTCTTGAGGGTAAGCAACAGAAGCATTACTGGCAGCTATTTTTTTGTTACCCCATATCTACGTTGTGTCCGGCACCTCTTGCCTGGGCTTGCAGCCATGACACCGTATCATACCCTGTCCGCTTTGGGAAGTTTTTCGATCTCACAGTGCTGGTCGCTCTCTTTTAGGATAGGGTCCTTGTGGGGTTTTTCCCGTTTAGGGTTTAGGATTTGAAGCTCCCCCCCCCTTTGGGTAAGTTTAGGGTTGCGGGTTGGAGTCCAAGGGCTTGCAGCAAAGACGAGGCTTCGAGGGTTCAGGTTTCTTGCGCACTTTGGGTTTCCGAAACGTGGACAATGAGTGAGTCCGCCGAGCCCTCTCCTCTCCTTAATGTAGGACGGCAAAGTAAGCAAAGTATGTCCCGCAGCTCTCTCTTTGTCACAACAAGTCCACCAGCAGAAGCCTAGGGGAACGTCCAAGAGCCACTACAGAGTACCTGGTGAAAAAGCTCATGCCTTCAGATGCAGCCCCCAAAATGGAACGTTGTTCAGAATATGACCAGTTGGTGCAGTTGCGCTTTCAATGTGCCGGCTAGCGCTCCGTCACTTTTCGTTGCAGGACTGCGTATAGTCCTGGGATGTGTCTTCGGATTCTAGCGCTGCAGCCAGTGCGCAGGCTATGAACAGGAAGGCATCATGGCCCCCTTTGCGGTGCTGGTCCTCCTGTGCTACAACATCTGGATGAATCCTGGAAGTTCTAGTGGTCAAGGCTGTTGGCCTGAGAGCGTGCACAGCAAAGGTCCACGGAATCATTGGGGAAAGTTGCTGTTGCAGGGGCTACTAGTCGCTGCGAGATGGCGCAGTAGTTGTTTGCGTGCTGCGACGCTGAAACCCGAGCAAGCCAGCTCAGCCTAGGAAAACATACCTCGGAGAGCCCATAACGGATGACGACTTTGCCGCGTCCAAGTCCTTTCTGCAGTGGTCGGCAGAGCGCTTCCCTGACAGTGCAGTCTTTGAGTTCTGGCAAATGGAGCTTCATGTGATTCGCACGGAGATTCACGAAGCTTCCAGGCCGGCGGTTGGCTGTGATTAAGTATGGGTAGATTTGTGTGGATGATGATGCCACGGGCGTCTGTGAAGACAGGCCATGCATCTGACCTAGAAGCGGAGTCGACCAACATGTTTTAGTGTTTTGATATTGCATGCTGACACAACCTGCATCGCCAGTATGTGCCACGCCAGTGTGGTTTTCTGTGCAGGTGTGTTGAGAGGGTTCATGCAGTTCTCGGCCACTTGGAGCTACCGGCAACTGGGCGAAGACATGAGCACCCAATTCTGTATTCTGTTGTTTTGGCGAACTCGTTGTCTGTTGGCGAGTCTGCTAGGGGCTTGCAGGCAATTGACTCCTTTCTGGAGCAGAAGAAAGCTATGCAACCTGGCGGAACTAGGCAGCCTATCCGGCAATGTAAGCTACTCGTACCTCGTCAAAAACAGCTTCCTCCCTGAGATCCGACAAAATTTAGGCTGCATGCCCACACCGGGTTGCTCGTGGTTCTACGCTTGTATATTGGGATCTTCCCCATATACAAACAGTCCTTAATAGGGGGTACCATAATCCCTACTAAGGACTGTTAGTACAAGGGGAACATCCCAAGTTGCAGAGTTTTTCTCTTCTGTAGAGTCGAGCTTTTTCACCTAAAACCCTAAAACCCTAAAACCCTAAAACCCTAAAACCCTAAAACCCTAAAACCCTAGGCGCACGGGGCCCGCATGACTTGCATGTGCACGTAGCTGTTTCTCACACTCTGTCACAGATGCACGCCGGCATTCTCGCAGGAGCAATAATGGGAACTGGTTGTCTCGTTGTGGGATTTAGGGGAGCTGTTGCGCGTGCATGCTGTGTTCTCCATGTGTTCCTCCTGATTGCACGGACACGTAGCTGTTCTCACAACTGGTCGAAGATGCATGCCGGCATTCTCGCAGGCGCACCAACTGGGAACGTCAGTTTCATTGCGAGATTTGAGGGAGCTGTCGTGCAGTCGTGCTGTGCTCTTCATGTGTGTTCTCCATGCGGGCGTCAGCAGAGACGCTCAGAGTCCGAATCCGCCTGGCCCTTAAGCAGCTCGGAACGTCACGCCCCGCAGTGCAAGCAACACGTTGCAGTTTCAAGTACAGGCACCGCCAAAGAGCTCCGCCAAACCCACCGCCTTGCCCGGGGACATGCAGGGGAGAGACGAAAGGTCATCGTATGAGCGGCTCGCAAACCGTTTCGTAGGGCCATGGGTGGAATCTCGTACCGAAGCCAAACGCATCGCCAAGGCCACTCTCGCATATCGTATGGAGGATATCATTCGTTCTCAAGCCATTCGTCGCCGTATCAATGAGGAAAACCTTCGGGCTGTGGGGTGGTCGCATGAGGCTCGCGCGATGGTCGAGGGTCGCGCGGGGGTCGGGGGAGAGAGGCGAGGGGTGGTCAAGGAGGATGGCCCGACGGAGGGGCCGGCTTGCTGAGCACGCCTCGTTAGCTGCATACACAAACACACACACAAGCGCACCCCCCCACACGCGCGGGCGTGCACTCAGGTCCGCTTCAGTGTGCTAGATCTGTAGGCGTCCCCTACCTGTCCCCCCCCCCTCTTGCTTGTAACAACCCCGCTAACAGTCTATGGCACCTTGGTGCATCCTGAGCCATGGCCTCTCGACACGATGTGACGCTGGCCTGAGCTGGGAACCTTGGAGCCCGCGAGTTTGGCATGTGGGTTGGACTGCAATGGAGGCTGGCATCACCAATACAGCAGCACGATGTTTGGGCTGCCAGGGGACACAGCGAGATGCTCAAGTTTGTTGGCGTGTGGCAGCCTTGTGCCTGCACGCGGCCGGACCGCTTTGGCCGCCCCCGGCGACACGGAGTGACTGCATGACGAATACCACTGCACTGCATGGAGTTGGGTCGCCGCGGAGTGTGGCAGATGGGGACCCTACGTCTGCATGATGCCTGCAACTGCCAGATGCATGACCGCTGGTACGAAGCAGAGAAGGAATTCATGAATTCAGAATTTGTGAATTCAGCAGTGAAGGCCCTGGAAACTGATGGATGCACAACTGCATGTTGAGTGAAGCTTGGGTTCTGCACGAGCTCGGAGTCGACAGTCCCACGCACGTGCATTCTGCATGGACCGTGTGCATGGCCACCACCATCTGCCGAGTTGCGCCTCCTGACGCCCGGGGATGACAGAGACAGATGTACGTGGATGCTCGCGTATAGCCGCAGACGGCAGTCACTGCTCGGGACATCGAATGCTGAGGATAGAGAGAAGTATCACCCGCATAGCCCTTGCCACATATTGCTTTCTGGGAGGAAAGGCCGCTCGGGTTGTACTGTTCTGGAAATAGTATTCACACCTGATCTTTGGACGGTTTGCGGCAACCTCCACGTATTTTCGCTAGGTCGCAATGTGCCTAGGAATAGTCAGTCAGGTCTGATGGGGGAGGCTTGTTTCAGGGTGGAAAGGTGATCGAGGTATACTGTTAGCTATCATGGTTTGCGCCCCTCTGTTGGACACGTCGACTGGGTCAAAGAACTTCTGTCGGCCAATGGACACGCACCAATTTGTTTTCTGTTTGTCTGGGATCGATCAGGGGTCAGCTCTTCAGTATTGTGGCTTGGTATTGAGTATCCGTCGGTGGTCATGCTGACCCTGGTTGGTTCGTTACTGGTGGTCAAAGTACCCACTCTGGAGATCTCGACAGGACTTGCCTCGCCCGCTTATGCCAGTGTGAGAGTCGAAAACCCTAAAGCCCTAAAGCCCTAAAACCCTAAAACCCTAAAACCCTAAAGCCCTAAAGCCCTAAAGCCCTAAAATCCTAAAAACCTAAAACCCTAAAACCCTAAAATTCCTCAAAATTCTAAAGCCCTGAAACACCCAAAGACCCTAAACCAGCGGCCTCTGTTTGAGGTTCTCCCTGGCGCTGCTCGACTGGGCCTCTGCGGCCCGAGGCTTCGAGCGGAGCTTGGCTGTCAGCGCGGCCAAGCAGAGGCGCTTCTGGTTTAGGGTTTAGGGTTTAGGGTTTAGGGTTTAGGGTTTAGGGTTTAGGGTTTAGGGTTTAGGGTTTAGGGTTTAGGGTTTGGGTTTATGGGTTTAGGGTTTAGGGTTTAGGGTTTCCTGGCGCGCGTCCCGGCCTCAGTCCAGGGGTTAAAAAAGGGTTTCTGGGGATGACTTTGGGATGTATCCCATCGTAGTAATACCCATAAATAGCAATATTAATAATAGTCATATCAATTTGGGATGCTTCCCCCCTTCTACGAAGAGCTCCTGAATTGGGAATCACAGTACCCCCCCCCCCCCCCTCCAAAATGATCCCTATTAAGGACTAAGGGGGAACATTCCGATGGATGACTGTTTAGGTTTGGGTCTTGAATTAAATGCAGCATTCTTTAGCCACTGATGCCGGTGCTTTTTTTATGCGTCTTTTCACATCTATGGGAGTTTGAGACAAGCTTTGGATCCGTGATGGGATTGCCCAAACCCTAGCAACAGAGCCCACGCCAAAGGAGGCAGCCGTCATAGTACCTCTTGCCCCAGAATCTCAAGCCTGAAGCCCCGGGCGTAAGTGACTGCCAGGCGCAGCTATGTGCCGACCCTGAGCCCCGGCTCACATGGAAAGCTTCGGTGTTCAGGGGGACGGTTTCAGGGCTTGTCCAACCAAGGCCTCGGAAAGGTGGACTTGGGGTCAATAGGCGAGTCGTTCTAGGAAGGCGTGTGTCAGCAGCAAGCTGGGGAGGCGTAGCGGCGTAGCGTGAAAGGTTGGGCGTAGGGTCAGAAGTATCTCCTTGCGGCTCGCTCTTGTGCTGCACCCTGTGCAGCATGTGCGGCCACGTGTAAGCCGGAAGTCACTACTCTCTGAGCGCCACAATGATGCCGCAAGCAATGTAAGCGTCCCCAAACTCCCTATGACCTATGGCTTCTGACTTGGAGCAGGTCTTATTTGGCTGGCTTGTGCCGCGTGCTGTGCCACAGCCCCTCTGAAGCGCGCGAGAATTTCGCGCGAGTGCAACAGTATGCCAAGATGAGAAAACGAAGCTTGGACCACATTGGGGGCAGTTTGTTGTACATTGTCGTCGATGGCTTCGCCAATCGTCTGAGGCAATTGGCCACCTGAAGATGACCTTGCGTTTCTCAAAGTCAAAGACTTCCCCGGAGGGAGGCTTTGGCAGCAACACCACATCCGCATGCTCCCTTGAGAGATATACGAATATAGTGTTTTCACACAGGGAGCAAAGCTGTGCAAACTTGTTGCGCAATTAAGAAACCAATAGAACAATCGAAGGTGTCACAGTGTAAATATAAGCCTCTATTATTGCATCACTTGGAATGTTCAGCGCAAAGCACGCTAACAACTCCTAAAGACATCAATATTGATAATCCAAATGCGAATCAACTTTTCAAGGCTTCGCGTCTGGGCCATCACGAACATGCGAGCCCTTTCTAAGCCAGTCATTCGAGCGTTGTGTTTGCAGAAACCCAGCCTCCTGCTCTTTTGAGGCTCTGGGCGTGGCTCTTTCCCGCGTTTTGTCCTTAACGCCATACCATCAACAGAACTTGTTGTTTCAAAACCGACGAAGCCCTTACAAGCATTGTGTTTGCAATCAGGGAGGGGGCTTGGGCCCCACCCGGCACACAACGGCCCCGCTTTTGAGAGTGCATCAACCTTCGTGCGGGGGGTGCAGGGGCAAGTTTTGTTAAGTGCTGGTTTTCGAAGAAAGGCCACCCCTCTCCTCCAATCAAAACCCCAAATCCAAGAGTTGCAGGCGTGTCTCCATGGAGGTTTTGATTTTAGTTGTTTACATGTTTGGATTTTTCTTCGGAATATTGGCAGATTGTGGTTTGGAAGAAAAATACAAAAACTATTTCCATTAAGTAATGCCATATATTATGATGAAATAGCATGATTCCATACGTATTCGATCTGGAATGTAAACATGTAGTATGTATACTCGCATACATAATGCGTTAGCTTTAACCACACACATACGCACACATATACATCTGCATATACCTGCACATATGTACATGTGCATTGCTCTTGGGAGTGGCTAAGTAGCCAGTGGCTTCCGAGGACCTGCGTGGAGCCCACGCGCGCTCTCCTCGAGTTGATAGAGATCTCCATGTTGCGCTCAGCCGGCAGGTTTAGGGTTTAGGGTTTAGGGTTTAGGGTTTAGGGTTTAGGGTTTAGGGTTTAGGGTTTAGGGTTTAGGGTTTAGGGTTTAGGTCGGCTTGTTGGGCTCAAGCAGCCGGAACTTCAGTATGCACTCTGAAGCATTTCTGGCAGCAAAGGAAAATCCACGTGCTCCACACGATGCCCTCTGAGGAGAAGTGCCAGCTGAAGCAGATGCTTAGAGAGCATATGAACCTTCCTTTGACCTGTACCAGCTGTGGAAGCATTGTGCAACAACGTGGGATAGTGCGACGCAAAATGCATCATACATCAACGCACCATAAGAAACAGGAGAAATGCAACGACAGGCTCACGTGCAAACCTGACTAAAAACCCTAAACCCCACCAAAACCCCTAAGCCCTAAACCTAAACCCTGAACCCTAAACCCCCAGAGCAGAAACTCCGGTCCCAGGAAGTTGCTGGAGGACCATCCGAATCCCACCTGTGAGCCGCCCGAGGCGGCCAGACTTGCTTTCCTGCCTTTGGGGCGTAGGGCTTAGGGCTTAGGGTTTCAACGTGGAGCTCAGTTCCGGGTTCAAAAGGGTATAGGGTATAGGGTTTAGGGTGAAGTACTGTAATGCAGGACTTGATTAGGGAGCGGGTCGGGGGGGGGGCGGGGTGTGGGTAAGCGTTCATCTACCCTGTGGCTTGCCCGAAGCCTTGATTCGGTGAGTTTGCAAGTGCAAGTCAATGTCGATGCAAGGATTCAAGGATAAGAGGTGCCTGCAGCTTGTTCCGCAAGTTGGGCGCCAGCAAAAAGGATGCACAGTTTTTCTAGGTTTAACGCTGCGGTGTGGCTAACTCACAAAAGATACGACCAACACCAGCTGAATTCTCAGAATTGTCACATGGGTTTTTCCCATTATGTGCAATATGGGCATCCAAGTTCTCCCAAAAGTCAGTGAATGGAAGCAAAAAGAAGCCAACGTGTGCTTTGCCAGACATGTGATGGATTGGCTATCAATATGAGCGATGCTTTTGTTGGGTGGTCCTTTTTCGGGGAGCCTTTTGTAGGCGGCTCTGGAACGCAAGCTTTCTCCTTTTCAAGGATGGCGGAGTAAGAACGCCTCATTCATTTTCGGGCATCTCCCGGGACTCTTGGTGCCTTCTATTTGAAGCATGTGTGGCCGAAACTATAAACTGCTGTGAAAAGGGCACGGAGGCCCCTCAAAGTCATTTTTTTCTTCTTCTGGTGCCTTTCTGAAGCCTTTTGAGTCCCTTTTTTGGGCAGCCTGGAGCCTCCTGGAGCCTTTTTTAGGCCTTTTTAGGAGCTGCAAGTGCAAGGCGTGCAGGTCTCTGCAGGAAGTCGCACATGGTGACCGCTCGCAATTGCGATGGTTCAGGGAAACGCGCCCTTTCTTTGCACATGTGACGAGGAGGGCGCAAGGGCACTACTCTTCTCTGCCGAGATCGCCCGTCTCCAGGGTGACAACGAGGATTTCTTGCAAAAAAAGCATGGCACAGACAGTGGACGAGCCATCGAGTTGTTCTCGTGCTGGTTCATAGAGGTTCGGCCGGAGAGAGGACAAATAGCCCGAGTGAAGACGCAGCTAAGTCGAGCTGATTCCCAGTTCCCAAAGCTTCAGCTAGACGGCAACATGCCTTTATGTTCTAAAGGAGGCCCGTCGCTTGGGAGCGGAGGCGGTGGCGCTACTGCCTTCCCTGGGCTCTCGAGGTGCTGCAGGGGTTTTGGACGGCATCGAAAGCATCGAGTTACGGGGCCGTGCAGGGCTTCAGGGGGCTTTAATTTTTGCTGACTCTAGGTGTCTAGGATTTGCTCTATGGGTTGGGTATTTTGGTGGCAAAGAGGGAGTGCACAGTGCTGCGTTATCGAGAACATGAGCCAGTTTGCCATGCAACGTGCGGAACGCGAGGTGCCTCAAACGGGACTGCTGCAGCGCTGCATTTGACCATGGCGCTGCTAGGCCAGGGACATTAATGGATTTTCGGCAGCTTTTCGGTTTCGTGTAGTTACCATGTAGTTGACTTCGGACACCTTGAGTCCGGTCAGCAGTGCTGACTTAGACCTCAGAGCATTGGGCCTGTGCCGGCTCAGGCTTCATCCTCTCTGGCACACGTAGCACAGAGAAATTAGGTCCAGAGACAGAATTCACATGCCTTGTCCAGGAGGCCTCATACTTGGCTAATTTGTCAGCATGCCAGGTGTGGAAGGTCACCTGGCCCTGCTGGACAAGTGTCCAAAGTGCTGCCGGGCCTACGACGATTCCATCAAGTTCAAGAGGTTGGAAGCCCGGTCGAGGGGCAACCTTGAATCAACACCCAGCTGAACTGAACTGCAGAGGCTTGGACTCGAGAGGAAAATTGCTGATGCGACAATCCCGAGCACCTCGAGTGCCTTGGCATGCCGTGGCATCTAGCAGCAATGGCGGCTGGCTTGCTTGCTGTGCATCTGACAGCCGGGGAAAACCCAGCACAAAACAAGAGCTGTTCAAATTGCAGGCTGGTGTGCCTGCAGTTCCATTGATAATGTTGCACGTTTCCCCCGGAAGAAGAACTTTCCACAGCTCCCACAGGAGGGCCTTTGGTGCCAAAGTGCCACATGAACGGGCGCAGGTGGAGACCTCTCAGCTGCGCTCGAGCAGTGCGCGGATGACGGCTGTCGCTCCGCTGCAACTGCTGATTTCAAAAGCTAAAAACACAAAGGAGGGGGGGGTCGTGACAGGGGGTGCAAGTGGAGCTCGAACGGAGATCTGTGTGTAGCCTGCATCCGCCTTAAACAGATGTGAATCTTGTGGAAAAGTCCCTAAGCCCGAAAGCCTGGAACCCCTAAACAGGCTGTGGGGAAGGCGAGGAAGAGTTCTTCTCGGCGGAGGAGGAGGTACTCCTTTTTTTTGAAGCCCTGTGCCAACCCCTAATTTTTATTCTTGTGGGAGAAAATCACCCAGACTGCCCGCTTGTGACAGAGCCAACTCCGCACTGTTACAGCAAAGGTGGACATACCCTAAACCCTAAACCCTAAACCCTAAACCCTAAATGATTTTCTGCATCACCATGATAGCAGTATCACCAAGTTAGCTATAATGTTAGCTGCAGTGGCAGTATCAGCTACGCCTGTCTTAGCCAGATGTGCTGAGTGGCCCACACAACAACCGTGGGATGGTGTGTACCTCTCCTGGCTTGTCCGAGCGTGAGCGGTTAACTGAATTTCTGTCGATCGCAAGTACTGCAGTCCCTCACATGCATGTGGTCAAGGAGGCGGATGGACCGGAGGGTGTGCCGTCCTCTCCATCCACTGCCAAGGTGGGGCGGGTATAAGTGTTGAGAAGCCTCTCCCATCTAATCCCCCCTACGCAGCCATCTCCAATGAATCCTGCCCTAGTTACGCTATAGACGCTATAGTTCCCCACGCCAGGGTGCCTTTTGGAGTCGCTGGCGGTTTCTCAAGCCATTGACGGTCGTGCCTCGGAACACACATGCGAAACGGTTTGAGGGTTTGGGGTCTTAGAAGGCGGGTTGCAAAGTCGCAGACTAGAGCCAGGCGAAAAACTCAATTCATGTCTGGCTTTGGAAAGCTCGTTGGAGTCGCCCGAAGAGCTTATGGACAGCCTGGAGGCAAAAGGGGGCGCATGATCCGTAGACGGGGCATAGCTCGTGGCCTGGAGAGCGAGCGGCTGTTGAGAGGATCTGACACGCAGTGTGATGCGCATGAGGATACAGATCTTCCGGCTGAAAGCCCCGGAGCCCCATGGCGGAACAGGGAGAATTGAAGGCATGCAGTTAGTGCAGTCCATGCGGGTATTTGCCACTTCCCCTTTCTATTCAGCTTGGCCAAAGCTGTTGCTAGTATCTTTGCTCGAGCGGCTGGAAGATGGAAGTACAGACAAGCGCATGTTGCTTCACTACCCTGGCAAGAGGGCTACATCATGCCGCCAGATCACCAGCAAACCAGCCTACCTAACTACAGTGAAGCTGACTGCATCGCAGGCGAACCCACGCTGTGTACGTAGGGTTAAGACCGGTCTCAGACGCGGCTCGGCCTTTGAAAACGAGGACTTGAAACTCCAAACAGCAACGCTGAAGCCTCAAAACAAAACCAGCAACCCCAATATCACTGAGCTATCATTGTCCAGTGTGCAGCCGTGAAACCCTGACCTACACAACCTGGATCTTGTGACCACATGTAAGTCACCTGGCGCGCCCACCTCAGGCTGAGCGTCAAAAAGGGCAAGCGCATTTGTAACCCGAAGCCCCTTTCTGTACGCGGACCGGCTCTGGTCTAGCCTGACCAGCTAGCTGCCCAGTTTGGCGGTGGGCCCGTTGTTTAGTCCATTTGCTAGTAGCTGAGATCAACACCTGAGTACACCTCAGAACAAAGAGGTACTTGAACACCCAAGCCTCGAACATCAAAGAAAGGCTGAGCTTAAGAGCCCAACGTTAGTGTTTTTGGTCGTAGGTCGCCTGAAAAGCCCATGAGGAGTTTGCGAAAACTGCCTGCACAAAACGTTGGCCTCGCAGTAGATCAGGTCTCTTCGCCTTCACAGACATCGCTCAGCTGGGCCTCGGAGGTCGCTGTCAAGGCCGCACCAATTGGGGCTCAGGGGTTCCCTCACAGCTTGCTGTTGGCTAGTAAGGTTAGTAGGAGATGGGGGAATGATCGAGGTACCCTATAGAATTCCTTAAAGGGTATATGTAGGGGTACCTCATTCCCTCATTCCCTGCTAACCCACAGTATGATAAAGTTGGTCTACTTAAGATTCTACAGCTTTAGGGGGTTTCAGGCTTCTTGTTGGCAGAGAGAGACTTCACCGTGCTGCGCCAGTTAGAATCACTGCCTCCCGCTCCTTTGATCCTTGTTTGGAAAGGATTTCCCTAAACCCTAAACCCAAAACCCTAAACCCTAAACCCTAATAGGGTTATTGGGTTGCTTGGCTAGGAAGCAGCATTCACTTTGCGCTGCGCTCGAATTTCGAAGGGAGGTAAACTGCCCAACCTTTCGCTCAGGTCTCGAGGCTGCCTTATTGCCCAGACACTCCACATATCTCACAAGCCTATAATCGGCTGACTAAGATCAACTTCCTGAAGTTTCGAAGCTTGTGGCTTTGTAGTAAATAGTACTTGAGCCCTTGGCAATAGACGTCCTTTCCGTCCAAAGTGAGCTCATCGAAGGCAATCCGCGATCTGGCCAAGAAGTCAGCAGTGGCCGGAGGCCTTCGGTGTCAAGGTTTAGGCTTTCGATGCACAGCATGGCAGTGAGTACAATAAGTTGTGTTTTTTTCAGATAGTGTCATCGGCACGTCTGCCCGCTTTGCTTGAACAAGACTGGGAGATTAGCTGGGACCGGGCTGCTGGACAACGAGGCCTGTTGCAAACAACGGTTCTGAGATAAGCGCTGAGACCGGGCGCAAAAAAATAAGGGATTTAGGCAGAATTTAGTGGTTCGTCTCGGCCTTGGGCCAAAGGTTTAGAGGTTGAGGGTCTGAAGGCTGCTCCGGGAAAGCAGCACGGACTAGATGGCTGCTAAGATCTTTTTTTCGGCAGCGGCTACACCTCAAAATGCCCTTAGAAATACCTGGTGCTGTGGCCGTTTGGTTTCGCAAAAGTGGAGGCCACATCGGGCACCAAGCGTCCGAGCAGCTCGGTCACTTGGCCAATTCCACCGGCTCCTTGGTTCAAGCTGCTTGTTTCGTGGGGGGCTACCGGCTTCACAGGTGATTTTTGGAGGCTTTTGAGGTGTCACGCAAGCTTCTCAGGGTGCCACCTTGTGCCACCTTAACGTTCTTCTTGGGTGAGGAGTTCTCAATGACAAGGCCAAGGTGCCCTAAGCACATTCTGCTGGCATTCGCACCTCGGTGCTTTCTGGGCCGTGCCTAGCATAGGGCGCCGTCCTGTCCTTAGTAGCCCAGTGGTACCCTTTCCCCCTCCTTTTTGGTCCCCAAAAAAGGGTGCCCTTCTTATAGTATGGTTCCTATGCTACCAAGTGACCCTACACCCTAAACCCTAAACCCTAAACCCTAAACCCTAAACCCTAAACCCCCTAAACCTTGGTATAATATGGTTACTAAGCTACCAAGTGTCATGGTTGAGGATTTCGGAACCTCGCATCTGCCGGAAGACGTGCCGCGTCCACCGGGAGCAGCTGCTCGACTCAGAGTGGGTTTAGGGTTTAAGGGTTTAAAGGTTTCAGGGCTTGGGGATGTAGGTTCGTGATTTCGTAACACGAAAGGTTTCTCCTGAACAGTGGGTCAACCTCGAGGTTGGCTTGCCAGCTGGACCTACTCTGAATCGAGCCGGCGAAGTTTGCCGGTAAATATATGAGTAAGCGCCTAGATGCTACCCAAAATTGCTACACTTCACGACCTGCCAGCATGTGCGTGACTTGAGGCCGGCTGCACTTGGATGCCCTTCTGCGGCAGGCCCACTACTGCAAACCGCTGAAAGCCATTGCAGGGTCCTCGCCTCTCGGGAATGTCCTGACACAAAAAGCGGGGTTTTGACAGCAGTGGCTTCAACACACCAGCTGTATGAACGAATGTCGTCTTCAGGCAGACCAAGGCGACTGCTCAGCACGGCACTCAGGGAATGGTTTTTGCCGTGTTGTGCACTGTACCGACCAGCAAGTGCTACTGGCTAAAGCTGCAAATTGGTTGTAGATGGGGGCTTGAGCTTCGCAGCTTATCGCAGCTTCGATGTGCAAATCTCGCAGCGACCATGGAAAAAGTTCTAGTTCATCGGCGTATCCTTCGTGACTACAGGAATGACTGTCACTGAGCTGGCATGAAGTGAACATAAGTGAAGTCTGACCAGTTTTTTCCGAGGTGGTGTCTATGCCAACTCCTTCCCCTGGCGTGTCTGAGGACTGCTTGCTTGCTTCTAATTGAAGCAGATGTGAGATGAGCGTAAGATGGGCGTTTGAGGCAGTGACTGTAGATACGTGCTCGGACCCGGCTGGGCTCGGAAAGAGGATATAAGACTTGCTTCGCTTTGGTGTACTGAATTGATTTCCTTGAAGTAGCATTTGCTTCTGCGACAGCCTTCCGACGGCAGGCAGAGGTTGTGGCCTATTTGAAGTGGGTGCGGTACTCAGTCTGGTGGGTTTGCGAAGTTTACCCCGGGTTTGGGCCCGAGCTGGCCACGCCTTGGTACCGCATAAGCCACAGTTTTACGTATGCGCAACCCGTGACTGACCATGCCAAACCTGTGATTTACAGGCCACCCGGTCATGACTTTTTGATTGCGAAACCCCGGTTTGAAGCCAGACCCTATTGTAAAATGTTGCAATGTTGTAAGTTAAGATCCTACATGTACGAAGGCGTTCGAAAAGTCAGCAAAGATAAACTGAACACGAAGGCTGCCCTGTCTGTTTAAGTTGCCAGTTGCCAAGGCTCACTGGAATTCATTGCGGTGCCCTCAGCTTTTCGAGATAACGTCACAGGACACTTGCTGTGTGTTGGCAGCAGCCGGGAGCAGCCCAATACTGCCGAAATCTGTTTACTTGGACGCATCATGATGCATCCAGGCGTGGGATGACGCGGCATGAGGCCCTGCGGCAATATGGCATCTTGACGTGCCTCGTTGAAGATTTTGGCTGCGGGGCCTTTTGTTTTGCGGCTGACCTCAGGATGAACGCGGAAACACCCTAAACCCTAAACCCTAAACCCTTCTTGCACCATCATGCTTGGAGACTGGAGATACG